CGAGGTGGAACCCCCGAGGACAGTGTCATCAACGCACTACCCGCAGCGCTGTCGCCCATATTCTCCTCCTTGTCACCAGAGTTGTTCGACCTCACCCTCGAGAAGTTGGCAGCATTCGTATCCAGCCATGTCATCCATCAAGCACGAGATGCGATGGCCTGGACAGTGAACGTCCTTTGCAAAGTCAACCCCGAGAAGTGCCTCAAGGTATTCATCCCCATGCTGATAGTGAACATTCGCAACGAGATCGACCAGAACTATGCAGCGTCCGACCGCAGCACCGGGACAGACTACCTTCCCCGCGATCGCGCTTTTGTGTGGCATGCCAGCATGCTGGGCATGGTTGTTGTCCATGTCGGCCGCGAGGTTTTGACATACAAAAACGACTTGATTGAAATTATACAGTACATGCAGGCTAACTGCCGAGGCCTGCCCACCATGGTTGTGTATAATCTCATCCACCACCTGCTACTTAACCTTACGACCGTCTACTCCATCGATCATGCACTCTACGAGCCCGAGGACGTTGCTCGAGGTTTGGACATTGGTGACTGGGGCCGCACCACTTCACCTGCTGATCTCACGATCAAGTGGCACCAGCCCTCGCCTCCTGAGATCGAGTTCGCCGTGGAGCTGTTTGAATCGCAAACGCGTGCGGTGACGGAGCAAATGAATCTCCTCATGAGCGATAACCCGCCTGTGAGCCGTACTGGGAGGAACAAGGAGTGGTCCGATGAGGTTTCACGGATCATGCAGCAAATCAGGCTTAACATCTCCGGCATGGCTGCCCTATTCGATCCCCGCCGGGCTGCAATCGACACTGGGGACATTGAGATGAACCAAGCCACCGATGACGTGGATACGGTTGACGACGACCCGCTAGCTGAAGTCGCCGAGGATGAGGAACTCCGGCCGCAGTTTTACTACAAGGCTGGGTACGCACTGAAGCCCAATGACGAGGTATACACAAAGATACATAGTCTCCGAGAGGACATTGGCAACCTACTGTCTCAGACGCACGCTTTCCTGTGTCAGCATCAGGAAGACGACGTAGCCTGCTTCACCTCGCTCTACAGTGCTTACCGAAACTGGATTACTGACGTTGGGATTGAGCGGTCTGCCCGCCCTCTCGACAGACATTGGCGCATCTACAAGACCGACATCTCTCCTTTCAGAATCAAGGGCCTACGGAAGGCATACCCTCGCCCGCTTCTTATAAAACGTGCTGAGGCCTATCAGTTGATGCGCATGAAGCACAACGCCACAACAAGGCACAAGAGCGAGCTGGACAAGCGTCTGTTACTGGATCTGGCGCAGTCTAGCTTGTCATTGTACGCGGATGTGCGAAGGACAGCCCAAGGTGCACAGGACGCCTCGTTGAGGGTGTTGATTGGCGGCAGGCCAATTGTGATTCCTGTGCTTATCGAGGCCTTCCGCAAGGCTCTGCGAGATGTCGACCATGACCGTATTAAAGGCGCCATGTACACCCTTCTGCACACGTCTTTGCTGCGAACGGTTGTTAGAGACTGGAGGTTCGCACCCGATGTCATGCGCCTGTTCATTGAATCGGCTAGCATCGACAAGGAGTCCATTCAAAAGCTAGGCTCCGGCTCCGTTTACAACCTTATCTCGTTCGGCCGACCATTCGAGCGGCTCATCGTGCTCGATGAAGCAGTGCTCGACACCATCAAGCCCACCAAGGATGTTGCCAGCATCATCAGCAAGCGCCACAAGTTCATCATGCAGCGACGCGCACAGGTTGAGGATGCCAAGGCCGATCTAGGCCTAGAGCTCACACGGAAGGCCAAGACTGCCCACTGGAAAATCGCTGGTCGGTGTGCACTTTTCGCGACGAACCTCTGCTGTCGCTTTAACACTATCGCACCGAGTGAATTCGTGGACTTGGTGGCCGAGGGCACGAATGACCCTCACCCTACTCTTCGGAGTCATCACCTCCAGGCATTCACATCAGTGTTTACAATTATCGGCATGCGAGCGGCTTACGGACACGACTACAGCAACTATCTGCTGGGGAAAGAAGTGAACGAACAGCAGATGCTCAAGGTCAAGGTCGAGAAGGGGGATGAAGCCTTCACCAAACGCTACCTAGAAGCGTTCAGCCATCCCGAAGGCGCTGAATACATGGTCGACTTTGACTATCCGGGCTGGCTTGTGTGGGGGAAGGAATTCACTGCTGCCAAGGCGAAACCTGCACCCTTTGAGTGTTACGACGACACGGAAAACGCGGTTCGAGATCAAATCGGCAAAATCCTCAACAAACAGTGGTTTTCCAAGTTTTTTGCGTATTTGAAACAAGAGCCCAAGGACTCTACGTTTGACCGCTACCGACTAAGCAATGTGTGGCTTTTGACGCACTGCTTCGATCTGGCCAACTATGGCAAGACAGCCGCCACGGTGGAGGAGATTCAGGAGTTGACCGAGGAGCTGTATGGAGATGGCTCAGACAAGCACCAGCACCGCGCAGCCTCGGAGATCTTGGGTGCCATGCTCACTGGCTCTTCTGATGATCCTCCCGAGATGCGAAACCGCGTGTGGAACTTTGCCGCGCCTATGCTTCTGAAGATCATTTCCGAGCAGCTGACGCCCGAGAATGTAACATACTGGCTGACTAGCCTGCACGTGCTTCTCGAGAGTAACGACCCGCGTCGATGCCACGAGATCTTTGACGCTTTGAAGAGCTTCCGACTGGACATGACGAGCAATGCCGCCTTCAAGGAGTCGGCCAAGATCCAGCTGCTCGAGTTCGCCACCAACGATGGAGGATGGCGCTTGCAGGGGATGGAGCCCAATCTCCAGGACTTCCTCGCCCACCTGGATCACCCATATAAAGCCGTGCGGGAAGCCATGGGCCGAGTCATTGCTACGATTTACAAGACCCGGTATCACGAATCATTCCAAAATGTGACGGAACTGGTGCAAAAGAACAGGGAGTCGTCATCCATTGGTCTCCGGCCGTATAGGCCAACGCAGAACTTTACTGAGACCATTACCGGCGTGTTCCGGCAGCTTGAGCAGTGGCGTCACGAGCGAGCACCCGGCCAGCAAACTCCGTCGTCATACACTTCAGCTTCCAAGACAGTGCTCATGTGGCTTGACTGTACGCTGCAGTCGCAAGAGTGCATTCAGCTCGCCGAGTTCTTTCCAGAGCCCTTTATGGAGCAGCTGTTGCACATGATGGATGTGAAGGAGGATCCAGAGCTTATGCGGACGGCATACCATGTCTACCGCCATCTGCCCAACATTCCCCTCCGCGACGGCGAAGACGTCAAGTTCATTGATGCCATGGTGCGCATAGGCAGGACAGCCTCTAGCTGGCACCAGCGCCTCCGTGTTCTCGTCAACATGCAGGTGATCTACTTCCGGCGCATCTTCTTGACCCATCGGGACCAGCGTGACAAGTTGTTCACCGCCGTGTCTGACATGCTCAGCGACTCGCAGATTGAGGTGCGCACAAGTGCCGCCAGCACCCTCGCAGGCATGATCCGCTGTTCGCCTCGCGCCATCCGGGACGCCAAGATCACGGAGCTCAAGGAACGGTTCGAGGAGGAGCTACGCCGCAACCCTATGCCCAAGCGCCGCGCGCCGGGTACAGAGACGCCCGTAAACCACAACCAGCAGATCACGCGGCGACATGCTGCTGTATTGGGTCTGGGTGCGCTGATAGAGGCGTTCCCATACGCAACGCCTCCGCCGGAGTGGATGCCAGAAGTACTGGCGCTGCTCGCTCGTCGTGCGGCCGGCGACCCTGGCACCGTTGGTAAAGCAACAAAGACCATTTTGAGCGAATTCAAAAAGACGAGGCAGGATAGCTGGACGGTCGACCAGAAGGTACGTACAAGAAGTAGAGCTAGCTTTCACCGAGGGTACGTACTAACGCGATCTAGTACTTTACGTCGGAGCAACTGGAGGACCTGGAGGGTGTCCTGTGGAAGAGCTACTTTGCGTAGACACCCACGTCTGACGGAAAGGAGTAGGAGTAGAGCGCGCTGTGCTGGCTATGGGATTGTGAGCATAGACATTGCAATTACTCACGCGGGAAGTCAGCCTAGCCTAGCAGGCGCAACACGTGGGCGGGTACCCCTGGATCAACAGTCGTACTTGTATAGACCTATGATGCTTTGATAGCCTGCCTTCTGGGCTTGGGCAAATATATGATAGCGCGCGTGTGCGTCGTGAAGATTTGAGATGGCCATTCTGTCCGCGTGAGATGATGCCAATGCTACTGTCAAGGCTATGTTAGACACGTGATTAAACAACATCTAGATGCTTGCTAATGGTGACCAGAGCGCGATTGTCTGTTGCTGCCCTCAGATGAACGATAAGCAGGGGTTCCAACTCGTTGGCGTTGGCTCCCTGTCGCTCCCAGTTCCAGACTACAGACGTGGCCATGGGGCCGGCGGAAGCGAGGAATTGAGGAGGGAAGAGTGTCACTGTGCTTCCGAGAAGGCTGGGAAGACATAAAACCAGTAAGGGAACACGGGCCAGATTCACCTCAGCAGGGTCGGTCAGCTGGCCCTGGTCTGGTGGGCGGTTGATTTGTTGTTGATTGATTGATTGATTGATTGATGGCAGCGCCAACTCATCTCCAGTCCAGGTCGCCAGTGCCACCCACCACACCAGCTCCCTCACTTCCTCCTCTTCTTTCACCCCGATCCCAACCCAATCTTGCCATCATTCTTGTGACTTTTGGAAATACGAGTTCTCCCTCTTGCTTCTGACACCAAGAAATCCCCGTCTCTCTTCATACGTTCCCCGAAAGACCGCACAACTGGTGAGTCCCTTTCTTTCCCCGCAGCAGCGCGCACCCGCCCGCCGCCCGTTGCGACGAAAACGAGCTGCCTCCTTCGCGCTTCGACTCTGTCGCATCCCCCCTTCAACGCGTCGCATAGCCAGCGCTTTGCTTCCATCCGTGTCGCCTCACTCTAGTCTCGTGGACGTGCGCTTACCAGTTTTTCTCTCCGCGCAGAACACCCGCAGACATGGCCGGGACACGCTCACAGACTGGCAACGCCCGCCCACGCGTCTTCCAAACCGTGGACACGGAGCCCACGATCAGTCGCAAGCCTGGCGCGACGGGCCCCAAGGCCAAGGGAACAGCGGCCGCCCCCGCCGTGGGGACGACACCGGCGCGCGGCGCGGGCGGCGTGACCAAGAAGAAGAAGACGACGCCGGCGAAGAAGACGGGCGGCGTCGCGGCCAAGGCAAAGGTCGCCGCCAACAAGGTGGAGAAGAAGGCGGCGGGCGCCACGAGGGCGGCGACAAAGGTGCGCTTCTACTAGACGGTGAACTTGTTGTGGTGCTAACTTGGCAGCAGTAATCGTCGAACGACGAGCGTCGATGCCATTTTGCCTTTCAGGGTTTGGGCATGATTGTGATTTGTCGCCACTGCTTGTCACTTGATGTTGGGCGTCTGGATGTTTAGGGAAGGGTAATCATTGTCTTTTGTTGTATGCGCACAGGGTCAAATGCTATCATGAGAAGCCTTGGCCTTGCTTGTGGTTCGAAACACATGTCTTTCACTGATACAGCAATACACATCACTGTTCTTATATCGGTTGAGGTTTCACGTTTCAGGTCTGACTACAGAGGAATTAGGGACCTGCTGGTGCCAACTGTTACAGCAAGCTTGGCCTACGCAAGGAAGACGACCAAACGGCAACAACGGCGCGATATTTGAAGCCTCTTCAACAGGCATTGAGGACTTGGTCTTATGACCAGAAGAGTCTCGAAATAACCTCCATGACAATAACGCATCACAGGGTCCCCCGACGGTGCCACCACACGCGTACCTGCAGCAGCTATCCAGACATACCACGAGAGCATTGCCAAATACCTGCAATTTTCACCCCTTGACCAAAGAGAGACGCCCGCCTGAAGATCAGATCGCATTGGGGTCTAGCATCTCCCACGACTCCTGGATTAACTTGCCGTCCCTAGTCCACTCCTGAAGCAAAAAGTACTCCTGGGTATACGGGCGGCCCCCATCAAACACGCCCTCGGCGAGGGTGCGGAAGAAGACGGAGCACTTCTTCTCGTCGACGATGATGGGAAAGTCCTCGTCCCGCCATATCTTGAATTCGGTCAAGTCGGGCAGGACGTCCTCAATCATCTTCCGGAACACGGTCGCGTTCATGCGGGCCGGAACGTCGAGAGTCGATGGGTAGAGGTTGTGGTGCGAGTCGGGGGCACGCAGGGGGCCCCACATGCTGTCGTAGCCAGTGAAGTTGGACACGGTAGCTGCCCAGACTGCGACGGCCTTGGTGAGGTTGTGGCGGGAGCAGCCTTTGGTCATCGTGAAGGTTGTGGAGCTGTCCTGGTGTGGATGCTGTAAGGGAGGAAGTGGCTGGAACTGATGGTGTGAAGGGGGCTGCTTGATCGTAGACGGTCTGGTCTGCTGTGAGAAGGGATTTCCTCTCCTCTCTCCTTTTATACTACTTTCTCCATACTTCGTTGATTCGCCAAGGAGATCCCGTTGCCCAGTCCTGCAAGCACATGGACAGATCACTATGTGTCCGCTCAGGCCGCTCCAGGAGAAAGCCCGAAACGCGATACCCAATATGGAAGAACACGAGTTCCTCATGCCGCTACGTTGATCCTCCTCTGTTTAGCTGCAGCCTCATCTCTCTTCTGAAAGCCTCTTACTGGTGAGCGATCATGCGGTGAGCAACTCCACGAGCCACTGCGGAGTTGGGGGCCGGCCGCATGTCCGTCTGCTCCTGAATGCATCTGATGGAGCATGGAGGACCAGTATCACAACGGCTAATGGGTTGAAAGGTCAGGACCGTTTGAAACTCAGGAACGGGACCATGTTTCACGTGTCTCTACACAGTCTCTGTTTCCGTGGTGTGATGGTGACATGGTTCACTGACAGGGGCGGTCGTGCAGGGACAACTTCAACACTGCACATTCGAGCATGAACTCATCAAAAAAGCCATTTTAGTTTTCAACACGCCATCTGCCTATATGTCGACGCCCGAGTCACTGTGGCTCGAGACCTTTTGGCACCCAGCACCACCAATGTATCGCCTTGCCTCCTGCCTGGACTTGACAATTTTGGGCGGGCTCTTCTCCAGCTGGTCGTTCCCCTTCAGGCTCAGAACTCTGTTGGGATCGATCACCACAAGCCTGCGACCCTCACTCATCACGCGCCAGCAGGCCTCACGCAGCAACTTTTGGGCCACGTCGTTCAGCGAGTAGGCCTCCTTCAGCGAGAAGACAATGGCGCATGCGTTGTGGTGCTTGCCGTGCGTCGGGCGCGCCTCGGAGGGCACCGCGAGCTGCTGCACGAGAGCGCGCGTGAAGCGCTCCGCGCCTGCGAAGCGGATGGCGCCGCGCAATTCAAAGATGGGGATCTCGAGCTCGTGGCCCTCCTGCTTCACCCCGCCGGCAATGGTCATGACCTTTGTGTGCACCGTGGCCCGTCCCACCTGGGTAATGTCCATCATGTGCATGCCCATGTCGTTGGAGAGATGCTCGCACATGCTCATGCCGCGCACACTGTTGCCCTTCTTGTCGAGCCGCGGGGAGAAGACGGCCAGACCAAGCTGGCCAGGCAGGGCACCGATAATGCCGCCCGCCACGCCGCTCTTGGCCGGAATACCCACGCGCGACACCCAGTCGCCAGCCGCGTCGTACATGCCACAGGTGGTCATGACGGACAGGACCTGTCGAACGCTGAGGCTGGGGATCACTCTCTGGCCTGTGACGGGGTGTACGCCGCCGTTGCCCAGCGTGCCAGCCATGATGGCCAGGTCGCGGACGGTGACGTTGATGGAGCACTGACGGATGTATCCCTTGACGGCCTCGGCGGGGTCGCATTCGATGATGCCGGCCGCCTTGAGCATGAAGCCGAGCCCCATGTTCCGGTGCCAGTCCTTCATTTCCGCCTCATACACGGCTTCGTCGACCTTGAGCTCTCGACCCGCGAGCATAGACATTCCCTTGAGAATGCGAGCCACCCTCACCTCCGCCGTGGCATCGGCGGGGCCAACGAGCGAGTGAGCAGTGATGGCGCCTGCATTGATCATGGGGTTCATGGGCTTGTTTGTGCCGGATTCTAGGGATAGCTTGTTGAACACGTCACCCGACGGCTCGACCCCAATCTTGGCGAGGACGCCAGACAGGCCCCGGTCCTCAATGGCGAGGGCGTAGACAAAGGCCTTGGAGATGGACTGCATGGAGAACTCGACGTCGTCGTCGCCCACCGAGTAGACCTGGCCGTCGACAGTGGCCACGGCCACGGCCATCTTGTCCGGGTCCGCCTTGGCGAGAGCCTCAATGTAGTCTGCATTGGCGCCAGAGGTGTCATCGCGCACTCTGTCGAGCACCTTGCTGAGGTAGTCGGGGATCGGGGACTTCATGTCGAGGGTGTCGAGGGCTCGAGTGGCGGGAGGGATGAGGAGTCGAGAATGGGTAGGCGTCTCAACGAGGTCGTGGAATGCCGGCTGCGTCTAAATACCGTACCTTGGACTCTTAGCCACCCCGCTGCCATTCGACATCCGTCTTCGCCATGGACGATTAATTTTCGTGCGGTTGACTAACGACAACTACATAGTAGACACGCCATTACATAAACTTGACACGAAGCCTAGCGGCTACCATTGACATCCTAACCACCCCGCGACCCGCCCGTCACCAGATAAGCTTCGCGAGGCCGTGAGGGGAACCGACAAACACGTGTACACGGAGTCCGCATGGTCCGTCCTGGGCGGCGACGCGGCCTCGCGATTTGGCGCGACAAGTCCCTTCTTACGTATGAATATAGAGACCAGAACAGGGATTTCCCTTGTCGTCGGATCTGAGAACTCAGCAATGGGCGGGGAAAGCGTCAATGGTAGGTGGAAGCAGCCAGTTGAGAATGAGGAGGCCTCCATGATCCCTCTGGGGAACAGGACCACGGACTGGAAGCATCGAGTACTCCTAATTCGAAAATTCACTCTGCTCAAATCCCGTTCCTGCTTGCTTAATTGGAAGGCTCCATTTCTTGTGATGTGGAAAATACGGTACGTGATTGTGAGGAAGAGCTGGCCTACCCTGTACACAACTGGTGCCTCCGCCCAAGCCTCCAACTTCCAAGCTTCCAAGTAAGTGCTCGAGCTTCTCGCTAACAACTCAAATCCTCAAAATCGCTGACATCAACGGAACTGCATGCACCACCTGCAACATCCACGCCGGCTCGAAATACGTTCACCACACCGCATCTCTCGAACATGCTTCTCAGAAATTCGCAAAGAGGTTCCTCATACCCGCCCAGACTTCCTCACCACTGGGGATGATGTTCTCAGGGGGGATGGCGAAGCCGCCCTGCCTCGGCGACTGGGGCCGCAGTTCAAAAGCCCACGAGAGCTCTGCATTGGCCACATCGTACACGTAGTCCATGCTACCGCCCGAAGTTTGGTAGATGGTCTCGCACGTGGGTCCATACACAAAGTCCAGCCCGTTGACGCTCCTGATGGCATCGCGAACGCCACGAGCGAGCTCCATCTGCGTATCAAAGTCCTTCACCATAGCGTCGCAGCTGTACCCGTACGGCAGGAGAATCAGCTGGCTGTACGAGTGCCAGTCAACATAAAACTTGATTCCCGTGGACTCGGCAAGACTGAGCGTGTGGTTCGTCATGACAGCCATCTCGGGCGTGTCGCCGGGGGACTCGCCTCGGTACGTTTCGACACAGGGGTTCGTGGAAGAGCCGCCGGGCACGTCCCATTGATGGGGCCAGTTGCGGTTGATGTCTGTGCCGATACAAGAGCTGGACTCGCGAGCCTGCCTGTTCTTACGCCACAGCCGGTCATTCTCATGGGTGTGCACGAAGCCTGAAGACGTCAGCTTGGAAACGGCGAGAAGCTCCACAGCAACCGGCTTGCTCACCATCGGGGTTGATGACAGGCATGATGTAGAAATCATAATTGTCTAGCGTCTCGGTGATGAGAGGCTCCTTGATGCGGTAGTCGCGGATGATTTGGTAGGCCATGTACTCGACAGTCTTTTTCCTCGGTCAGCCCATGCTTCACCTGTCAATCCTCGTCGACGATCCTACCGGGGTGGTGATCCATTCACGAGCATGGACGGTGGCGTGCCAGATGATGGCAGGCTTGATTCCAGGGCCATCACGACCCCAGAGGTGGATGCCCCTGAGCGGACGTCCTTCGAGCGACAGGCCGGCATCGAACAGCTCAGAGTTCCGCACAAAGGCGCTCTGCAGATCCTCGAGGAAGTCGAGGTGATCTTCAAAAACATGGTACGAATCGAACCAGGACATGTCGGGAAGACCGGTGCAAACGTCGCGGGCCTTCTTCCTAGCTGTGGAACAGTATAGTCAGTAAGAGCCATGTCGAGTCCTCTTTTCGGGGCTTCATACCCTTGTATGGCTTGATGTCGCCTTCCTTGGCTATCTCCGCGCCCATGTCTTCAATCGAGACCTCCACGTCGAGTCCGAGGGCCTCAAAGGCCTCCAGGTCCTGAGGCGCAACAGCCACCTCGAGGGACTTGTGGTTGCTCTCGCAGTCGAGAGACACGTACTCAATGTCGGAGAGCTTGGCCTGCATAGCCTCAAAGTCGCTGGTCTCAATGTGGAAGACCTTGTACCCGTCATAGGACACCTTGGCCGCCACGGCCTGCAGGCCCAATGCCAGCGCAGCAAACGACTTCATGATGATGATGATGTTCTTGATCTTGGTTCGAGTAGCACTGATACTTCTCAGGGCTGTCAACATGAACCTCGACAAGCAGCGCAGCTCGCCCACTTCTTATACCCATGCCCAGACTTGCTTGTTATTTACCCGCTGTACCACGATTCAACCTCCACAAACGATCCTGTTCGATTCGAGCAGGAGACAAGCATGTGGTACGGTCTGGGGAAGACGGTAGGCCCCATTATGCTTATCAGACCATTGGCAGCAGAAGGCTGGGTGCGATGCCCTCACCTGCCAGATTGGGCAATAAACCTTTGGACAATGTGCATGCGTGCCTTGTCTTATGCTTGTCCACGACGCCACGCTTGCCGGCCCCCTTCCCCCCGCACATGCGAGCCAAGACTTTCCACGAGGCCGAGATCAAGCATGATCTCAACAAAAGTGCGAGCCCCTCGCTCGAAGAGGCCCCGACAACCTGTACTATGCTTGACGACAGGGGCGTGATAGCCTCGGCCGTGGCACGATGGCTATTGTTGCTTAGCATGTAGAAGCGCTACCACGTTGATACAGACTCGAATCACTTCGGATCAGGCCTTTGTAGTCCACTTTGGATCTAGGTATTCTGTATTCATCCGGACACTAGAATGGAAAATATTGAATCCAGTCCGTTGTGTGGGTTAATGAATATCAACCCACCCATCCCTCAACTGAGCACTCAAAACTTCCTTCAAGGCGGCAACTATTCGTTGTAAAGCCCCTGCTTTCCAACATTCAAATCATGTGGGCACCTTGGATTCGCAGAAACTGGGCCTCACGTGCGTTGAAAAGAAAACGGGAAGCAGTTGTCGACACCCAGCACGCGTACCAGGTTTCAGGGAACTTATAGGGTACTCAGTCAGCCATTGCCCTCTCTCTAGGGTAGGCAAGCACAGTCCCGGCGATCCACCTTGCAGTCAGCCTCGACAATGACAGTATCGAACGGTCGTCTTTCCATCGTCAATGATTGATTCTACGTGAATCCTTTGGTGCTATTTACCGAAAAGTGCCCAAATGGAGGTCTCTTCTCGTCAAACCTTACCATACAACTCAAAGTGGCTTTGCTCATGAGCTTGCCGGATCCGGACGCAAGGCAGCATGACCGTTGGCGGAGGGGTCCATCCACGCGCCAAATGAGAGGAGCTCCGTGCACAATCAGCCAGGACGCTCAACTGCTGGGCGAGGCTTAGAGCTAGGCAATTCGTCGCTGATTATGACACTCCAGCAGCGATTCATTCAGAGACGCACGGTAGACACGATGGTCTCGCGTCTTTGATTGTTTATATAAGGACGAATGCGACCACTTGGGGATGAGCACCAACAGCATCAGCTTCCTCTCGCACGCACCAGGCAGCACCAGAATGGACGACACCCTCAACGATATAGACGCTGCAAATTACATAGTAGCTGCTCAACATCGCATGATGCCGGTTCACCTCGCTTCGCCTAAATGGCGCGACCTCTCAACCAGCATCAGCACCGGATTCCAGGACGAAGAGACATACTTGAGGCAGCGCGAGAAGCTCCAGCAGCAAGAAAGGTCTCTTGGGTTCGACTTTCGATGCAAGAGCCGGGCGACTGACAAGGAACTCCAAGCGAACAGCATCATCCAGGCGTTGAGGGGAAAGGACAACCAGCAAGTTTACGGCAACGCGATGCCAAGGGCAGGGCATCAGGGCCAGCATCATGGACGATTCGCTGGTGATCATTTCCTTTCAGATGTCGACCTGATCAACCAAACGAGTTTATTTGACGTGGCGCGGAGGATGCCCAAAGGCGCCCATCTACACGTCCACTTCAACGCCTGTCTGCCGCCCGAAGTCCTACTCAATATTGCCAAGGACATGGAGAGAATGTTCATTACAAGCGACAAACCACTCACGTCGAAAGAGGCCTTTGACACGTGTGAGCTGCAGTTCTCGCTCGTCTGTAAAGGCAAGGAAAAGCACGGAAATATATTCTCGGAAGTATATACGGATAGACAACATATGCCCTTCCAGCATTTCTTACACGAGTTTAGAGACGAGCGGGCGGATGTGGAGGTGGACACATGGCTTGTTGAGAAGCTCATGTTCGGCGATGCCGAAGCGTACAACATGCGGCAAACAGCACATGGGTATGGACCCTCACCGACATAGTAGCATGATACGATTATACTAATGAAATAGGGCCTGGGAGAAGTTCAATGGTAGGACACGGATGATGAAGGGGCTCATCAACTACGAGACCGCCTATCGCAGGTACACACGCCTCCTGCTCGAAGATTTTACCCGGGATGGCATCTCCTACGCGGAGATCCGGCCGAATTTCATGACGAGCAATCATCTCTTGCAGGACGACGGCGACAAGACGATTGACAATGCTGGCATTATGGAGATCATCATCCAAGTGGTCGAGGGATATCAGAGGGAGATGCACGCCAAAGGCGACTTCTTCGGAGGGCTCAAGGTCATATATTGCACGCCAAGGAGTTTCCGCAAGGATCAAATCGCCGAATCTTTGCAAGAGTGCTTGAAATTCAAGAAGAGATGGCCGAAATGGATTGCTGGTATGTGCACCTGGCGGGCATTGGGCTGGTTTGACTGACCATTTCCCTCCTCAGGCTTCGACATTATCGGCGAGGAAATGGCAGGCCATCCTCTCAAACACTTTATACCAGAGTTTATCCAGTTCCAGCAAGACTGCGCGGCAGCCTCGGTATCGATGCCTTTTCTTTTTCATTGTGGCGAAACGCTCGATGACCCAGAGGGTAATCTGTTGGACGCACTCCTTCTGGGCGCGAGGCGCATAGGCCACGGGTTTGCACTGACCAGGCACCCCTATGTCATGCAGCACATGAAGGCGCGAGGTGTCTGCTTGGAGTTGTGCCCTATATCAAATGAGGTCCTGGGGTTGACGGGCCGGGTCGGCGGGCATACAATGTACGAACTTTTGGCCAACAATGTCCACTGTACAGTCAACTCTGACAACGGGACGCTATTTCGGTAAGAGCTTGCAGTCTGTCACCAATGGCTGTTTTCGACTAATAGCGTGAACAGATCAAGTCTGTCCCATGATTTCTACCAGGTCATGGTTGGCAAGGACGACATGGGCCTCGCGGGCTGGAAGCAGCTGATCCTATGGAGCATCGAGCACTCCTGTATGGATGACGCGGAGAGATTGCAGGCTCTAGAGGCCTGGCAGCGACAGTGGGAAGAATTCTTGACCTGGATTTTGGAGGTATATGGGCCTGTGCTGGAATCACAGGATGATGCAAGCAATTGAGGAAGTACGAGGACGATACACCCAGAGAAACGTAGAGATGCGATAGATTTAGTCGGATAGAACCTGCAAGCGCCTGTCATCACCATCCGCGATTCGTTTCCAGTGCCCATAGCGGCACAAATGCTGCATAAGACGCTTCTATGGAGGCTGGTAAGCATGCAGATTGACGCGCAACTCCACTGTAGAAAGGAGCAGCTGATCGACATTGAACATGCGACGTGATGCAGGGATCAGCTGCTTGAAAGCCCCAGCCTCACAAATGATTCCTCAAACGCTTCCGACACCTTTTCTTTATCTTCCACCATTGTCCCGACCACTCGCCCGTCCATGGGCTCGACACAATGTCCGAATGGAAGTGGTTCCCCCCGGTCAAGACCGACTGGTCGCTTGACGTGGTCAATCTCCTCGTGGTCATAGGCGAGACGTCCATCATTGAGCATGCGCAACCCATCACAGCGTCGCTGCTCTGCGTGCTGCCACGCATCATACCGGCGCCACAGGTCTTCCTCAAGCCCGTCCGACCAGGGCGCATGCCCGACACGGCCGCCAAGATGACGGGCGTGTACAGCGGGACCACGCTGGACTCTGTCGGCTTCTTTGCCAACATCATCACGCCCCTGGACGAGATGCCCGCGCTGGGCTTCCGCGTCATTGAGGTGCGGCACTCGGACAAGTGTCGCCTAGAGGAGCATGCCCCGTTGGAGAAGAGGTGGTGGGTGAAGCTGCTGGGTTCCATGACACCCAAGTTCAAGAAAGCAGAGCTCGAGATGAAAAGACGGAGCGGGGAGGTGAAAAGGGCATCTCCGCAGGCAGACGAGGAGACAGGCCGGACGACGGCGCGTGAGATGCAGCAGCCAACGTTGACGGTCAAGAAACGACACAGGTCGACGCGCCAGACACTCCAGGACCTCCTCACAAACCCTTCCATGGCCTACTCTGGGCAGCGGCCTGCCGTACCTGTCCATATCTTCTCGCCTATCCATATCCTAGGGATCATCTCGTTCTTCAACTCCATTGCCATCATCGTCTGTGCTGTCATCTGGGAGGACGGCAATGCCATCCTCGCCATCGGAGGCGTCTCGCTCATGTCTTCGGTTGTCGGGTTCGCCTCTTTCTGGAGGCCCCTCCTGATGAGCCGCAAACACGACAATGAGGTTCCAGACGGCGACGTCATGATTCGGACGCGAGAAGGCGCCTTTGTCCTCGTCAAGTGCACCGAGGACGTGGCAAGAGAGCTGTACAGCGGAACGGAAGAGTGCGAGTACTACGTGAATGGGAGGATCTACCGTCTCCTGATGGTGATTGGCACCGTGCTGCTCATGCTGTCGGTCGTGCTACTGGGCAACTGCACATGGAACTCGCAAGTCTTCATCGGCGCATCGTATATTGTGCTCAACGGGCTGTACTGGGCCCTGGGCATGCTTCCGCGGTCGTACTTTTGGGATCTATCGCGCTATGAGTGGAGGAATGCGACCCCCTCCGACGCTGAGCAGCCCGGCGACGACCAAGACAGGAGCTACACGAGAACCTTGTGGTATGCCATTCGTGAGACGAGAGGCAAGACGGGCTGGGTGAGAATCAGCGGAGCCGCCCCAAGTACGGACAAATGGAAGCAATGGGTCAAGGAAGCCGGTCGCAACGCAAAGATGGGCGTGCGAGACTGGGACGCTGTGAGGAGAAAGGACGAGATTATGAGGGCGGCTTCGGATGACGAGGACGACGAGGATCACGAGGCACTGGAATGCGCCCCCTTCACCCAGATCACCCGAAATGACCAGAACAGGCTGTCGGTATCCATGTTCTGATACGAACCAGACACCTTCTACGACTAATGATACCATGATCATGTGCGATCAAATGCTGCTTGATGTATTGAGTCCAATGTTCAGTTTAATATTCACTGGCCATGGCTGCCCCAACATCTACCCTGATCCTTAACGCCGGCTGTAGATTTCTTCTTCTTTTTCTTTCTTCTTTTTTACGAATTGTGTCTAGTCGTCAAAGTAGACTGCCCCCTTGTGCGAGATGTCGATCAGCCCACCCTTGAAGCTCCCCTTCTTCTTCTTGTTCTTCTCCTTGGTGAAACCCTTGCCCTTTGTCACAATGAGATCCTCGTGCGCCCGTTTCGAGTAGTCGACGTGGGCCCAGGAGTTGTCGGCGAATTTCTCGTCCACCTTGATGTTCTTGGGTATACGCGAGAAACGCTCGTTCTGCTTCTTCTTCTTGAGTTCCACCGGGTCCGGGGGAAGAGGAGGGTCCTCGGAGGCCGAGGCGGTATCGACCGTCACGGAGGACGCCGTCGAGATCTTGTCAGTCGCCGGCTCGTCGACCTTTTTGACAGTCTTGGTCACGGTCTTTTGGACCTTGGGCTGCTTCTTGGTTGTCTTCTTCTTCTTCTTTCCAGACGAAGAGTCGCTGTCGGAAGAGGAGGACTCTGATGACGAGTCGCTGTCTGAGGAGTCGGAGGACGAATCGGAAGAGGATTCGGACGAGGATGAGGAGTCGGAAGACGAAGAGGAAGACGAGGAGGCGGATGAGGAGGCTGACGAAGAGTCGCTGTCAGACTCTGGCAGGGCGACCTTGGCGGCTTCCTTGGCCTTGACGGGCTTTTCCTCCTCGCTCGAGTCGGAGCTGGAGCTGGAGCTGGAGGAGTCAGAGCTGGAAGAACTAGATGAGCTCTCCTGCTTCTTCTTCTGCTTCTTCAACTTTGGCTTGGCCTCTTGCTCAGACTCGGAGTCGCTCGACTCAGAAGGGCTGCTGGAGGCCTTGCGCTTCAGGGTTTTCTTGACTGGGGCCCTCTTCGTCTTCTTCTTCTTTTGCTGAGCATCCTCGCTCTCCGAGTCGGCGTCGGAGTCGCTTGATGACGAGGACGAGGACGAAGAGTCGCTAGAGGCATCCTTCATGTCGACATCAGCTGCTTTGGCTCCAGCGTTGCTGTCCTGCCATGACTTGACAACATCCTCCAGAGACGCAGCTCCAGTGGGTGTGGCGCGCGCCCAGCCATTCTTCTCGACTTGCTTGGTGAAGGCAGTGGCGGCGCTGGAGGCATACTGGCTGAGGAAGCCTTCCACGAGTACAATGAGCTCGGCAGATGGCGCACTGGGAGAGACCGCGGCCTTCTTGGGCTTCTTGCTGTCGGTCTTCTTGGCCATGGTGTCGAACTCGTTTGCGCCCGGCTGCGATTGAGCGGTGGTAGACGGATTGGCAGGCGGATTGGACGGGTTGTTGGCGAATAACCAGGACGGAGGTCCAGATGACATGTGCAGTGGGATCACCCGGTGTGGCGGCGATGGACGAGGCGTGTACTCGTTCAAGAGTTCAGAGTCTGGTCAGAGTGAGTGAGTCCGTAAAAGATATCGAAAAATTTGTGTGGACCCCTGGCGAGACCGGCGCGGACACGCGACATTACTTATCGATAAGGGTGCCTGCGACACCCGTTGCTTGGCCCGGTTGGAGTTGGTCGACATGGAAGCCCAATTGAGATCTACCTCGACGCGAGCTTGCCTACCGTCACCATAGCACCCACTCAACGTCTGGCCTTGTGCATGTCTGTAGACACAAGGCCTTCTCGAGCTCTCAGCAGCTCGTAGCGCGTCGAGCTTCACCTCAACTCAAGCAAGATCGCAACCACCGCGTCTTAGACGCCCCGACATTTCCAACCATGAACAACACAAAGCGAAAGTTCAACTCGCTTCTGCAAGGTCTGAGCGCGCCAAAACCCTCGCCTGCGACCGACAAGCCAAGACAGCCCCGGACGACCGCTGAAGTCGAAGAGCTCCTACAGAAACGCCGACGTTTGGGCGTGCCACAATCCAATGGCACATCCCTCTCCACAAAACCGACGACAGCTCGTTCGACGATAACATCCCCTGGCCGGAGGCAAGAAGTCAAGGAGGAGAAGCCAGCTGCGCGGTTCAATCCCAGCGATCGTGGAGAATTGCTCAAGAGGCTTGCGACGTTTCACGATATAACAGACTGGACGCCCAAGCCAGAGCGGCTGAGCGAGATTGAGTGGGCGAAACGAGGGTGGGTATGCCACGGCAAGGAGACTGTGCGGTGCCTCCTGTGCAACAAGGAGCTGGTGGTCAAGTTGAAGAAGGAAGCCAACGCGAAAGAGGCAATGCAGCCAACGTCTGCGGAGGTGGAGAAAGCCCTCGTAGACAAGTACGCGAACTTGATCGTCACGCATCACGGACCAGAATGTCTTTGGAGAGAAAGAGGGTGTGAAGGTATGCTAACGCAACCCATCTTATGAAGCACCAACTACTGACACGTCCAAGGCAACCTCCTACGACTGCCGCTCGCGAGCGCTACAGCATCGTTGCAGGCACTCAGGGAAAGGTATGATGAGCTCTGCTCTCGAAAGCCCTTTTTGCCATATGAAGTCAACTTGCGACTACCCGAAGGCTTTGAACTGGACGACATACTGTCAAATCTTCCCAGCGATTTCTTCCAGTCGAGTAGTACCACAGGAAACACGGCGGAGCCAGACCGTGTTGCTTTGGCCCTTGCTTTATGCGGCTGGCAGGGCCTGTCAAACCCTCGCATGGGCGCTGTTCCCAACTCAGCCTCGTGTCACACTTGTCTCCGACGTCTTGGTCTGTGGATGTTCAAAAGCAAGGAGATCAATCTGGAGACCAACGAGGTCATTCTGCCCGCGCCAATGGACCACCTTGATCCAATACGAGAGCATCGCTTCTTCTGTCCGTGGAAGAACGCCGAAATCCAGAAACGACAGTACTCCAAGCTTGCAGAACAGGAGGCGCAGCCTGGCTGGAGGGTGTTGCTACAGACCCTAGACAACGACGCCCAACTCAGGAGCATGTACGAAGGGAAACCAAGGAGCAGGCCGCAGTCAACTGTAGACATTCCTCACACGCCCTCCAAGGGACCACCAAGGACCCCGGGGCCTGCGACACCTGCGACACACTCAGGGCTACCGCTTACACCGGCCACCGTGGCCACTCAGGGCGTTGAAGATGAGGAGAAGGTGCAGGAGGCCAAGGACAAGGAGAGGTGGGCGAGGCTGAAAAGAGTAAAGAGCCTCTTTGATCTGCGCGGCGCGCGGAAACGCGGCAAGTCTGCCAGTCGACCCGGGACTAGTAATTCGACCCGCACGACAGGCGGCGATGTAGCCGATGCGACGACCTGACATCTTGGAGCATGTTGATTGAGAGCATTGCGTGGAGTTTATGTGGTATGATGCATTAGTTTGCTACTAGTAGGTATCTTACAAAATGGTACACTCTGTCTAAACATGCTTCCGGAATGTAGACGGAACCACCCCCTAAAACGCCTTGCCCATGCAGTTTGCCTTCCATGTACAATTACAGTGTTACATATTCTGCATCTTTCGCAGCATATCATCCCAGGAGACTGTGTCGCCACCATACGAAATGTCTTCCGGATTGGCCTCCACTTTGCTCGTCGTGGCGTCGAGATCCATACCCAACATGTCTCTGAGGATGGCCAGGCGAACTCCCCTCATGCCGGGTGCATTGGCAATCGACCGTCTATGAGGGAACGCTGCGGCCGTGACATGGATCTCTGGCACCCATCCAGTGCCTCCAGACCATGAAGAGTGCACTTGTTTCGAACCATTCTTAATGACGTTGATGTTCGCGCGGACCTCGGCGGCCACGTTGAGGCAGTATTCATACCACTCCTTGCCAGCGCGATCGGCCTTTGTCAAGATCACCATGAGCTTAATGCCTCGCTGGGCAAGGAGGTTCATAGTCCATCGATCCATATCCGAGATCCGCTTCTCGGCAGGCAGCAAGAGGATGGCTCCTTTGAGCATGGTCCGCTTATTGATATAATCGCGCGTCACAGCGCCCCATGCCGCGTGGCTGCCGTGGCCATACCCGGGAGCGTCCATCACCACGAGTCCATGGTTAGCCGGATCGGTACCCTGGGGGAGCCCCTGGTTGACCATGGAGTCCGCGGGCTGACCGACACCGTACGCATTCAGCGTGCGCGTGCGGCCCGGCTTGGAGCTCGTCCTGGCCACGTCGGTCCGACCCAGCAGTGAATTGATAAAGGTTGACTTGCCCACATTGGAAGCGCCCAGGACAATTATCTCGGGCGTGTGCGTTTGAGGCCGAAGGTCAGCCCATTCCGAGGCGGAGAAGAGAAACTTGTAGTTCTGACGGAAGAAGCGATCCGCCGTGGCCATGGCGCCGCGCACGGCCACCGGAGGCGACGATTGCGGTTTCGTCGGTGGCGATCCAGGGGCGGGAACCGTGATCAGATCCATGGGTGCGAGAGAGGCGACACTTGGATTCCCCTCAATCTTGGTTCTGGAGAAGAGACGTTTGGGGGCTGGCGGCACGGACGGCTGACTCTGAGGACGAGGCCAGCTGGTCGTTGGTGGGCGTGCTCGGTCCTCCTCTTCAGGGAAGAGGACATCTTCCTCGGATTCGTCAGAGGTCTGACGGTTGAAGGGAGGCACTGTCTTCTCCTGGCGCTCTGTGGGCGACTCAGGGGTGGAGCCCCGGTTGGTAGGGTCAGCAAGAGCTGAAAGAAGGCGTGCCTCGTAGGATGGTTCTGCTGGCGTGTTGTTCGACGAGAGGCGATCGTCTCCACGTTGGGATGCTGACTCCCGTGCAGCAGCAGAGGTAGCTGGAATTTGTGCTGGCCTGCGCATCGGTTTCATCCTAGGATTATCTGCCACAGGCCACGCGTCGCTCGTCCCTGATCTGGATCCGAATCGATTTGAAGGTTCTGCGGCACCCCTAGAGCGAGCCCTCTCTCTCCTGCCTTGGTTCTTCCTGTTCTTCTCCGTCTGACTGGCTGGCTTGTCCGATTTCCTCTGCGCTGCCATGGCTGCAAATGGGTCTGCGCTGGCCGTCGATGATGCCGCCCTTTCGGACCTCGTGTTGCCTGCCTGCCTACCTCTCGGCTCAGGTTTATCTGACTTTCTCATCGTCATCATGGACGCAAAGGGATCTGCTACTTTGCCCATCCTGCTACCCGCGCGATCGGCTTCCGCAGCCACACGGACGGCGTCGACTTTTCTTTTCTCCCGAGCAGCCTTCAACGCTTCGAGCCTGGCGGTCTTCCGCGCTACGGCTTCACGGAGCTTGGCGGACGAACCGGGCGAAGACTTCGAGATCCATTCGTGAGGTCCTGAACGCAGAAGGGGACCAGCAGAATACGAGAATTGCCGTCGTGAGATTTGTGAAAATTTAAGATGTGGTGTCGGTGTGAGGCGAATGTCTCGTAAGACGTTCAGTGTTCGCGCCATGACGCTGCTGCAGTTGAATAATGAAGGATTCCTATAATAACATGATACTATGATAATACAGAGCTTGGGGAAGTTCGGCCTGCGAAAGTCCTATTATTTGGCGACGTGATGAGATGAATGCTGTCGAGATGATGCGCGTTGATACTCCCGATGAGTTTGATGAAGTGAAAAAAATAGCTAGCACGTGACCTGCACCACATGTCTGTATGCCATGGCATCGATGTCGATGAAGTGAGCTGTGATCTCTCAGAAGTCGTTATTTATACTTTGATTCTACAACTACAATTCCATTGATTTATTTCATTTTCTCAACAATCTCATTTCATCCGTTTGCCTGCCTTGCTGTTTAAATACGTCCGCTGCTCCGACAGGACCTCATCGACGGCACAACCCACTGTCACCATCGCAGCCAGCATGACGGTGGCACTCCAGGATCTGGACGCGCACGAGCAGCCGTCAGAGGGCATGCGAGCCGAGTGGAAGAACTTCACCAAGATCAGTCACGAAACCGTCCTCCGAGATCCACGCATCGATGACCCGCGAAAACCACTATCGGAAAACGGCTTCAAGACAGCAGGCCATATCTCAAAGTCCCAAATCAAGGAGGCGTTTTCAAGCATAGCAATCGATGCAGACATCAAAGAAGATGCTCCCCTGGTTCACCACCCCTTACTCCCCGGTCTCCTGATCGCACCAAACCTCGTGCCGGAAAATGTCCAAACCAGACTTGTGGACCTCATGGTCCATCGTGATCTGAGCAATCCGACACACCAAACCAACATGCATCTTCACTTTGATGTACCCTATCCTCCAGGCGGCGCTTCCTTCTTCTCTCTCCCGCCCGATGGACCGCTTTTCACACCCAAAGATCCCAGCATCCACAAACCACTGTCGCCCTCACAAGTCCTCAACAAACGTCTCCACTGGGTCACTTTGGGCGGCCAGTATGACTGGACGGACAGGGTGTATCCGAACGAGAAACCGCCTCCTTTTCCGGAGGACATTGCCGCTTTCCTGGAGAGTCTGTTCCCGGCGACGGAGGCACAGGCGGCCATTGTCAATTTTTACAGTCCGGGGGATACCATGATGATGCATCGCGACGTCAGCGAGGAGGCGAATCGAGGTCTGGTCAGTCTGAGTCTGGGATGCGATGGTCTCTTCATGATCGCCCCGAGCAGCGCGGGGAATCAAGAGGCGGAGTCGGAATACGACGGTGACAAACAGTATCTTCTGCTGCGATTACGGTCAGGCGATGCCATTTACATGACCGAAGAGTCGAGGTATGCGTGGCATGGTGTCCCAAAGGTAGTCAAGGGAACCTGTCCCGACTTCCTCGCACAGTGGCCAGCAGACGGCCAAGATGCCGCGTACGAAGAATGGAGAGGCTGGATGAGGAACAAGAGGATCAACCTCAACGTCAGACAGATGAAGGACTAGCAGTTGGTATAATGAATGCTCAAGTTAACAACGCCAAGTCACACGGTGCCGTGCCATGTCGAACTCCCACCTATGCAAAACCGAATCCCTGGGCGTTTTCCAGCGCCATCGCCAGTCGCTCCCTAAGAGCGTCCTTATCCTTATACTCCGGAAGCAACAATGTACCGTAACATGTGTAGGCCGTAGGTAAATGCCCATTTTCGTCTTCCTCGCCATTCTTCTGTATAATGAATTGCAGGTTGCTCACACCGCCCACCGGCAGTCGATCAGATGCCGTGACAAACTCAAGAAGGCGCCGCTTCATGCCCTCATCATAGCGCTTGACGATGGACCAAAAGTCCCTGATGGTGCGGTGCGAGGCATCCCAGCCGACATATCGTGTGCAACGTCGCAGCTCGGCAACGTCAATCTCCTGGACACCCTCCACCAGCGCTTGCAGGTTTTTCGGGTTGAGGAGGGTGAGCGACTTTGGGTGCAGGCAGGTGCGGAATCCTCGCTCAAAGGCCGAAAATTGAGGTCGCACTGACACATCCGTCAAGAATCGAATGTAGTCGGCTACATAGTCTTCCCGGTTGTCTTTGGTCACGAGAGGTGCCTCTTTGCCGTCCTCCAGAGGGGCAAAGCCCTTGCCAACTTGTGGCCAGGCCATGTCCTCTGGGCCCATTTCTCGCGTGACGTGACTGCCGTACGTCAAGACCGAGAATTCGTAGGTCCTCGCAAACACGTCCTCCACGGCTCCATCGTTTTCGTTCCAGTCCTGCAGCATGGTGAGACCGCTGGCCAGGTCAGGCCATCCGTCTTCAATGTGGTGAAGGTCGGTCACCGGTCTGTTGAGCAATTTTCGGTACAGAGCCGTGGGAAAGGTCACCGGTAACGTCAGGCCGTTGTAAACGGCTAATGATACGATGAGCCCAAGCAACTCGAACTTCCACAGCTCAACCACCGAACCGGGCGCGAACCAGGCCATTCGCGTGCGATCGTCGACTGTGAATGCGCCGTATTGGGGGTGGAGGAACTCGGCAATCGCCATGCGGAAGAATTCCTGCTGCACACCGCCCGAATCGAACCCTTCCTCTCCACCCTCCTCACCGAGATGCACCTTGAGTGGGCACAGGAGCTCTCTATGCTCTCGCCGCCAGAGCTGGTCAAAGGCATCCCGCAAAACGTGCTCTCGGCTGATTTCTAGAACCAAGTATCTGCGCGATGCTGTTTTGAGCATGTCCTGCAAGACCGTCTTGTGATGCGGGTTCGTGATCAAGCTGCCCTTGTCAACAATCGCGTTCATCCTCGTCCTGAGAGAACTAGATTCTTCGTATGCACGACTCATCCTGCCAAAATTGATAGCTCGGAAGAGCGAGACGAGACTGTTTCCCGTAAACAGGTAAGGGTAGTCAAGCATATGTCCTCTCTGGCTTGTCGAAGCGAACGACAACCATGCGATGGGCACAGTCAGCGAGTCGAAGCGCTCCGAGAAGTACTCCATCTGGAAGTCGCGACCAAGTAGTTGGAGCGACTGCTTCTGTCCATGCATTGACTCAATGAGCGTCAACGCCCCGGCAAAGGCACCGCTCGTTGCGAAATCAGCCTTGCCGTCCCACTCGTGCAAAAGAACTGCGCGGGCCCATTCCAGAATAAGGATCTGCATCCGGCCATGATGGAAGAGGCGAGCATCTTCGGAGAATTCTAGTGCTGGCGTAGACTCGAGTCCTGATACATCGATCTGGCTGAACACCGGGTCCAAAACGTCGATAACGCTGCTGTCGTCCTGCGCACTGTTCCTGCGGTCCATACCCAGCATAGTCGCGAATTTGCGACGTGCTATAAGCGCAGAGCAAAGCCTCGAGGCCAGTCGGATGGCCAAGTCATTCGAGAATGCGTCATCAAATCTTTCGCGTAGCTGGGATGGCTGGGCGAGTGCATCTACATTGCCGCTCAAGGCGAGTCCCTTTGCACGCACCCAAGTCAGTGCGCGCAGCGAGTGTTTGTCAGGTACCATGGGTACGCTGCCTGCCAGTGCATGGAGGCATATTGCCATGACACATCCAGCCTGGTGGTCTGATAAAGCGCGACGATTGCGTCGGAATAGCTTCGTGTCACTTGGCCCAACCTGCTGCAAAGTGGTCGATGGTATGAACAGCGCATCAGCAGCCATCCACAGGCTGTGAAATACCAGACTAGGCACCGCGCCCGTGAGACGTGACATGCAGTACCAAAGCGTGTGCGAGTCGAACAGATCGTCGTGGGCTGAAAAAGATGAGATCAATGCCTGAGGATCACTCAGCACGCTGAAAATTGCTTGCTCGCTGAAATGTCGCCATTGTCGCCGGGATACCGGGTTGTGGGTGTCGTGCTTCCGTCTTAACGGCGTCTTACCACGGCTAGGCCGCGGTAGCTCGTCGACTCGATCGCGACGTTGGTCAATCGGTTCTTCGCCGGTATTGTCCATGTCGAGCACGTCGCATAAGAAATCGACAACGTCAGCGTCAAGGCGCTTCAGCGACTGCGGCGGAAGGCATTCCAGTGGTGCAGGGGCGCTTGAGTCGTCTTTTGCAACGGGATCATCGAAAAGCTTCGTCTTGATAGGTATACACTTGTGCTTGGTGGGAGAGGGCATGGGGGATTCATCTTCGTCATCTTCGGCCTCATCCTCCGCTTCCTCGTCTTCTGACAGTGTCGAGGTTCGACCTTGGTCGCCGAGAACGGGGATAGGAGATGTCGTGCGCCCAAAGAAAGCCGGCTTGGCAGGCGTGTCGAATACGCCTCTAGGCACCGTGGCCGACACTGACCTAAGCGAGCGATTCAGCTTTTCAGGAAATAGTCCATTTGGTCGTGGAGACTTTGTAGGTGATCTGAACTCGTCTGTCTTGGTCGGTGAAGGGGGTTCTAGGGATGCTCGTCTCCGAGGCTTCCAGGACTGTGGTGAAGGGAACAAAGCCTCGGGACCGCGCCGAGACTTGGTCGGATCTATTGGTGAGGCATTGAGTGATTCGGGCGGAGCGAGTTTCTCGGGCAATTCTCCATTCAACAAGGAGGGAGACTTGAGAGGCGATCTCAAGTCTGCAATCGGATCGGACCGTGATGTTGCTGTACTAGAACCGCCCAGGCCTGAACTGGGCTCCTCATCGTCGGTTTCGCCTGACTCATCTTCTCCCATAAGATGGTCGACCCGTAGCTTTTCGCCCATGGACGTTATACTTTGCGGGCTTAACCATTCGATCATCCGGAAAGCGACCGTGCCGAACAGATTCGCAGCAAAAGAGCGATGGTCTTTGCTTGCTGGTTGCTCACGGATCTTATATGAAAATCGGTCTTGCACTTCTCTCGATCTCTCATCGCCGCCATCTTGAAATCGTGGGTCCTCGTCGCTGCAAGCTCGCTCCAAGCTGTGCGCGGGCAGAGGGCCACTGTTGGATCGTCGCGAGCGGGCACCGGTAGAGAAGTCACCGCCGGGATTTGCACTGCTTTTCGATGTCGACGAGCCATCGGCGGCTGCGCGCTTCGCTGTCGCGAGCGGTAACTCGCGCGCCGTTATCTCGAATATCAGGTTATTATGCGTCGACGGAGAGACTTCCTTCGGAATCCGGAGCGCAGGACATAATCCCGATTCGGCATCATTTTGGCTTGCGAGGTATACAGCAAGTGTCCTCGCGCTTTGTTGGCTATACTTCCGAGTCGGCGCCTTGCCAGCGAGACGCTTGCGGCAGGTGAAGCATGTTGAAACGGTGCAGTTGGGGGCGCCGCATCCATCGCGGAGTTGGTGGATGTACCTGTCGACATTAGCAAGAAGAGTAAAATGATTCTGATGGCACAAACTTGTTGACTAGAGTTTGGAAGCCATGCCTGCGCGTTGCCCTGTGAATTGCGTACACATGCCGGGGATCCTCGACGTCGGTTACATATTCTTTGAGTTCAGGCGGCGCATCTGGAGGCAAGCGAGCGAACGGGGCCTCTCGCCAGAGGCCTGAGATAATATCGATGTCTCTGTCGTCGATGCTCGTGTTCCGTCGAGTTCGCGTTTTTAATGGCGTGGATGCCATGGTGAAGGGGCGTCGGCGAGATCGCACTTGGAGGCGCTGCGGCGCCGAACCGGCAAGGTTGGCAGTGCAGGGCGCAATACTTGCAACTAGGTCAACATTCTTGTGAAAACGGGGGTTTGGGCAGTATTATTTCGTGCTTGTTCTGGGTATCTAGGAACGGTAGTCGTCGTTGTTTGCGTGATGAAAGAATACAGTCGGCGGTATTTCCAGGAGATTCTGGTCGCTGACGTTTAACGCGCCTCCAGGGCCCAGGGGCGGCAGCTACGGTAGGCAATGTGCCAGTGATGCTGGCCTACCCTATACTCCCTCGAACTTCTCACGCCGATTCCCCGAGTCCTTCAATTTCGCAATGACGGATGGCTCTGCATAATTTGATGACGCACCTGGTGATTCCCAATGAGTCACAACGAATTTTACTGTTTCTAGACTGGCCTATGGCGTGACATATTGTCACTGGAAATGTATGTGCAGTAGGTTGCACACGTGACCAGCAAAAGTTTGGCTCAGCGATGCGATAGCAGGCTCTATTCTAAACTACTAATCCTAGAGTCTACTGTTTACACTATTTCTTATCCCTATGTGAATTCAAAATACTACGAAGCGAAGGATAATAAGATAAAGAAGCCAGGTACGGAGAAGTCAGCCTCACAGCTGATATCATCGCGCCTTGGCGCCGTCGCTGCAGGGTTTTAGCGGGCCCACGGGTCCTTCAGATCCTTACCTTACCTTATCGCCTGGCTTATCGTTGACTTTTGCCCCGCGCCACCAGGGCACTTGAGATTTCCCATATTTCTCATCAGACCCTCATCCTGATGACATATTCCGGAAATTGAGTCATTGTTACCGGCTTTCGCACAAACCAACATTTGCCCATCCTACGAAGCCGTATTCACACTCTCCGTCGTCGACTCTGTAAGCTCGTCCTTGGCCTTTGGCGGCCCATTCCTCTCAAACCGACACTGCGAATCCCACGTCCACATCGAACCCCTCCATCCGCCACCATGGCCAGCGCCGGTACTCAGCCAGCGACAGCTGGTAACTCGCAGTCGCACCCTTATACGTGTAACACATGCCAGGTAGCCTACCGCAGCATCGAGTTGCAAAAGGGCCACATGAAGAGTGATTGGCAGTATGCGACCCCCAGCGTCATGCCCCGACTAGATCTTGGACTAACGCAAACGCAGCCGGTACAATCTCAAGCGCAGAGTTGCATCCTTGCCCCCCATCTCCGCCGATACCTTCACCGAGAAAGTCCTGCAAGCACGCGCCGTAACAACCGCGGAGGAAGACAAAGCACTTTTCGAACGAGTCTGCGAGCCATGCGCCAAGACCTACTTCAGCGAGAATGCCTACCAGAACCACTTGCTCAGCCAGAAGCACAAGAACAAGATTTCGACGACTGGACAAAGACCTGACGACGAGACGACCTCGGTCATCAGCTCGACATTTACCCTTGGAGAGCCCGCCCCCGCTCGCCGAGACTCTGTCGACTCAGCTGCTGAACAAGAATTCAACGAGGTCGTCGAGGGTATCCAGCGAACCAAGCTCGTCCAGGATGAGCAGAATCCTTCGCCCGTCAAGCGTCCCTCCAACCCTCAAATCACATCTGCTGATGCCGATGCTGAGATGGACCGTGAATCCAACAACAAGACACCGGTGCAACAGGTGCCCGCCTGGTCAATCCAGTCATGCATTTTCTGCAACTACAGCTCCCCGACGGTGCCGTTGAACATTCTTCACATGGAGCGCTTCCACGGCATGTTCGTACCCGAAAAGGCATACCTCGTGGACTTGGATGGTTTGGTCAAACAGTTGCAGGAGAAGGTTCACGAGGACCACGAGTGCCTGTACTGCGGCAAGGTCAAGTCCACCGTCTTCGGCATCCAGACACATATGAGGGACACGGGTCACTGCAAGATCCCCTTTACTACCGAACGTGATCAGCTGGCAATTGGTGACTTCTATGATTTCCGCAGCACCTACTCGGACGGCGAGGATGACGACGAGTCGGACAGTGGTGACGCCGATGACACGGACAAGGAGGGCGGAGCCAAGTTGGGCGCTCGCCGCACAGCCAAGACCATTGACGAGAATGGAGAAGAAATTGAGGAGGGAGACGGTTGGGAGACTGACAGCTCGGCTTCGTCTCTCGACTCGGAGGATCTGCACGCTGTGCCAGCCGAGGGCCACTTACATCAGTACGAGCGTTTGGACAAGCACCCGCACCATTCAAGTAGAGATCCTCGCCAACGCCATCAGGCCGATGGCTGGCACTCCTACTCGCACAAGCACACCCGGGGTGTGTTCTACGACGACTACGAGCTTCACCTTCCCACTGGCAAGTCCGTGGGTCACCGCTCGATGAACAAGTACTATCGTCAGAATCTGTACCACTACCCCACTGCGGAGGAGCGTGCCGAGCGACAAGCTATCGAGGCTGCCAGATCGTCAGATGACGAGGAAGAGGGCGACAACCAGTTGGCCGTCAGGAATGGCCGGGAGCGCGCAGTGATTCCTCGTGGGGCCAGGGGCATGGCCGGCGTGTCAGACAAGAAGCGGATGGCTGCCGAACGCTCTGAGCAGAGGGGACGAACGCAAGAGCAGGTTGATGTGAAAAAGAAGGACTATGCGTACGGCAAGAAGCTAAACAACCAGAAGACGTATTACTACCGGTACCAGAGAGGTGGTTAGTCTGGTTCATAGTCTAGTTATGCAGTCATGAAAAGTTTGGCGTCTCACATTCATCTTTGGTGTTTCTGCGCCTTTCTCGTGAAAGAACGTGTGATATGCGTGAATCATTTAATCGAGTGAGTCGACTGTATACATGTAGCATGTCAAACGGTGATCATGGTGGCAATAAGTCGTCGCCCATCCTTGTATAACGAAATGGGTTAGCGGCGGTGATCTACCTACCCCATATTCTGGGGCCTGCCGCCTGGGCCTTGGCCATGTGGTTGGAGACGATCGGAAATACTGAGTGAGGACCAACCGGCGACGACGTCAAACCATCATCGTGACCCCAGGCCATTCCAGCAGCAGTCTCGCGGACTCTATCCAACTTCATGGGCACACCGGAATCCTCTCATCATGCAGGGCGACCTTGTCACGCGGCGCACACAGTTCTCGAGTTGTGATGAGTGTCGTCGGTCACGCGTTGCTTGCGACGCGGTCGTTCGCGCCAAAGAATTGGGCAAGGACAACGTAGGCGACGTGAATGTCATATGCTCACGATGCGAGAGGAGGAAGAAGAGCTGTACTTTCAAGGTGCCCAGCGACATGGCACGATATTTGCGAGACATGAGTAGACTAACTCGACGGCAGTGGGTGAAAGAGAACAAGACGGCCACGGCCAAAAAGGCATCGAAAGCGGCCAGGAGCAAGAAAAGCCGCCAGGAGAAGAATGAGTTGGCAATGAGCGATTCCGCCGTCTCTATTCACCAACATGAGTTGCCAGACGACGAAGCAGCGCGACCCGCAAGCATTCGCTCATCAAACCCCTCAGACTGGCCGTCACCCTTTGGCCATCTGATGCAGGACAATGCTGCAGGCTCATTTGACATGTCTATCTCGCCGGCAAGCCACTCGGTCGGTATACTCAACCCAGAGATCATAAGTGGACTCGACTCGTACTGGCTCTCGGCCATCTACCAGATGGGGTTCGACTCGGTGTTTGGGTCGTGGATGGGCCGTTTCTGCAATCCATTCGCGTAAGTTTGCGTGCCTACAGGAAAATTAAAATACACAAACTGATGGCAACAGGACGGGTGAGCACAGTCGCGCAGACAAATACGTGCGCATCTCCGACTTGTGCGGCAAGCTTGACCAATGGATGGCCAGTGAGAACAGGATGCCTGATCATTCAGCAACATCACCCAAAGGCCTGAGCCACGCCGAGATGGTCAGAGACCGGCAGATCGACGAGTCTCTGCGTATGACCATTGTCGCCTTCTCGGCCAGGTGGCTGCCCTTGGTGCCCTCGTCGAGCGCAACAGGTCAAGGCCGTGACCGCAGTGCGTCGATTGAGGCACTATGGAGACACGCCAGGCGCGACATGCTCAGAGTCATCAATCGGCCATCGTATCGATCCATGCTCACCCTGTTTCTCTTTGCTCTGACGCCCATCCCCTCAAGCATCTCGGAAGACGAGGAGTTGGATGGCATCTCGGGACAATCATGCGTACACGCCGCCCTCCAGCAGATCCAGATACTACGTGCCCGTCACAGGAACCTTCAATTCAGTGGCTCCAAGGTGTCGCCTTTTTCCAAAAGGCCACCGATGCCGACGAGCCCGGATTCTCTGGGCACGTCCGATTTCATGATGGCCGAGAGCACAGCGCACTGGGCGGCGCTCACCTTCGACACCTCAGCCTCGCTGACACTCAACAGCCGCTCTCTTTTGTCGTCTGGTCTTTTCGGCTACGATGAAGAGCTATCGTGGCGTCTCGTGCGCTCGTCGGCCAAGATGTTTGTCGAGGCTTCGCACCAGTGGCTGCCTGGCAGTATTGATATTGACGACGATCGTGCGAATCGAATTGTAGGAGCAGCATCAGCCTGGAAACTCTGGGGATGGAAACTCACTGCCGTATTCAAAGAGGCGCTCCGAGACGGCCACGAAGAAGACCGAGTCCAGAACGCCTTCGCCGCGGTCGTGGAGTCGATCCAATACTTCAACGCGAGCTTCCGGCCCCATCTTGAGGCATGTCAACGGCGCATGCATTTCCTGAACCAAGACACCCGGTTGCGATGGTGTAAGTACATCTTGTTTGTCTTTCGAAACCTGTACTGACCCGCGTAGACTCGCTGATGCTGCATTATCACTTGAGCATCCTCATGCTTGCGGATATCGTGGAGGCCACCGAGCGCTTTGACCTGATGGCGAATCTCAAGGTCCTCACCGCCGAGGCCGAGAACACGGTCATGGACACATTGGTATTCGGCCTGAATAGCATGTTCACCCTCTCCATCAACCCCAACAGCGCCTCGACCCAGGGCCACGCCACATCCATCACTGTACCGCTCACGGCTGTCGACCCGTACCCCCACCACATCGTGGCGGCTATGCAGCTCGTCCGCAAAGCGATTGAAAGGGACTACAGCGCGGGGAAGATTGCCCCGGACTCGTATGCGACGTTGCGCGCCACAATGGAGAAGACACTGGATCTTCTGCCCCAGAGCTCCAAGTCTATCCAGGCCGCCAAGGTGCGACAGGTTGAGAAAGAGCGCGGAAACAACCTGTACCAAACGTTGCATGGGTACTTTGCAGAATGAGCATCTTCGCGGGGGATATACTGTACGCAGCGCCACAGGCTTATGACGCCCCCATACGAAGCTGCCCCAGATTCTGGCGTCTCCACGATCCGATGGTCTGTCGGATCCGAGCCACCGACCTCCTCCTCCCCCACAAGCGTGGGGATCTCCAAGTATCGGATCCGTTCATTTCGTCGCCTTCGTACGGAGGAGTACTTAACGTCATCACGACCTGCTATTTTACTATTGCGGTGCATTCTACTCCTCTTGCTGCTACTTGTCAACGACAAAATGGGAGAGAACATCACTTGCGACATTTCGGCTGTTGTGGCTGGCACCCAGAGGCGCTGCGTCTCCATACTGGGCGCCGGCACACAAGGGCGACGCTTGGCATTCATGGTATAAGCTCGCTTTTGTTGAGGTCATTACCAGCTCTCGCTAATTGTACGCAAGTGGTCCAGTCAAGGACAGGATGTCCATCTCATTGACGCGCAACTGTCGCAGCTACAAGCTAGCATTGGGGCTGTTGAGGAGTTACGGGCGTCATGGTCTGCCGAGGGCACAGGGACGGGCAAGGTAGTGACACATCTTCCCGACGAGCTAGGTCAAGCGTTGCAGTCTTCATGGCTTGTGGTCGAGGTATGGAGAAAGAGGCACGAGAGATGGCTGCGTGCTGGTGAGCTGACTCGAATTGCAGTGTGTTCCCGAACGGTTACCGTTGAAGAAACAAATCCTCCAGCAGCTGGACACCGTGGCACCGGAGGATGTCATTGTCGCTTCCAATTCGAGCAGCTACTCGTGTGGCGAGATTATTCATGATTTGGACCTAAAGCACAAGAGTCGGATACTCAGCGCACATACCTGTAAGCCCCAGTGAATCCATTTGTCTGAACTCTCGACTGACGGAACAAGATTGGCCGCCCGAGACGCCAGGTTCGTGAACACGGACTGCTTCCGACGTTGATTCCATGCTCATCAGGGTTCAGCTATTGAAATCATGGGTCACGAAACCACAGACCAAGCGCATGTGCAGTACATGCTCGACCGATGCGCGGCTCACGGGTTCGAACCTTTCCACGTGCGAAAGCCATCGATGGGATATCTGTATAACCGGTAGGTAACCGCCTTCTCTATGAGCGACCAGACTACTCACGGGTGTAGGATTTGGGCCGCTATCAAGCGCGAGGCGCTTCTCGCCGCGTCCGAGGGTGCAGGAACCCCAGAGGAGATCGATGCCATCTTTCGAGGCATCCTCAAGACCGCCAAGGGACCCTTTGAGCTGATGGATGTCGTGGGTCTGGATGTTGTTTATGACATTGAGCAGCACTATGCGGAGGCGCGGGCGGATGTGCCTGAGGAACCGAGACAGTACCTCAAGAAGTATCTGGACCAGGGGGACTTGGGCGTGAAGAGTGGCAAAGGGTTTTATGAGCACGCAAGGAAAGATACTTGATGCACTTTGTTGCTTTACCCGTGGATTGAGGGTACTGTCTTTCTCTGTGTTCCATTTGCCTAACGAAATTGTTTGATACAGCTCCATGTACAGCCAATGTTTTGTCGAGTTATAGAAATCCAATTGCCCCGTTCGTCCGTTGTAGACTGCATGCTCTAAAGTAAATATTCGCCTTGCGCCCATACATATATACATGTAAAATAGAATCGGTATGTTCAACTGTGATCGTTTAACCGTACGGTGTCCCGTACCGGAGCCAGTCTCGCTCCGGGTCTGGCAGCGCGCCCGTCGCGCCCGTCCCGAGCAGGGACGTCGTCTGCCCTGCGGTCGCCTCGGCCAATGCCGGGACGTTGAAGAAATTGAAGAGATCCATATTGTCAAGTTCTGCGGGCGAGGTTACCCTCGTGGTTAGGGGCTCTATCCCGGATCGTCGATTTCGTGAGGTCAGTGTCATTATGTCGTGTGCATTCCTTCGTCACGTTAGGCTTTTTGCACCGTGGATCAATCTGGCAAGGGTAGACTCACTTTCTCATCGCGGCATACCCGCTTTGCCGTCCCATCTGCACAGCTCGCGTGAGGACTTTGGCGTAGTTGTTCGCTAGTTCCCAGTACTGTCCCACGTGGTTGAGGGTCTCTATGAGGAACTCGATCTGCGGGTCGACCGCGCAACCCACCGTGGCCGCATGCACGAGCAGAAGCCGTGCCGCCACCCATAGTGAGAACGCAAACGGTGGCCCCAGAAGGTCAAGACCATCAGCCTCGTACACGTCTCTTGCAATGTCGCCCAGCGACTGCACCGCTGACAGACACCGTTGCGTAGCGTAGTGAGACGGCATGAAAACAGGGGATCGGACGGTCGGATAGGCCGCAGCAGAGTGCAGTCGTACCACGGCGACAACGTAGGCGCTGTGTAGCATGAACCAGTTCGCTACCCGGCTGGCGGGATCCGAGTGGCACAGGGCGGACACTTTCGAGTACTCGCTCGGCAATGATTGAAGCCACGCATCCAGTGAGGAGTCCAAAGATCGGTATGTCGCGCCCCAGGACGACATGGCGGTGGAGGACGTCACATCAACGGGCGTCCGCAGAAAGTTGTGTATCCGGCTGACAATGCGCAGAATCTCGCAGTGGTACGCGAACGAGCCCAGATTCTCGGGATGGTTGACAGTGTACGGCTCACGCGTGCCGTCGTCGTTATATGTGACAGTTTGCGTCTCGACGGGTACGTTTCGAGAGAACAAATCGTACGAGCAAGGGAGTAGCCTCTTCATTCTGACTTCCTCGAGTAGAAAGTCAAAGTCGGCCGTGGCAATGGTCGCATAGCGGTCAAGCAGGTATACCATCCAGCATATTCGGCGTCGGCCCTCGTCTTCGATCCACGATTCGGGGCGTCCCGTGATGACGCGTCGTACCGAACCTGTCCCTGGCATCTCTTCCTTGTCGGTGACCATGAATACGGCGGTTTCGTCGCCCAGGTTGAGTTGTCGAACATTCTGCGCCAGCATGGACAGCATGTTCCAGCCTCTTGGGCCGTTGGAAGTGCCCAGCTCATCGAGACAGAGAATGACGAGGGCCTTGATGGCGTCGATGCTGACATTCTCCATGGCATACAGTTGCACATTTCGCTTAGATACCGCGTGGTAGTGCAGTTTTGCCTCGTAGGAGAGCCGTGGGTCGCGCAGAAAGCGTAGGGTTGTCGCCACGATGGCATGTAGCAGGACGCGGTCAGCCTCGCCCATGGAGGTTGATCCGAAGAAGATGCCAAAGGTAGATTTGCGATCGAGTATCGGGCACCACGTGTTACAATGTTTAAAGTATAGGTCGACGAGGGTGTAGATGACGTCCTGCGGCGGGAGGTCGGTCAGAGCGGGCCCAGGTCGTTGCCCTGTGACGCTCGGCGACGGTGCGGCGCCATGACTGTAGGGCGTTGAAGCGGGCGGGATGCTGTTGGGCGGCGGCTGCTGCTGCTGCTGCTGCTTCTTGTGAGTTTTTGAGTGTTGCTGTTGTGATGACACTGGTGGAGGTATCGGCGGCTGGATGCCGTACTGGCTAACGTCGGGTGCGTCACTGCCTGGCCAGTACCCCGTCAAGGGGCCATTTTGCGACGTCGGCGTCCCTGACGGTGCTGTCGACGATGCCACCCCGGCGCGCTGGGGCAGATCGCCATGGTGGCCGCTGAGGATGGCATGAGGGCTGTCGTGGGACTCGATGTGGTCTTCGAGTCGGCGACCGAGTGATTGTAGCAAGGCATCAATCTTGTTGACCTTGGCCTCCAGCTCGAGACCGAAGCCTATGCGGCTCCCAGGCTTCTGCCTCTCGAGATAGACGCATGTCCGGTTGTGTCGCGCGCACCAGGAGCAGGCGGGCTCAGCACGGTCACACTTGACCTTGCGTGCCTTACAGAGCTCGCAGGAGGTCTTCTGATGCTTCTCCCTCTTACGTTTCTTCGGGTTGGCATCGGACGAGGCGCCGTTATCATTGTGGGCCGCCTCGTCGCCGCTTGAGGCATCCACGGTGTCACCTTCCTCGTACTCCATGCCCGAATCCTCGGCCGGAGGTGCAGGAGGAGCGGTGGTGCTGGAGTCGGCCATGGTGTGGAATGGGTTCCCTGGCTAAGGGGCCCAGTACTTGGGGGTGGGGACGCAACGCTCTAGACTAGCCTGCGTGTCCGCACGTAGACCAGTCGTCAATCAGTTGCCCAGAAGGCCAGCAGTACTCTGCATGAGCACGGGCATCTGATATCGCAGTCTCGGCCGACACCCGAAGGATGGTGGACTCGATGCACACAGCTCACCCAAAGACTGAGTGAGGAGTCCAGGTGCCTCGGTTCGGTGGTGAAGAGTCCCAGAGTTGACAGGGCTCAGTGATGGTAATCCGGGTACTAGACCTCAATGCATGCGGTGTACGTATGGAGTACGGGGTACGTCGAGCTGCGAATCTCTCCGTGTCCACGGGTTTGGCGTGGCGATGATGGGAGATAGTAGCGGGTCCTCCTCCTCTTTTTACGTCTGGCTGCGATGCGAATTGCCAAAGAATCGCATGCCAGCAAAGACCCAACGGATGGTTTGCCTCTTTTCGCCTCTTTGCGTGGCTATGAAGCAGATACTAGTCGATATGGTTGGCCTCTTGGCTGGTGTGCCTCCTTGTTGGCAGTGGTCTGGTCGGTCCTCGGTGCACTCGGTGTTCTTGCCCGAGATTCTCTCAGTCAAACTCCATCAGACTGTGCGTGGTCAGCTGATCTGATGCAAGCAGACGTAAGGATTCCGCAGTATAAGATGGTCCTTGCAGCCTCCTCGTGTCGCAGCCGTGTCGTGTGGTCTGCGCAGCAAGGGATTCACTGAGCGATTGATTGAGTGACGGTTCCGGCCGACGTCAAAAGGTTTAGAGCGTGGAGTGAGTTTTGGCTGGGGAAGAAGGCGCGCTCGGGAACAAATGCCCGGGCTTGCGGAAGCTACACTGTGCGCAGCGCCTGATGCAGCACTCAAATACAGTGCGCAAAACTGTCTTAATTGGGTTCTGGTGGCCTTCGCATTTCCACGGTCTGTCTTTCTCTCTCTCAAGTAAAGGACGGATCCAGGCGGCCCCCTCTCACCAGAAGTTCACTTAGACGATGACGATTTTGGTGACGGTGGACGAAAGAATTACATTCTCTCACATCGTCGATGGTTTGAGGGAACCATGAGGGCATCACGAGTCACGACAATGGCATTCCCACTCTGTTTGAGTGGGGAGGCACGGCGTTAAGAAAAGTCCCAGTCAATTCGCTCTAACGCCTACGGGCATGGTATCATACAAAACACGCAAGCAGCCCATTTCAATTCCCACGTTGCACTGCATCCGGCCCTGTCCGTCCAGGCTTAGTTAGCCCATCCCTTGCTCATCTGGACGGCCTTTTCCCAGCGCTCGAAGCGCTTGCTAGCGGCCTCGACGGTGATCTGGGGCTTGAAAAAGGTGCTGCCCTCGAGGTTGACCTCCTGCAGCTCCTCAAAGGAGGACCAGACGCCGGCAGCGAATCCGGCGGCAATGGCGGCGCCCAAAGCGGTGGTCTCGCGCATGGCGGGACGGTTGACGGGGATGCCGATCAGGTCGGACTGGGTCTGCATGACGAGGTCCGAGTTGCACATGCCGCCGTCGACAGCGAGCTCCTCGAGGTCCTTGCCCGAGTCCTTGCCCATGGAGTCGAGGATGGCCTTTGTCTGGAAGCAGGTCGCCTCGAGCGTGGCGCGCGCAATGTGGCCGCGCTGGGTGTAGGCGGTGATGCCAAAGATGGTGCCGCGGGCGTCGTCGATCCAGTAGGGCGCAAAGAGACCGCTAAAGGCGGTGACAAAGGTGACGCCGCCATTGTCCTCGACCGTCTCGGCGAGGGCGCTCAGCTTGGTCGAGTTCTCGATGAAGCCAAAGTTGTTGACGAGGAACTTCACGCTCGAGCCGCCGACGGCGATGCTGCCCTCGAGGGCGTACATGCACTTGCCGGGGCCAAAGTCAAAGGCCACGGTGGACATGAGGCCGTGCGTCGAGTAGACGGGCTTGTCGCCCACATTGTAGAGGAGGAAGCAGCCGGTGCCGTAGGTGTTCTTGGCGCGGCCGGGCGTGAAGCCTTTTTGGCCGACGAGGGCGGCCGACTGGTCGCCCAGGCAGCCCATGATCTTGGTGCCCTGGAGGCATGTGTTGGCGAGCGAGCCGTAGGCGGTCTTGTCCGACGAGCGGACAATTTTGGCCAGCTTGATCTTGTTGCGGTCGAGGCGGAACCAGTCAATCAGCTCGTTGTCGTACTCAAGCTTCTCGAGGTTCATAAACATGGTGCGCGAGGCGTTGGAGGGGTCCGACACGTAGACGTTCTTGGTGGTGCCACCGTTCAGCTTAAAGGTGAGCCAGGTGTCGACGGTACCAAAGGCCAGGGTGCCGTTGTCGTAGGCCTCCTTGACAGCCTTGACGTTCTCGAGCATCCACAGCAGCTTGCTGACGGAGGGGTATGTGGAGAGGGGCAGGCCGCAGCGCGAGGTGAGCTCGCTGGCGCCCAGGCGCTGCTTGAGGCGGCGGACGAGGTCTTGGGTGCGCGTGTCGGTCCAGACAATGGCATTGTAGAGGGCGTTGCCAGTGTTCTTGTCCCAGACGACGGTGGTCTCGCGCTGGTTGGTAATGCCAACAGCCTTGATCTGGGCCTTGGAGTGGCCCTGCTTCTCAAACTGCGCGACTGCACCGTCGATGCACTCCTCGACAGACGAGACGAGCTCGTCAGGGTTGTGCTCGTGCCACCTGTGATTGCCCGGTTAGTCTTGTCTTTCTATTGGGGAGGTGGCTACACGTACCCAGGCTGGGGGTAGATCTGCTCAAACTCAATCTGGTGCTGCGCGACGATCTCGCCCTTCTGGTTGAAGATGATGAAGCGCGTGCTGGTGGTGCCCTGGTCAATGGCACCGATGAAGTGAATGGTGGGGGCGGTCGCGGGAGACATGATGGCGTCTGCTGTGTCTTTGAGTCTGGTAGGGAGGATTGACTTGAGCATAAGAGCACGAGATGGGCGATGGAAAGCAAAGAGACGACGAGAGGAGGGGCAGTGTGGGAGAGAGGAAGAGCTACAATCACATGGCGAGAGGTGACGGGCAGTGAAATATTTGTACGTCTTTCCCCCCTCCTCGACCTTGCGGGCTACAGCTACGTTGGCGTCCAGCCAGCTGGAGAAACTCCACGGGGCGCAAGCGCGCGAGCGGGCTACGAGCCCTCGCGTGCGCATCGCCAAGGTGTGGTACGATGGATGAGGGTGTTTTTGCACGCGCCAACTCTCTCACCCAGCGGGCAGCTGGGCTCCCCACGCTCGCACGTCACGGTTGACGGAGGCGCATGGATGGTACCCCTCTTCCCATCCATGTCTGTCTCCAAATCGACAGGCCCCCGGATTGTGGAGAGTGAGGGGGTTGGCGGAGAGACGTCAGGGGGGGGTCCGGGTCCAGCATCACAGCAAAATTGTAAGCAGGTGTCAAATTGGGAGGGCCTAGGGGCAAGGTTCGGACGGACGAACTCCAGACTTGCTCCTCAAGTGGCAAGGTGCGCGTGGCTCATGATGGGGAATCATGGTGCTCGGCCTCGTCCAGGGCCACGAGTGACATGCTAATTATTCTCACGGACTGGATGCCGTACCTGCGTTCGTCGAGGCCAGCCGAGGCCATTCCCCCACAGGTCCCGCCCGAGAAGTCCGTGACAGTGACTGAGGAGTAAAAGGTGCGGCTTACAGGCTCGGCGCCTCGGTGTCGGCACACCGAAAGCTAGGCTCGAGGGTTTCAGAGCCCACGCGAAGGAACTGGCGAACACACTAATGCACCACGGGCCGAATGTCAGCGAAAACGAATGCACAAGCGGCATTCACAGAGTGCCCACTCTGCCATGGAATGCTTGGAGACCGCAGCATTGGCGCTGAATGGAAACGGGACAAAGGGCTGGAAGGGGGCCATGCGCGATTCGTGAAGAACTCTGGCCATATGATGATGCACTGATGCTCAATGTGCAGGATGGTCATGAAATCGGCCAAGCGCGGGGTTCCAGTCCCGTCCCTCTCCTCTCCTGGTGGCAGCGGCCGCTCACACTACAACCATGACGTCTAGGCTGCCATGACGGGCGGTTGGTTCCCCCAGCATACCCGGCACGAGGCCAAACAAAGTTTGGTACTGGATGGCATGCTCGATCCATGACGCTCCTGGTGCTCGCTAAGATCGATTTCACGATGAATGAATTAAATTTTTTGATTTTTTTTGCACTGCATTTTCACGGGCTTGATTCTGCTGTCGAGTGTCTGTTTGCCAGCACTTTCACGTGCAGTAGTAGTGAGTCAGTACAATACTCACCGCAAAGGGCAGGCCACTCTAATAATCGGAACATTCCCACGCGCGTATGGGACAGTAAAGCGGGCCAAAGGGGCCAAGAATCCTACCTACCGTATCTTGGTGGCACCAGCGGGGCTGTGACCTTTTTGGGTAGGCTTCTGGAATTAGTTAGTGGGCCTTCCATTAGGCTGCCATCTTGCAGTGCCCCGGGCGTTAGGGCCATGCACTGACTTGCAGTGGTTCTCGCACCCAGCGCCACCACCCGCCGCCCACCCGCGAACGCATGATTACCATCAAGAAGATACGTGTGATTTGACGGGACGGGATCTGCGGTCAATGGCGTCCGGGGACGAATCGCAGCACGGGGCATTACGTCCTCCTGCACATCATCGTCGTAATCGCGGCAGCAAGCAGAAGAGCAAAGGGCGGGGGAGAAGCGAGACGGCCTGGAGTCGTCTTCACCTCCAGTCCTCCGAATTGCTGAGCAGTACCCAAAAATCGGTATCGCTTCTCGCTGCGCGCAGACACTTCAAAAACTGGGACGACCGGTATGCCGAATGCGCCCAGACTCGCATCTCGGCCATGCACCGACTTGGTTCCACCAGGCTTCGCAAAGGCTCGGTATTCAAAAGCAGGGTCCATTGATCTCGAGACCCAGATCGCGTCCGTGACCCAGTGTTTTGTTCCGTGTAAGCGGCGGGCCAGTGAAGATTATCATTTCGCTTGGCTCCATGGCGAAGCATATCGGTAGCGGCCGTCCGAGGATGCGTTGGTAGCACTCCGATTTCTCGCTCTCTGCTCGGTAGTATTCTGATGAGGAGGATCACAAATCGTGTCAGAATCAGCGTTGGCACCACTTTTAGGTGGATGGCGCGCGGGCGCAGCGGCTGCTTGCAGAGCAAGACGTCCGAGCGATCCCCAGTCCAGTCTGCTGCCCATACGTAGCATCCCGACACACCTCGGCTGTGCCCATGCGCAGAGAAGTGTTGGCTGGCGCTTCGTTGGTGCCCTGCCACGGAGAACGGTGCCGTGCTTGTGTCGCGTGCGTTTGCCCTGACGATTCCCAGATTGAGACTGTTGACGAGGCCAAGCCAGCCCGAGTGAATGCCGTGGGCGAGCATCGCCACCACCGACATCCCGACTGACACTCGCCGCCTTCAGGCCGTGTCCGTACATGGGGGTCCGCCTCTTGCGGTCCGTTGATGACGCCCGCAGCGTGTCATGTCTGCTGGACGGGGCGGACGCGAGAAAAATTGGCAGTTGGCCCCATTGAAGGATCAGTGCCAGGCTCGGAGTCTCCAGTGGATGGGCCGGCGATGGGACGCCCTCCACCTTTTGGCTACCTTAGCGTCGCCCTCCCCACATACGCACCTAGCCTTGACACCACGCACGTTCGTTCGTGCGCTCGCTCGATCATCATCGTGCGTGGGCTCGGGGCTTGCCACGGGGATATGATAGCCTTTCTTCTTCTTTCATCCCTCCAATCTTCCCGTCCAGACCAGACAAACCTAAACTCTAAATTGTCAGCAGTCGGAAACCATTCGTAAACGCCACAACTCTCCAAGCCCAGGCTATCAACTAGACAGGACTCGACGGGATCCAAGCCTGTCCTTGACCCTGCTCAACACCAACTGCACCTCGTGGACGTATCCCCGGATCTCTCACCTCGCTAAGCCCAGAACGCCCAGGACACGCCCCTCTTCCCGTGGCATCCCCAGGCCGGTCTGTCCCAGCAGCCTCCAGTCGTTTGACTTGGTGGCACTGCCTGTCATCCGATAGCGTCGCTTCTCCGGATCGCTCTGCTGCAAGCTCGGTCAAGTTGGAACCCATCATCCCCAAGAAACGGATCCAGGCGGACTAAACGATTCCAAAGGGGCCCCATACCGTGCTGCACGCGAACCATCCGGACTCCAGGAACACGCGGGTCTCCATCCATCCATCCACTCGGCAGCGGCACGTAGAGGACTTTGCAACGGGTTCCAACTCCTCACCAGTTCCCTCCTCTCCTACTCCTCCTCCTCCTCCTCCTGTCTCTTGAACCACCCCGTGGGGACCACTTCCAAACCATCTTCGCATAATAAGCCTCCATCCCCCCCGGGTTGCAGTGCTGATCCCAGAACCGTCTTTGCTCAGTGCAACCTTACTTCTCCATCTCTCCTCCAGCACTTCCCCATCTTCCATCTTCAACTCCTTTTGGGTCTTCACATCCTCGCATCGGGGCATTGCTTGACATGTCCGCCGCGGTTGACCACATCTCCAACGACAGTGTGTCGACAGTCCACCAAGAGAAGAGTTCTACCTTCATCCCCGTCGACAAGATCGAGAACGCCGGCAGCATGTCCCAGGACGAGAACATCTCCGCCAGGACCGACAGCCACGCGCCGCCCATGCAGGCCGAGATTGAGCCTGACCTGCGCTGGTCGAGGCTCCGCGAGTACGGCCGCGACTTCTTCTCCGAGTTTGGCGGCACCATGGTCATGATCCTGTTTGGCGACGGCGTTGTCGCGCAGGTGACCTTGTCCGAGGAAGAAAAAGGCAACTACCAGAGTATCTCATGGGGCTGGGGGTAAGCACCGATTTCTCCCTGAGTGAGAGAGACGAAGAATGGAAACTGACCATCCACCCAGATTGGGCGTCATGCTCGGCGTGTACGTCGCCTCCAAGTCGGGTGGCCACCTCAACCCAGCCGTCACCCTCGCCAACTGCATCTTTCGCGGCCACCCGTGGCGCAAGTTCCCCGTCTACTTCATGGGCCAGCTGCTCGGCTGCATGGCGGGCGCCTTCATCATGTACGGTGCCTACTACCAGGCCTTTTCCAACCTCGAGGGTGGCACCCAGCGCACCATGTTGACCGCCGGCATCTTCTGCACGTATCCCGCCGATTTCTTGACGACCGAGGCCATGTGGTGGTCCGAGTTTGTGTCCAGCGCCATCCTCATCTTCGTCATCTTCGCCCTCGCCGACCCCCACAATGGCAACGCCGGAAAGATGATGCCCCTCGCCCTCTTCTTCCTGATCTTCGGTATCGGTGCCTGCTTTGGCTGGCAGACTGGCTATGCGATTAACCTGGCCCGTGATTTTGGCCCCCGCCTCGTCTCGTACATTGTCGGCTACCCCCACGAGGTCTGGTCGGCCGGCAACTACTACTTCTGGGTAAGTTCGCCATCCTAGGTGACCCTTCTCTCGTCAATTTTCTGAGGCTAACAATGAGCAGGTCCCCATGGTCGCTCCCTTCTTCGGCTGCACCTTTGGTGGTTTCCTGTACGACGTCTTCATCTTCACCGGCGAGAGCCCGATCAACACACCCTGGATGGGCCTCAAGCGCTTCACCCAGCTCAACCGCAAGACGTGGTCCAACACGTACCGCGCTCAGGAGATTTCCAAGGTGTAGATGGCTGCACGTCCGATGTGGGTGAGTCGCATGTATTCTTCGGAAGAGGTGTCCATGTTGGCGAAAAGAAAAAAAGAAGAAAAGAAAAGGAAAAACCGAAGATATCAAAGGAGTTGTCGGCGTTGTTATTGGGAAGCGTGGGGGAAACCAGTCCGGTGATTCACGACCAGATACATGTAGCTGTTTAGCGAATCTTTTTCTCCAATCGAAGAGATGTTTCAAGTTCAAAGAAATGCTTCAAGTGTAAACAAGTGGCCGTGACCGGAAAAAGGTGAATTATCGTGAAGTTCGCACGCGGGGCGCAAGCGCGCAGTCATATAGTACACGTCGTGGCTCTATTCCCCCACGCATAATGTTGGGCGCTCGCGGTAAGATTACGACGATGCCCGATGGGACTGGTGGACGCCACACTGCGAAACAATTCTTCCGTCCCTTCAGGGCCAATAGTCTGGCGCAGGGCTGTCTGCGTCCTCAGCCGTTTCTACATACGGAGAAATAGTAAATGATAAGAAGGGCTGCCCTGCCTGCCGCTGTTCACGCCTCACTTTTTACCCGTCCTCGTCTCGGAAAACTTTGGTGTTGAGCGGGGCAGATCAGCGCAGAGTCAATCGCTCGCTGTAGGACAGCCTGACTACACTACAGTAATAGCATACTCCGTACCGCATGAAGAATGATAAAAGTACGTGCAGCCCGCGAGCAGAGTACCACCAAGTTTGCTACGTACTGCCAGCTGCCCCCCCAACCTCCAAACAGAATGTCTCATCGTGACTTCAAAGTTGACAGAACCGTATCTGGGGAGGAAAAACGTGGCTCAGGGCACCGAAGTCCCAGGGGCCAGAGGCCAAATCCCCGATAGACTTCAAACGGGGAGAGCGTCGACTTCGTACGCAGACGGACCTCCGGACCCCGTGGCCACCTGCCTCACAGATTTCTCTTCACCATGCATGACCAAGCATGGACTTGTGGACTTTGATGATTGCCAACTTTTCGTTTTACGGACACGCCGCTGGAGAAGCAATCCTGCAGCCGGAAGCGTCGGTTCTGCTGGTACGATCTCAATCCTTGGCACGCTGCTGCTGGCTGGTCCACAAGTTTACAAGCAACTTTGAAGCAAGTGCGGTGGATCAGGAAAGTTGGAGATCAGAGATGGCGCCTCGTTGTCGGCTCGGTTGACCGAGCCGGACCGAGTAAGCGCGAGAACTCGGTATTCATAAGCCGAGATGCATATCAGGTGGTGCGCCGCGGTGACGACATGCACAAAGTCTATCCCGTTCGCTCAACTTGGCCGCGACACAATCAAGAAGAACGACTGGATGCGCTCCCCACGTGGGGACACTCGCCGAGTCGCGTTGCTCGGGGAAAGTATCGGAGCCCAGGGACTGACAATGAAGAAGGGTCGGGAAGCGTTTGGATGGGTTGTCTCTCGCATTGCTGGCGCGGACGGGCGGGCATGCCATGGGCCGAGCTGGACTGGGCATGGCTGGGCTGGACTCTGGTCAGTCGCGAGGACTAGCGAGGTGGAAAAGTCAATGGAATAGTAGTACCAACAAGTGTCATTTTCATAAATTTGTGATCTGCCTGTTTCCCGACGGGTTCATTTGCCCGTGCCAGTGCCAGTGCGGGCTAGATCGATTCCACGAATAATGACGCTGCGCCAGGATCGCTTTGCTTAAACATCCCATCGACCACCACCACCATTATCACCCCTTCCCCATCTTCCTTCTTCTTCCTCCCCGATTCCCTTTTTGAATTAATTCCTCCACCTATCGTTGACAGTCCGGTGGACTGATACCATACATCTTGCTCCTCCATCCTCGCATTGAGGCTGTTGAGCATTAACCTAGGATCGAACCGCTGGTGAGAGGCCACCCGCAAGCAATCATCATGGCTTCGCGCCTCTCTGCCCTTCGTCGACCCGCGGTGGCCGCCGCGACCGTCGCCCTCGTGGGTGTTGGTGGCACGGCTATTGCGCTGGGCACCTCGAAAAAGCACACCATCAGCATGCCCATTGCCGACATTAAGCGTGACGCCAACACCGGTCGCATCATCCCGCCCAAGTTCCCTGACCTCAAGACCCGCGAGCAGCAGCTCGCCGATCTACGCCGCAGCGGCGACGCAAATGAGGAGGAGTACGATCTGGTCATCATTGGCGGTGGCGCGACTGGCACGGGCATCGCGGTCGACGCCATCACGCGAGGTCTCAAGGTCGCCCTGGTCGAGAGGGATGATTTCTCCTCCGGCACCAGCTCCAAGAGCACAAAGCTCGTCCACGGTGGCGTGCGCTACCTCGAGAAGGCGGTCACCACGCTCGACTACCCCCAGCTTGAGCTCGTCATCGAGGCGCTCCGCGAGCGCAGGACCTTTTTGAACATTGCGCCCCATCTGTCCAGCTCGCTGCCCATCCTGCTGCCGCTCCAGAAGTACTGGCACGTCCCGTACATGTGGGCCGGTACCAAGACCTACGACCTCCTGGCTGGCTCCCAGGGCCTCGAGAGCTCCTACTACGTGAGCAAGTCCAAGGCCCTGGAACAGTTCCCCCTCCTCCGCAAGCAGAATCTCATCGGTGCCCTGGTATACTACGACGGTCAGCACAACGACTCGCGCATGAACGTGTCGCTGGCCGTCACGGCTGCTCTCTACGGTGCCACGGTCCTCAACCACGTCGAAGTCACTGATCTCAACAAGGATGCCCAGGGCAAGATCCGCGGCGTCCAGGTCAAGGATGTTCTGGGAGGCCAGGACACGCCCGCCTTCTCCGTCCGCGCCAAAGGCGTGATCAATGCCACTGGTCCCTTTGCCGACGCCGTCGAGCAGATGGACGACAAGAAGCGCAAGCCCATTGTCGCCCCTGCCTCTGGTGCCCACGTCATGCTCCCTGGAAAACTGTGCCCCAATGGAATGGGTCTTCTCGATGCCGCCACCTCTGACGGACGCGTCGTCTTTGTCTTGCCCTGGCAGGGCAAGACGCTGGCCGGTACCACGGACAACGCTTGCGAGGTCGAGCACGAGCCGATCGCGCTGGAGAAGGACGTTGACTTTATCCTCAAGGAGGTCAACAAGCTCTTTGTGCCCGACGCCGCCCTCACCAACGACGATGTCCTGGCTAGCTGGTCCGGCATCCGCCCCCTCGTCAAGGACCCCAACGCCAAGAACACCGAATCTCTCGTCCGCTCGCATCTCGTCACCGTCTCGCCTTCTGGTCTGCTAACCTGCGCTGGTGGCAAGTGGACCACGTACCGTCAAATGGCCGAGGATGCCGTGGACGAGGCCATCAAGACCTTTAACCTGACCCCCAAGCCCGTCACCCTCCCCGACATTTCGGGCGCCATGCCCCCTCTCGAGACCACGGGCCAGTGCTGCACGCTGACGACGCCTCTGGTGGGCGCCCACGGTTTCTCGCCCGACCTGGCCTCGCAGATTGCCGCGCACCACTCGATCGATCTCGACATTGCCCAGCATCTCGCCTCCAACTACGGTGACCGCGCCTGGGCCGTCCTCTCCACCCCGGGCGCCCCCACCCGCCTCCTCCCCGCCTTCCCGTTTGTGGAGGCGGAGATTCGCCATGGCGTCCACCACGAATCGGCTTGCACCGCCGCCGACCTCATCGCCCGCCGCACCCGCCTCGCCTTCCTCGACGTCGGCTCCGCCCTTCACGTCCTGCCTCGCGTCATTGATGTCATGGGCGAGGAGCTGTCTTGGGACGAGGCGCGCAAGGAGCATGAGTGGAAGGCGACCGTGCTCTTCTTCCGCTCCATGGGCCTCCCCGAGGACCAGCTCAATGTGACCCGTAACGATGTCGTCAAGGGCAACGTGGCGCGCAAGATTGAGCGCGGCGCGGAGAAGGCCGTGGCCACCGTGTCGGGCAGCATCCCCAACTTTGAGGGCCAGACCCTGAGCGCCAAGACAAAGGCGTGAGCGATGTTGATGTTTGCATTCAACCGGACGAGAAAAGATGAAGGACGATGTACCACTTTTTAGAGAAGGTTTTCTCGATTTGCATAGGCTGGGAGTTGCATTTGATGATTGCAGATAGTTTTATTCCCCCTTCCCCCTACCCCGGCTCGGCGTTTGGATGATTGTTGAACGATGGGCAGTTCCTGAGCTCTCTTTGTCCGATTACATACATGATACATTATGGTACAGGCACGACAGCTGCTTCATGAATACTAGGCATTGTATGATGTTGACCACTTCACAACTGATGTGCCCACGGCTTTTATCAATCAGGCCAAAAGGGAAATCCACTGTGCTCTGCATATGGCTAAGCGTACCTACATACGCAACAGCTCTTGTTACTGAGATGTGACCACCTGTCGGCCTGTCGGCCTGTCGGCCTGTCAGAACGTCTTCAGACCGTTGTGACACGAGCGCGGACGAGCGTGAGGCTGGCGCAGGCAGCGTAGCACGGTCAGCACCTGCCACCAGGCAACAGCGGCGCCCCGCAATATCCGCACCCACCAAGAGGACTGTGACCGTGGCAAATGTACTCCGTACCCATGTAAATAGCCACTGGGGCCTCTCTCTGGCGTCGAGAACGCCCAGCAGCCCTCAAGAATATCTGCCCAGCTTGAATCAGTACGACCATGGGAGACTGGGACTTTTACTGTGCCATCTGCGGCGGTCCGCTGTCCAAGCCCTATTGGGACTCGCCCGGCCTAGAGGAGACTGCCGCGGCTATTGCGCGCCACGACGAGGCGAGAGCGAGGGAGCGAAATGGTGAGGCACGAGAAGATAGGTCGGGCCACAGTACGGACTATTACGACCCCCGCGTCTTGCATTCGGCTCGCGACGACAAGTTGAACTGGCTGGACCAATTCAGGGTGGTCAGCGAAGCGCCCGAAGAGTACGGCAGGGATGTCCCCGAGTGAGTCTCAGCTTCATTACCCGCGTCCAGCGCATGCGCGCTCCGCTCTCATCGCCTACTGACGCGATCTCGTGAGCAAAAGAGCCTGGATCTCGGGTCCGGCCAGACGGTCATCGTTCGGCAGCGCCCGCGTTGTCTTTCCAGACACAGAGGGCCCTCTCGCAGGCACTGTGAAGGAAATGACTGTGTACGAGCCAGTCGTGGAACGATCGCAACCCCTTGCCATTCCCTTCCACGACCAATGTCGCGACCTTCTCCTCAAGCGGACCGGTGAAGCGGAGCTTGATGCTGAAGCTTTCTACCAGACGGTCTGTACTCTCTCTGGCGGAAGGGACTGCCTGGGAAAACTGCAGTACGGAAAGATTGCGCACGAGATGCAGCAGTATTGGCTGACGGCCTGGGGGCGAGAATGGCTTGTGATGCCGCCGCTCGATATACCCGGTTTGCAGCAGTATTACCAAAACTTACCCAAGATCGATGAAGTGTCTTCGGCTCAGACACGGCATACTGAGCTGCGGTCGGCCGCAAACGACCCCTTTAGTCGCTTTCCTTATGAGGTCCTGGAACAGATTATGGGAGAGCTGCCACTAGCATCTATCCGCAAACTCCGTCTGGCGTCACGGGCAGTGCCCAATCAGGAACTGCCAAATGGCTTCTGGAAAAAGCTTGTCTGGCGAGACCTGGGCTTTCTGTTCGATATGCCTGATGCAGCCCGAAACGCTACCGACGTGGACTGGCGCCGGGTGTATAGGGATATCTCCAGATGGAGCAACCCTAAACGACGTAAAGTGGTTGGGGGGTTAGCGAATCGGGCTCGCATCTGGAAGAAAACCTTGCCTCAGATTGCAGAGCCGTACATGAGGAATTTGGCTGCCAAGCAGCGCGAGAGAGCAAACGAGCCATTAGTCTTCAAAGGGGCCAAGAACGAAGGCCTTGCAAGCCTAGTGTTGCCAGAGCCCAAAGATGCCAGAACCACAAATATTGCATTCATGTCGATGCCTCACTTGCTCCATCGCGCAAAGCTGGAGCTCGTGATCAGCTTCAACGAGTTCAACGAGATTGCCAACCTGTATGCTATCAATCACGCAGAGAGCACCCTCGCCGAAAGTACAAAGACGTACACAGGGAGGATTGAGAAGGTCCGTATCCCAGACGACAGCTGGGTCACGGGCATTATTGTGACCACTGCCACGAGAAAGGTGAAGGATAATGGCATGGCCACACATGCACTAAGACGGGTTGTGGGTTTGGAGGTCTTGCTGACCAAAGAGGGCGCATCTGTCAAAGTAGGCTGCCAACGAGGTGACAAGAAGGTCATTCACGTACCCGAGGGCGACTTCATTGTTGGGCTCAAGGTCCGTCAATCCCCCGGTTCTGCCGTCCTGTGCCGGCTCGGTCTGCTCTGCCACCAAAGCTGGCGAGCTGGTTCCAACAACTACCGACAGCGCAGTTACAACGACGACAAGTATAGCCTTGTTCAAGGTAGAATGTGGTACCATGAACTCCCTTGCCAACGGCCAGGGTCAGGTGCAGGGCCAGCTCCAGGCGAGACTCACAGCGGGTACTGGGACTCTGGTCTCGTCGCAGACGTCGAGCCCATGCAGCACCTCATCTGGGACGCAGGATGGGACTTCGCTTCACCTTCACACATCACATCCATCTCGGCCGATGTGCTGTTCGGTGGTTTCAGAGTGACGTACGAAAACCAGCCTGACCGCACCATTGGTCCGTGCCTCCACGCCGTGAAGACACTGACCATTGACGCAGCCGGCGGCGAAGAGGTCTTGAGCATGCACTATTGCATCAACCACATCCTTACCAGCATCCGCTTCGTCACCACCAGGAACCGGCAGCTTGTCATCGGACAACCTGATGGCAGGGAGAAGAGATTTCCCACCAGAGAGAGCCCCAATGAGCGATTATCCGGATTCTTCGCTCACTGGTCAGCGTCATGGTCGCCTTTACCCACGCTGAAGGCCATTGGGGGCTTCCTTAGTCCATCCAACGGGCTGGAAACGGATGCTTCACCGGAATTTTCGCAGCAGGTGGGCGGCCCATACTGGGAACCGACAGAGCTGGCGGAGGGCCTCGCAACGTCAGGTCCCTGTATTGGCGCTTTCATGTTCCATGCAGGGCAGATGGGCCCCCGTGACAAGTCTGTCCCGGACGAATGCGCCGTCCGGGCTTGGTTGGATTGTAGCCAGGCGATAGCCAGTGTTACAACGACCCTGTGTCACACGTCTGAGCCTCACGCGCTGCCTCTGGTTGGCGTGACGTTGACCATGGTGGATGGAAGCACAGCGTCCGTAGGCCCAGACACATTCTCGTCTGTCCCGGAGGACTGCTGGTGTTCACTTGGGATATCTGATAAGAAGGAGAGGGAGGCTCGACCGCACTACGTACACGACACGTGGAACGTCGGTGGTCAGCATCTGATCAAGTTACGCGTCTGGCTCTGGGCGTTGTCCACGGCGGGCCAAGGACACAGAATCGCCGCCATGTCCTGGGTTGCCGCAGACGGAGGCGAAAGCCCCAGGTACGGCCACTGGGGCCACACGGGCGAGGGGGAAGAGGTCTACGAGATTGAGTTTGGAGATGGCAAGGCCGTCGGTCTGCTGTGCTTTGTAGGGTTCAACGGGAGGCAAGTGACGAGGGACGACTGCACGGTGCAAGCTGTCCAGGCGTTGGTCAGATGTGATTAGAACTTCAATTCTGCGCCTTCTATTTTGAATCGTTATTCGAAAAGATATCAGAATCATTGAAAAGGACATTCTGCCCTACCTTGACCTTTAACAGCTGCTTCACATTTTGCGAGCCTCCCCCCCACAACTACTAGTCGCAGGCCACTCGTGCCGTTCACGAGAATACTCCAACGAGGCGGATTCTCAAACTTGCCCGGAAATCCGTCGAGGTACTCCCTCGTGCGGGCGTGCTCATTGATGTACCGCTCGCCGCCGCCCTGCATGTACACCATGCGGCTGCGGTCCCCGGCGGCCGCCTTGTCGTCGTAGCCGACGATGGAGATGACATCGCGCGAGGGGTACTGCTGAAAGTAGGCCGTGAAAATAGCGGACATGGAGGTGCGAAGGAGCTTCTACACCAAAGACAGCGTATCGCTGTAGGAGCTGGCCGCCGCCTCCATGCCCGATCAAGGTGATGTTGGTTAGGCTGGGATAGGTCTTCTTGTTCGCAAACTCGTCAATGAGGCCGTCGAGGACGTCAAACAAGGTGACTTTTGTGCGTGAGGACCCTGTCGGATGTTTTCCAGTACTCATCCCGTCGCGCCGCTTTCCGTGCGGCACAATCCAGGGGTGCTCGAGCTTGGTCTCGTCAAAGTCCTCGCTGACGAGACACGCCATCTCCTCTGGTCAATCGACATTGACGTCTATGGACGCGAATTCAGAACTCTTGGGTGTCTTGATGGGGCCGTAGGTCTAGATACTTGTGGTCAATTACGTCTTTGTGTGAAGTAAAGGACACTCACTGTTACTTTCTTCGACTCATCCTCGCCAATCTTCTTATCATACTTGATGTAGACGATGTCCTGCATGGCAAACTCCGAGTCTACCTGTGGTCGACATTCCACGAGTAGACTTGGCAGGGTGGCTGCCAAAGCCAAAACGGTAGTCAATCGCGTACTCAGGTGATTGTTCGCCCCGGTATACCTCCTTGAGCTACGCGTTGTTGGTGGGCTGGGTACGGACTTTTGATATTTGATGGCTGCAGATCGAGGATCAATACATATAGGTTCAAGCACCTACTGATTGAAGGTAAGTCTTATAAATGATCTCATGCCATCAGCCATATCTACGACTGTCCTCGTCATAGTCACATTGCAAGCAGTATGTTCAAAATAATGACTCCATAGAGCCCAGAACGAGTCTCCACCCTCAATCAGCCAAGCAACCTCTCTCCAGTTGAACGGACCTGAATACTGGCTTACGAATCATCCAAGTCCATTATGGCGGAGGGTTCATCGCGGACCAGAGTCGGGGATGAACTCAACAACAAAACGCTGGAAACGCTCCAAGGACCCAAGGACTACCGGGATTGGGCTCAGAAGATGAAGGAGACGCTTATTGAGATGGGTCTATGGCAGGCCGTGGCGGCCCGGGATACTGTCTCAAGAAATAATACGACCGCTCGTTGGTTTATCATCAGCAGGGTCGACTACACCATTCTCGACGACCTCGAGGCCAAAGGCTGGGACCTGGCAAGCTCAGCTCACGACACCTGGTTCCATATCCACCAGATGATGCTGGGTCCCACGTTGAGATCCCACATGGCCCTTACAGAGTGGTGGAACATCGACAGTAGCTCGTTCACCACCATAAGAGACTTCATGGACCGTTTCCAACAGCTTGATAAGGCCATGTCTGATTCTGGGACCGTGATGCCAGACCAGGCGTGGGTTTTCCGGTTCCTCGCCGCTATCGAATCAACCCTCCCTTTTGCTTACAGCCACTGGCAACGCCAGATCAAGGCCAACGAGACCATTGACAAGCTGGACGTGCAAGAGTTCTTTTAGGAAATGGCCGACGTCCAGGCAGGCAGCTTTTCACCTCCCAGCAAGCCACGCGCCACCCAAGAGGGCCTACAACAAGGCTCCCAAAACAAGCAAGACGCGCGATGCCAAGACCAGATCTCCGGCTCCACGCGACCACGACACCGTCAACAATACCGGACGCGCGGTCAAATTATCGTGCGGCTGCTGGGTTAAGCCTGGGGGCAGATCCTACTCTATGCAGGTCTGTTGGCGCCTGAACCCCGAAAAGGCACCCGACTGGTACAACAATGTCAACAGGGACGACGATGCAGGCGTCTCCGCATGACGGGCGGATGCGGTATGATTGGTTTATTGATCGTGAGCAAATGTACTAGAGTTTGGAACTATTTGACGATACACTTGCTGGTAGACACGAGCCGGCTCCAGTAAAGACAGCACAACCTCCTTAGCCAAACGCACGCGACGGCAATCTAACCGGTGATTTTGCAATTACCGTACTCAACAGGCACCCAGATCGCGCCCCTGGTCTCGTAGGGCGACCAGGTGGTCTCGAAATAGTCGTAAGAGAGCCAAAAGATGATCTGGCCCTGGTTGTCACACTGGACATCAAACTGCAGGCCCTCTATGACGCTGTACGTCTCCGACTGGGACACTTCGATGCCGGCACTGGCGTTGAAGACTTCCCACGAGGCGGTGAGGATGGCCTCATCGACCTGGACCATGCGCTGGGCGTCCGTCTCGTCCTTCCACTCGAGGTGCTCGTCGAGGGAGACGGTGGCCTCGACGGCGCCGGGTCGTTCGCGCCGTTCACGTGGAAGGGGTCTGGGTTGCCCTCCCTGTTGAAGTCGACGACGAGGGTCTCGCCTGTTGGGTTGCTGGTCAGTGGCCTCCATCATCACCTCGTGAAGGGTGCGTGATCTCACGCTCGTTCCAGTCTGGGCGACGGTAGCCGTCGCACTCAAAGATCTAGGCGGAGGCCAGGCTAGCGCCCAGGGCAATGGACATGGCAGCGAAGGCTTCCATCTTGGGTAGAGATATGTGTTGGGAGGAGGAAACAGGCTGAGTGCTGCGAGTCTGTAGAGAAAGGACAATTCGAGCCGGTTGTCTCTGTTAAGAGTCTGCTGATACAAGAGAACAAGGAAGACATTCAGCGGCGGATCGTGAACAACTTTATACAAGTTCAGCATCTCTGTCCTTCTATCTGTCTGTCTACCTGTCTACCTGTCTCAGCATCGGATGTTCTAGACGTTGATCACTACCCTCAAGGCACACCGCATGGATCGCAGAGGGTTTGGGAACTGCCGATCGCGTGAGGCTTTACTTGAGAATAATTTGCATTGGCGCTTCAAAAGCTGGTCTAATAAGCCAGTAGAGTAGATACAATAAGGCTAGGCGCCGGCCAGCCGGCTTGTCGTCAAGTCCAGTCAAGGCGAAGACCACCTTGGCTCTCGAGGAGGATCCACGCCGGACGGCGCGATGGCGCGCATAGAGTCCCTAAACTGCCGGATCAGTCCCGAATCACTCCCATTCGCATTCTTACCCTCCTGCATATCCCTCAGCGTGCTCTCCATGCTCTGCAGCAGCGGCATGAGCGTCTGCAGCAGCCGCTGCTCCACCGCCTGCTCCGACATCTTGGCGGCTGTCGTCTTCTTCTCCACCTCGTCCCCCTCGTCCGTCGTGACCACATCGTTATGACTGCCGCTGCTGGTGCTCTGCTGCGACGAGGGAGAGACAGCGTCGACTCCGTTCAGGATCCTGAGTGTGCTACGTCGATGCCGCTCTCTTGGCAGTTGACGCTGGTCCTGCGCAGAGACGATCCCGATCTCGCCGCTGTGCCCACCTTCGCCCTGCAGCTCCCTCTCGAGCTGCTCGCGTCGCTCTAGCGCAGCCAGCCGCCACTCTTCCACCGTCTGGCTTTGGTGCTTGCTGAGCCACTCACGCTCCTTGTTCTGCGCCTGCCGCACGGGATGGCTGAAAGACTGCGCATGGCTCATGCAGGGGGGCGCCGAGATGATGTTCGTCCGGGGCGAGCTTGGGCTCGGGGAGGTGGGAGGCGTGGGGATGTGCAGGGAGCTGTTGCGCTTGGGTTTAGCGGCGCAAATGGTCAGGTCACCCGGCGCTTGCGCGACCTTGATGGGAAGAGGCCGATGGCGAACATTGACCTTGGCGTCTGGGCGCAGAGCAGAACGGGGCGACACGAGAGGAGCTGATACGCCCGCCGCCAGTAGAGACAGGGGCCGAAGTTGTGTCCCTGAGGGTGACTTTGGCTCGATGCTGGCAACGGCGATGATGGGGGACAGAGACAGGGCCGGCACGACGTGTTTGTCGTCCTCCTCGTCTTCGTCGGGCTTAATCTCCTCGCTTTTGATGGAGGTAAAGGTTAACACAGGGGTTGGCTTTGGTGTCGTGAGCGGACTGTCTATTTCTTCCCCCACAGTCTCGGGGATCATCTTGGAAATATCGCCCAACGAAGACCGTCGGGACGCACGGCTAGCCTTGGTGTCACTTTCGGTGGGTGTATTCTCCGCTGGGGTTGTAGGCGCCGACAGCTGGAGGACCAGGCTGGATGGCCTTTTGCTGGGCGTCGTCTGCTTGGACCGCTGTCGGGGTAGGCTCGTCACCTCGGACTGCGTAAACCATCCCAGCACAGGGGAGTCGACCGAATCTTCCACGGAAAAGCTGGGCTTCTGGGCGTTGGTGACACTCAGCTTGGTAGCGTCGAGATCACGTTGCACCTTCTCACGAACTCGAGCACGGCGTGCCAACCTTCGCTCCGCCAGGGTCGCAGTCGTCGTGGTGCTATCCGTGGTGGCCGAGGAGCCCGACCTCATGGACGAAGCGATGGATGCCCGTTTGCTGTCGCTCGGTCGCTTCACGGCCTCGTCCGCCACGGCAGTAGCTGTACTGTGCGCTGAAGTGTCGCTCACAATGGAGTAGCGATATGGATCGGTGGTGGCCACAGAGTGCCTCGAGGACTCGACTGTGCTGTTGGTAGATTCCCTCTCGGCCGGATCAGTGTAGTCGGTGCCATCTCGATCCTCATGTGCACCCGATAATTGGACAAGCCGCGAGGGCCTTGATCTGACCTGTTGGCCCGGCCTTGCTCTGGGCGCCGTCGTGATCACTATCTCGCCCGTATCATCATCACAAGTGCGGGACGATCTCGGCCTGTGAGATTGAAAGGCCCCGTCCGACCTGCTCTGGTTCGGGCGCGGCCGCTCCAGGCGCCAGGGCCGTGGGTCTGCTGACGATGCTGAAGAAGCGCGACTCGTAGCTGGTGGTGGACTGTGAGACGCCCTGAGCGGCAATGCTGCGGACGTGCTATAGTTTCGAGCATGAGCGCTCTCTGGTGGTGACGGGAACGTCATGGCAGCCAGCATGTTGGGGAAGCCAGGCGATTCGACAAGCATGTCGTTCGGTGGGATCTCGAGCGTGCGCTTGACGGTAATGTCTGCCGGACCCTTGATGCTGTCAGTAGACCGCATCGCACGTTTCGATGGCTCACCACCTGGAAGCGGTGGTGTTCGCGGTGCGTAGTTGGGCGAGTCGGGGCTGGATACGGATGTTGGCGATGCGTCAGTTGATGCTGCTGGGTTCACCATGATCACCGGTGCCGTGTCAGGAGTGGATCTCTCCCGAGCCCCCTCAGTATCGCCACCGTCTCCCTGCTCCTCCGCAATGCCGGAGACAACAGACATGGGCAGCGTCGCGACCGAGCTCCTCTTCTTGGCCTTGTCCGATGCACTGGCTTGTTGACCCTGGTCAACCTCGTTGTGCTCCTCGAGCCAACTGTCCACCAGCTTCAGTAGCGAGCGGATCCCGGGCTCAGCTGCGGACACACGAATCGAGAGTCGATAGGGAGTTTTGTCCACCCCCGACGACGACCGGTGGACCACGGCGTCGACCTCGCCCGAGGTGAGACTCGCAATGTCACCTGTAGAGTTGCACCCAGGAGCGTTCTGCTGATGCCACGCCGAAAGTCTCGACTGGAGGGACGCCCTCGCCTCGCCGACGGTCTGGTTCGGCGGCACGGCAATGGCCACATATGTATGCCCAGCCGCCGTCGTCCTGAGCGTCGTGCTGTCCCTCGGATTGAAGGGACGCGGTCCTTCTTTGATTTTGTCGCGATGGCCCTTTCGTAAGGATCGTATCGACCACCTCTTGTTGTTGTGATCTCCTCCAAAAGGTGTCGACATCCCAAAGCAACCATCGGGCGCCGCGCCGCTGTGCCGCCTGAAGCCCGGTGGCTTTGTGTGTCGGAAGAAGTCTGCCAGATCACGGAGTGTCTCCCTGTCGACCTGCTCCCGCGCTAGATCGTAGTGGTCGTCATCGTGCACGGTGGCGCGCTCTGCACCGTACATGCCCAGCGTAGATACGGCGCGTGGCATACCCGCTCGTCTTGTCTCATGGAGGCGTGGCGCATCGTCGATCTGTCTCGCAGGCGCGGTGCTGTCAGACAGCGACCGCGCCCGAATATGGGGTTGGAGCGGCGAGGTGGCGGTCATGACGGGGGCGTCATGGTTTAGAACCCCCCTCTGCGTGGCTGTCGGCAGTTGTGGCCTCGTCTCTGCGACAGCAGGCTAGGAAACAAGGAAGAGAGAAAGAGAAGCAACAGGACCGATCCTCGGATCGCAATCTTCTTCAACGGCTGCGCGCCGCGAGGCAGCGATCCCGCAAGAGACAAAGAAACAAGGCCCAAAGCCAGAGAAAAGGCAGTTTGTAGTGCTCTTGGTTGGATATGGGCAAAGGCGAGGTTCCGGTACCAGCAATTTCCACGAAAAGGTGAGGTCGAGCGTGCAGTCCTCTCCAGCTTTCATTTCCTGGGACCAAGGGCAAATCCCACCTGCTAGTCTTAATCGGTCGCTTGTGAGGGAACAGAGGGCCCCAGAGTCCAGACGTTGAGGTGATGACGGAGAATGAGATGCAGGGGTTTTACCGTTTTCTCGAGGGATCGGCAACGCTTCCTTCCAGCTGGTTGGCCTGACCAGGTTCCTACCCTGGCTCAGGCTTTGCTAGCTCCCACCCATCTGACGAACCCTGCCGCCTTGCGAGTCTGTTGACTCTGTTCCATCTGGACTCGGGGGCCTCGGAAGCAGCACACGCCTCATGGAACTCCCAGACGCGCAACATATCGAGTCCAATTCGTGGGAAGATCGAGGACCAAACTAACGTGGTCTCTCATGTCGAATGGGCAGGGTGGAGCGCGGCATTTGGACGCCGGAGCCAATAGTGTCCGTCTCCACAACCACGATAGGGGAACTCGAAATGCCGCCTGCTGATTAATAACGAGTTAGCGCAGCACTAATCATGCAGGAACGGAAGTGAAGGAGGCTGCGAATTCCATCTCTCAGGACGCAACCTGTGCGTGCCCCTGAGCAGTCGGGCGGTGCGCCAACCAGCCAGCGAGCCCGTCAGCCAGCAAGCAACTGATGATACCGGTGAGGTATCCATGTCAAGGCTGACAAGGCGCATCACAAGATCACGAGGTGGAGCGAGGAACCCGAGGCGGAAAATAAGAAACCGTCTTGGTAACTAATCTGTAGTAGCCATGGATGGACGGATGTATGGATGGGCAGTATTGCTGTGTGCATCCGTCCATGGACGACAGGCAGCCTGCAGAGGGAAAGCCGCAGTGTCTAACTCAGCCTAGCAGACAAATAGCCATATTGCGAGAACTGACAGGTGAACAAGCCGTTCCAAAAACGCCATACTACCTGGTTCGTCACGTGTCCCCTAGCGAACCGAGAAATGTTTCTAAACGCCAAATGTTGGTACCGACAGAGGTATCCGATGCTAGGGAAATGGTATACAAATGCAGAATGAATGCGAAGGCTCAATAGTTGGTGTGGTCAAGTCGGTCAATCATCATGGCTCCTCTTCAATCATGGCTGGGACCTCGTCTTCGTTAAGCAGAATTCGACGGCCGAGATCTTCAGGAGCTTGCCCATCGCGGACAGCACCAAAATCGAGAATCTAGAGAGAGAAGAGTTTGTCAGCTTGCAGCATCTTCAGTGGCGGGGCCAGATGCGTGCTTACCTCGACGTAGGTGAACTGGTCTCGCTGCACGGCCGCCACGCAGCGCCGTCCATTGAACTTGACCTGCCAAACGCCGCCCAGGTCTGTCAGGAGGTCCTGGACGCATTCGCCCGTCTGGATGTCCCACATCTTGACCGTCTTCTCGCTGCCACTGATGACCTTGCCAGCATCGTGCTGGAAACAGGTGATGGCGCCCGTGTGCGCCATGAGCGTGCTCTTACAACGTCCCGACTCGGGGTCCCAGATACGCAGCGTCGAGTCGGCAGCGGCGGAGACAAGGCGCTCGTCCCGAAGATCAAGAAGCCCTACCAGCAAGCTGTGGCCCTCCAGGGTGTAGAGACAGGCTCCAGTCCTCAGGTCCCATATCTTGACCAGCGAGTCCATGGAGCCAGAGATGCAGCGATTGCGCTCGTGATCAAGTACGACCGAGTACACCTTCTGAGAGTGCCCGTGTAATGAGTGGAGGCATTCGCCTGTGCTGATGCGCCAGACACGGACCACGCTGTCGTATGACCCGCTCACCAACGTGTCCCCGTGCGCGGAGATGGCGCGGACGGAATGCGTGTGCCCGTGCAGTGCCCTGATGAAGTAGGGGCACTCCGAGTCCGAGGCTGGGGCGCCGCTCTGCGTGTAGCGCTTCGAGCCAATCTCGGGCAGACGCCAGATTCGCAACTGACTATCTCGCGAGCCCGTGATAATCAGCGGCTTTTCTGGTTGCATTATAGCCTTGCCATCGTGGCCTGTACCAGTCTTGGCGGGCATGAGGATCTGCAGGCAGCGCACAGTGCTAGTGTGGCCGTGGAACACCTGTTGGCAGACGCCACGCTCAATGTCCCAGACGCGGACAGTCCTGTCCGTGGAACCCGACACGAGGATGTTCCCTTCGTATTGCAGAGCCCACACGCCACCCTCGTGGCCGAACAGTTTGTTGCGGAGCTTACCCGTCTTTGTGTCGTAGACGTGAATGAAGGTATCGTCACTGCCGGTAATGATCTTGTCGTCGTCGAATTGGAGACAAGTGATAACATGGCGCGGGTGCGCGGCGAACGCCACATGCGAAGGCTTCACCTTGCCGCTCATCCAGCTCTGGCGTATCATGTGGTGACGACGGTACAGCGACTTGAACAAGTGCAGCTCGCGGAGGCTGGGCAGGCCAAGATGAGGGTCGGGCACGGCCGAAGCGGCGGCATTCGCAGCCGACAGCGGGCCTGCGCTCCGGTGCTGCTTGACCTCGACCTGGGCCTTCTCCTCTCTAGACAGCGCTTCCTGTGCGCTGGCCCTACGCTTCGATCGTTCGCTCGAGGGGTGGGCGTTGAGAGCCCGCTTGCGCTTCGAAAGTCGGGTTTTGGGTGCTGGCGGTGGCAGGGCCTTTGTAAGCTCTTGCTCCGAGGTAGTTAGACGCCTATGCATGCTCAAATCCTTCTCAACGCCCATGTGCCCAACAGGATCCTGCCAGCCCCAGCCTTGAGCAATGGCCTTGTTGAGCTCTCCCGCGGGAAGCTCGAATCCATCTCTGTCGAAAAGTTCCTTCCACCCAGTCTCATTGCGATCCACGATATTACGCCAATGTTTCGATACCTGGGCGGCCCGGCACAGATCCCGAAAGTCGAGGTAGGACATGACGTGGTAGCTAAGTTCGAGGGGTAGCTGCGAGAAAAAGTCGCATTTCAGCGCCGGGTTGACAGCATTGGCAACGACACGCAGTGTGGGTCTAGCACAGCGGCGTAACAGCTGGTACATCATGTAGGACTGCATGTCGGGATTCATCATGTCGAAAGTGTCCAGGAATCCAAATGGATCCATCATGATGGAATCTCCGTCTCTTGTTCTCGACTGGCTGCCAATCATGCTGAGCGCCATGGCGTCTTCGTCCTCGGACTTGATAGAGCCGCTGTCCCATTTGCCCAGTGCGAAAGAGCTCGTCGCGAAGCTGGTGTCACCGCTTTCGCCCCCTTGCTCCTGGCTCGAGGTGTTCGGTTGGGAAGTTGCAAGCGTAGGAGATAGCCTTGGACTAGGGAGACTAGCATCTTGAGCCGCGACGACGTCAATGCTGGGCCGAGGATGATGGAGTAGACCCCGGGTAGAATGGTGATCCTCGCCATCTTCAAAAGGCTCGGCGTCTGCGTCCGTGATAGGTGGGGTGGCAACGTTGCTACCAAAGTTCGCAGCCGTGTTGCTCGCTCTAGGGCTGCCAAACTGCTCAGCACCCAAGCCAAGTCGGGGGCGGGATGTGAGGCCTTGCTCGATGGCAGACGATGAATTCTGTTCGCTCGTGGCATCAGGAGTAGCCAAGAAGCTAGATGTGGACCGGGGCTGACGAGACGATCGGCGCGTCGTGCTCGCTTCCCCGGATGCTCCACGTAGCTTTTGAGCAGCAGACCGAAGCTGGCTGCCCAGATCTTGTTGTTTGGGGTACCCGTCCGTTGGCCCGGGTACTTGTCGACTCGATCGCGGGCGACGGGGGTATGCTTCTGAAGGCGATCGGGAGTCGGCGCGCGAGGCACGGGCAATCGATGCATCGCGTGCGGGCAAGATCTTGGGAGACCCCGGCGTCGTTCGCTCGATGGATGATCTGGGTTTATCAGTGCGCTCCGTCAGGTTAGCAAAGGCGACTTTGATGGAAGCAAGGGGTCTTACCACATGTGCAGGCTCGGTGTCGTCCTGGGCCTCACTGCTAGGCACGTTGTAGGTGAAGGCGAGCAGCTCCGGCGGCGTAGGCTTGTGGTAAAGGGGGTAGTCTTTCGGGTTCAGGTGCCTCGATTGCATCTGGGCCTGGTCTGCAGTATTCGGAAATTTGCGAGTTAATCGTGTCGTCGTTGTGATGGTTTTTGTCTCGACACGCTCACTGACTTCCATGTGGAAACGGCGAGGATCCTCCTCAGACTCGGCAATGTTGACCATGACCGTCGACGGTTGGCTTGTTCGCCGCGTGTCCATCGTATGCTTGGAGTCGTTGGGCGACATGCTGTCCAGGTTGTGGGCAAGCAGAGGCTGGCCGTGGTGGTGCTGTGCCACGGGGCGAGGCTGGGACCAGCGAGGTCGGCTGAAGGTGATTCTGGGTGAATCACGCTGGCGGCAGCCGGCCGCAGGGGTCAAATTGGGACAAGCAGTGCAGTCAGTGACAGTGACACCCGTTCGAGATGCGTCGAATCGATAAACACCACTGTCGTAGGACGTTGGTGCTCGGGAGGAGGGGAGGGGAGCGGGAGGGCTGGCCAACTAAGGTGGTAACAACCCAAGAAAACTTGGAAAGGGATAGGACGCCAGCCACGATGCGTCCCTCACATGGATCGAGAAGGGAAAGCCCAGTCAGTGTCTTAAGCAGTGTGCAAGCACCGGGGGTCGTTGTGTCGTCGTTTTGTCGGAATACGTACGCAACCTAAAGTGAACGTGGGAAAGTCGGAGACAACAGGAGGCGCTCTCTTGGTGATACTTCAAGAGACTGACCCGGGTTTAACCAATAAGGACTCGGTGTCAGACTTCCGCGCAGGCCTCAGCGCGCGGAGTCGCCCAGAGCGGGTCTACTGGAGCTGTGGCTGACCGTTTCGGACTCCACGTCTAGGGGCTCGCTCCTCTCGACACAAGGCGCCACTCGGCCGCTGACGGATCAGCCCTGTGGCTGGAGTCTTGCTTCATTTTCGGACTCGCCGACCGGAGGCTGGAATGGGCAGTGAGGCTCATGACTTGTCGGAGTTTTCTCCTTGCCCTTGAATGACTCCTCTATGTCATGTTGCGTGTCACTTATATCATGAACATTAATTTCGACGCTAAACTTTACTCTCGTTGATCGAATGGCAAAACTAATTCGATTGTGGACAGTGGTTATGCTTTGACGTTAACGGAGGTCTACAGCACCGTTCATCTGCATTTGTATTCTCCGGTGGTGTGCTTCGAGCTGGCCTGCTCAGCTCATTATCACCAACTTTTGAGCCATTTCGGGAAAAGATAAAAAAAAACATTGCACAATCTTATGTCCATTAATGTGTGTTTCCGCAAGTACGTGGTTCACATCACTGCAAGGACTTTGGCCTAGGGTACGCAGCCTGAGACTTGGACATCACGTGATATCAGAATACATGTTCCGAGTCAGTCTTAGTCGAATCAATTAGCCGACGGAGAAATTGCGCCATCAGGTCACGGCATTGTCATGGGTCTCTGCTATTCCGATCGCGTGAAAGACAAGCAGCGCCCTCCTCGAGCCTCCACAGAATCTCTGAAACACATGAAATCTTTTAAGCCACATATACAGGCATCCTACTACCCAGTAGCTCACTCTTCGGTACTTGCACGTCGAGCTTGTTGAAGTCATGCAGCATCAGCCAGCAAATCATGCGGAACACGAGCGTACACCAGATATCATCATGAGTGACATTTTGGTCCGCCTCCAAGCCTGCATCTTCCGCATCGGCCTTTGCGGCCTTACGGACTACGACTCGCCGGACTTGGTCGTAGTATAGCTGCATGAGCTTCTCTTGCCTCTCGTCGGGGCCAGCAACGTCCACATCGTCCATCGTCGTCGATGCACAGGGGACTGGTGACATAGATCGCGAACGGTCGTCGCCCAGGTTCAGTTGGCGAATGACCTCCTGTAAGTGGAAACGCAGGACTGTCTGCACAGTCTTCCGCCTCCTCTGCTGCCTGGGTGTTTCAAGGCTCAATCCCGGTGGTTCATCCTCTTGGGTCGTCCTCAGTGGAATGCTATCCGGTGACGGTCCTGGCGAGGCAACAAAGGCATTAAAGCGACGACGGAGCCCCAGGAGACTGCTGCTGCCTGTTCTTTGTGTGCTTGATCTTAGCAAGGATATATCTTGTGTTTCGGATCGTCGTGACTGCTTGCTTCGCCCCGTCAACAATTCGTCGGCGTCGTCCAACGCCACATGGAGAGCTCTGAAGCGTAGTAAAGTCGCGATGCTGTCATCGCCCTGGTGCCTCAGTATTGCGCTGATATGGTCGCTCAGACGTTCAACAACAACCTGTGTTCGCCCTGCGTCGTTGGGCTCTTGAAGACATAACCCCTTGAAAGTCCTCAACGCCTTCCCAAGGTCGATAGAGCGCGCATCCCACCGATCTGGCGTTGGGTTCGGGAGGTGCGTGAAGAAAGTATTCTCAATGTGGAAATTCTGGCTGAGCATCCCCACAATCTCAAATGATACTAAGGTCGTTAGTGATGGGCTTCTTGACCGGGTGATGGTTCCTAGGTGTACATACTGGGGAACAGGTGCGAGACTCTACGTCCAGGCGCCATGAATGTAGCCACTGAGGTGTGGTTGCATCCGATCAGTTGGAGTGTCTCTGCGATTTCCGACCTGGTTGCTACGAGGAGCGTGCTCAAGTCCAGCAAATCTACAGGAACTTCCAGTCTCCTCTTGTCCTGTGTGCTTCGGAAAATCGTAGGTACCCATCCGAAGCAGAGCTCTTTCACTTCATCCACGGGTATGACCCTGTTTTTCTCGAATCGCGAAAGTCCGTTCACTTGGAACGTGAAGGCCAGACCGAGTTCAGCAACTCGCTCACCGAGAACCATGAAACCGTTGCCTTCGGCTCGATAGCGATCATTGGTCCTGTCGAATTTCTTCCAATAAATGCCCATGGCAGCTATAATCTCAAGCAGATGGCACATGGTTGTGGTGGCATATGGTCGAGTAATGGATGCGGGCATAGTATCCCAGCTCATCCTCTTTTTCTGCACAGCGACGACCAAGGTGTGGCTCTCTGCCAGTGAAGGTGGTTCGCTCGGCAGGCCATGCTGTCGAAAGGCAGTTTGCGGAGGCTGACTCGACGAAAAGTAGTCGAATTGACTCCGGTGCCACATCTGCGATTCGATCTCCATGCTCTGGATTGCCGAGAGGAGAATAGTCCACGAAGCACGCTCGTTATCCGAGGTCCGCATCCTCTGCTTGCGGTCCTTCTTCTGGTAGTCTTCCGTCCATGTGTATGCCAGACTCTGGGGAGTGCCATCCAGCAGCTGTATCTTGCCATCCAGCGCTCCCTTGTCGTTCGCCGGCGGACACACGAAAATCACAGGAATCTCCACCTCTGTCTCGAAGCGTAGATCCTCCAATCGAAATTTGCGAGTCTTCGACTTGTGCCATCCTCCCATGACCTTCTCGTTGCATTGCGAGAAGCCCCGCGCGGACGCGAAATATTGCTGAAGGCATTGCAGAAGCGTTGCCAGGAGCGCTATCAAGGAGACGAAAAGCGCGGCGGAGGCGACGATGATCTCTGTCTTATCGCTGTCAGCCATGGCATCCCGAGTTTGGAGGTTGGGAGTCCACAGCCGTGCTCAGCTGGCAGTCTGGGTGGGTGTGCGCCGTGGCGGAGGCGCATCCGCGTTCCCTCGTATCCCACACAATCACTCTTTCTGGAGTCTCCGCTGTCTCAAACTCTCGATCCAGCCAGTCGCCCGTGGTGGTATTGTCGTCGGTTCGAAATGTTTACCAATGTGCACAGCATGTTGCCGGCCAGGCTGGAAGATCTGCAGAAATGTGTCTCGGCTCTCGAGATCCAATTGTTTCTAATTTTACCATCTGCGCTGGCTGATAAACTAGCGTTGCATGAGCCGTCTGCATCACGCATCGCATCATGGTTGCAGCGTGCGTGTGTGCAGACTGGAAAAAAAAACAAAACGCGATCTGTTGGGCAACACAACCCCAAGTCGCTCGGCGTTGTTTTTGTTATTGCTGCTGTTGTTGTTGATTCACGAATGCCAAGGAGACATGAACGCTCTGGCGACACGCGTTTGCTTTGCTTGATGCACTTGGTTGCTAACTTGGACACCTCATCGTGGTGTCCCGGATCATCTCGCACGTAGCGGTCGGGTCATACCCACCAAGTCATTGATCTCTTCACCACATGCACACCTCAAGAGTCGTGTGAGACAAGCCCGAAAAAGACATGACGCTCTCCAAATAAAGAGACCAGCTCATCGGTGGCAAGACCATGTGTCTTTCACGTCAGCAACAATCAGCCCTCACACTATTTGATTGTAGCCCACAGCGAGGCAAGTCAAACTGAACACCAAACCAGCATCAATCTTCACTATCACAGACGGAAAGCCTGCGGTAGCTGCCGCTAGCCTCGTTGCCGCAATACTTTTGCAATGTATACCTTTTCTGTCTGTACGCAGCCATGGCGCATGTGCACCCTCATGAGCATCTTTTCAATACATTGCCCAACCGCCACTGGCCGAGATGGTTTGTCCAGTGACCCATGACTCTCCTCCGATACAAGCCAGCTCAAAATTTGCGCCACGTCGTCCACAGTACCAAGTCTTCACCCGACAGGCGTCTGCTTCTTCTGCATGTCCAAAATGTCCTTTGGGATGTTGTCTATTAGCATCTTGCTCTGCTTGGGCCCTGGATCCACCGCGCTGACCGTGTGACCCTGCTCGCCCAGCTCCGCAGCCCAGCAGCACCTCGCCACGCCCTCGAGGGCTACCTTGGAGGAGCAGTATAGTGAGAGCTCGGGAAAACCGGGCGCGCGCCCACGGAGCCAATGTTGACAATGCGTCCGTTACTGAGATGAGGACGGACGGCCTGCAGGAGGAGGAGCAGGGGGGCCAAAGCATTCAGATGGAAGATGGATTCAAAGTCGTGGGAGTAATATCTTCGAGCGGCTTCACGATTTCGGCTCCGGTGTTGTTGATGAGGATGTTGACCTCGGACCCGAACGCGCTCAGAGTCTGGCGCACAATGTGTTGTGCCGATGTGGGTTCTCGTAGATCTAGCTTGACAGTGATACAGTCGTCGACCTTTGCGCCTGTCTATGCAAATCTAGAGGAAAGCCAGCACCAAGTCCTCGCGAGGCTCCAGTCACAATGGAAACCTTGCCTTCGAGGATGCGTTCTTTCTAAGGAGACGGGGGCATGTTGATCAATGGCGTCAAGGGTGCAGATTTTGAGGAAGAGTAGTTCACATGAGCTGCGAACATGAGGCTTGCAAAGACAGCAAGTCTGTTATATAATTCCAGACATGTGTTTCTGTATCTATTGTTCGATCCAGATATGCTCAAATCCCAATGGTTCTTGAACGTGAGCTGCTTCTCATGATCGCCGAAAAGCCTCGTCCTTCGGTATTAAACCTAGATCCGACGACACCACAAATGTGTTTCTGGGTCAAATCATGCAATGCTTCTCACGAAAAGGAATGTGGGCGCTGGAAAAGGTCATAAGGGGTTTTGCAGCAAAAGGTGGAACAAATCGGAGAGTAACTACCGTTTTCAACGTCAAACTCGGTTGAAAGACATTTCAGGTTGAAGGACAATTTATTCCTCCGCAGCACGCCCACGGAAACTAAACGCAGTCGGCTTTGAGCATGCAAATTGCGAATAATCAATGCCTCTACAAGAAGGATTCAGACAAGCAGAGTTCATTTTCCATGATTTCGCAGATTTCCCCAGAGGAATGGAAGGTATAGGGTAACCTTCTTTCCCCGACAAAACAAGCTCGACGGCGTTACATGTCAGGGCGCCATCCGCCTACCTAATGCCGCCCAAGCTGGCTCATTTGATCGTGGGGACTGCACTCTGGCAAATGGCCAATTTTGCTCAAACCGATACACCATGACAGGGCTCAAGCTGAATCAACGGCCGATCCTCGCACCGCATCACAGCTAGCGGAGCCGCGGCGCGTATTGTTTGGAAGAAAAGGGGTAAAGATCGCCACGCATTTCTGCCTCCCCCACGAGCTGTGCATGTTGTCTCAGCTCAAGAGAGAAGAGCTGCCGTGAAAAGAGCGTTAGGGTTACATAGCGTGCACGCAGTCCGCGCTCCTGCACACCGCCACGAGGCGGGAGTCGCGTGGGAAAACGACCACCGTCAGAGACGATGTATTTGAGGCGAGGCTTGAGATGGCGCGTATGAGTGAATGTCTTCACATCGGAGGGAAAAGAGTCCGAAGACGAGTAGTCGACATGGACTGTCCACTTGCACCTGGCGCATTTCGCTCGGGGGAGCAGACGATGGCACGAAGCAGGAGATTGATGGCAGCGATTAGTTCAACAACTTGTCGTCAGTTGAGTCGACTGTCCGATTGGGACTGCTGCTGCGCGACATGGCGCTTGAATTTAAGTGGGTCTCATTGCCGTACATGGAGGTGATGCTGCTGATCGGCTAATCAGAGGGACTCGCCATCGCACGTTCCTGAGCATTTTACCTCATATTTCTCTTTGCTGTGAATGACAGGTCACAGCTCGAGCATCCCTTGTTAGATCTACCGTGCAGCGGGCTCTTAACGATCGTTGGTTCGAGATCTACTGCCTTGTTATTCCTTGCAGAAGATCATCAAACATCAATTGTTGATGTCTGGGTCCATGCCTTCTGTGCTGAAGAATTGCTGAATTGGCTGTCAGCCTTCTAGGTGAATCAAGTCTAGTCGTCGTCGAAGAATTCCTTCCGCTAGATCAGCCCGGCAGTCACTGATGACTGAAGGGTGACGTACCTGGTAGATTCCTGCCAGCTCCAGTCAAGCTCATGTCGGTACTCGCTGAACGACACAAGCCATTTATCCCAGAATAGGCAATAGGCAATCTTAGCCGGCCCTTCAGGGTCCACTTCCCCTTAGTCTTGCACCCACCGGATGACAGATCGGACATCTCCCATCACGTGTGGTTCCGGCTCCTTCGAGGTGCCTGACTCGGCTGTACAATAGTCGGCGACCACTCTCAGGGCAAGACTCTATGCGCGAAGTACGCTTGATGCGTCTCCATGAAGCGGTGAAGTCACTGTATCTGGGACGCGAGATGCCACGAGTGACTGAACACCGACTCAGTTTACATGCTACATGTATGTTGCAGTACGCTTGTCTTGCGTAAGGTCTGGCGCTAACGTGCGTGCCTGAAGAGAGACTGACTGTGATATACTCTAGACGAAGACGTGAGGAAATTGACGAAGAATTGACCACTGGCTGGAGCTTGTCGATCAGAATACGGCGATGGTGTGGGTGACAGAAGTACCTGATGATGCGAGTGTAGACCATTGTGACTGAGGTAGCATCAGGGCCATTATCGCAACGGCAATACGCTACCGACTAACCCTGGAGCTTGTGCTCATCTCCTACGTTATATAAAAGCAATGATCGACAGAACCATGTGGAGGCAGCTTCGCTAGACCAGGTAGCCGTGTCCAATCGTAGCTACATCAGCGTTTTCAGGCACCACGACTGCCGCAACATGTGGATAGTCAATGTCAGAGACACAGACTCAAGCCTCTCAAGTCTCAACGTCGTACATTTTGGACCCGGCACTAGAGAACAATGACCTGCTGGCGAGCATTGCAGATGAGGAAGCCGTCATGGATCGACTTCCACTAGGCCTCATACAGGTGGGGAGGTGGACACTGGACAGCAATGCGGACAGCATCGGAGGTACCAACGCGAAGGCTGAAGTGTTGAAGATGATCCATGCCATCAAGGTAAACCGGGCGAGCGCTTGGGTATAAAGCCGCGATACTCTCCCCCAAGTGCTGATCCAGAAGACTCTCTTCATTCTCAAGCTCCTTTCCATCTACTAGACTACCTAAATACTCTCCTACCCCTTCTCCCGCTTCAATCAACCAAGCAGGTCACCAGCCAACACCATCCAATATGAAGTTCAGCATCGTCTCCGTCCTCGCCCTGGCCGCGTCGGCCACTGCCACCCCCATCGTGGGTGGTCTCCTCGGCGGCGTCGGCGACGCCCTCAAGGGCGCCGTTACCGAGGTCGGCGGCACCCCTCAGAGCAGCGGCGACATTGCCACTCTCCTCGAGGGCACCCTCTCGTCCGTCAAAGAGCGCACCGGGGCCATGAGTACGTGACCACAGCTTGCCAGCATACCACCCCCTGACCGATTTCCCGGCTGACCATACCTCACAGACGCCACCGTGGCCCAGGTCCAAAGCAAGGACATGTCCGCTGACGCGGCTGACGACGAGCTCCTCGGCCAGATCCAGGGTCTCCAGCTCGACCTGTCCCAGCTCGTTAACTCGCTCACCACGGCTGCTGGTATCCCCGTCGCCGAGGGTGACGTCGACCGTGTCCTCGGGCTCATCAACGCCCTCCTCAACGAGGTCCTCGCCACCGTCAACTCCCTCGTCACCGTCCTCGGCCTTCGTGCCCAGCTCACCTCTCTGCTCACCTCTGTCTTCAGCCTGCTCGCCAACATCCTCACCCTCCTCGTCGGTCTCCTCGGTGGTCTCCTCCCTGCCCTCGTCGGTGGCCTCACACCTCTCTTGGCTGGCCTCGGCAACGGCCTCCTTGCACCTCTTCTCACCCCTATTGTTGCCCTTGTCGCTGCCATCTCTGGCCCTTAAATCCAGCTTTTGCTCATAGGGCACACCAGCGAAAGTGTCGAAAATAGTGTCTATGCGGCTTTCGGTTCTACTATTAGATTGTGGACAATTAATACAGTAATGTTTTTGCCTAGCCCAATGGCCCTTGGTGAAAAAAATGCAATCCAGCCCTTGCATTAAACAAAAATCCTGACCAGAAATCATAAGCTGCGTATTGTCTTAGCATGATAAAGACGGCGATGTCACGGCTTCGGAGTTTACATGCTCATGGGTCGAGCAGTTTCAGCGTTTCGGCGATAAGCAGTTTCGGCGTTTCGGCGATAAGCTAGCGACTTGGCCAACATGAACCGATGCCTCCTGTTGCACGCATGAGTTCTGACCAGATTCCAAAGCTCATTCGCCAATGAACAAGTCCAAAGCGATCCTCAGACCTTTTGGCTATGTCATGGCCGACCCCAAGTGCGACAGCAGCTGGATACAGCCTCGCAACACTGGCCTGTTGATGCAGGAGGCCACGGACCACGACGGCCGGCTTTCCAATCGGCTATAGCGGAAGCGCATTCCCAAGGACTAGCACGTCATCGCATTTGATGCCTGCCATGTTGTCTGTTTCCCATCGAAAGACGTGCATAAATGGGCACAAGTCCTCCAACTGGCAACCCAGCAGAGACCATCTCACTCTCATCTCTACCAAGGAGCTGTCTGCCTGATAGTAGCAGTGACCACTCGAACGTATTCTTTCACTCGTCCAGAAATACAGATACCCAAGAAATAAACCATCAGGCACAATGGCACCTGTTTGGTTCATCACCGCCACATCATCAGGCTTCGGCCACGAGATCGCCCTCAGAGCACTTTGCCGTGGACACACCGTCATCGCCACGGCTCGCAACATCTCACGTATCCAGGACCTAGCAGAGGCTGGCGCCCACACAATGGCATTCGACGTGACCTCCCCCTTCACAGAGATGCAGGATACCGCCAAGACCATCTTTGACAAGTTTGGTCGCGTCGACTACCTAGTCAATGCGGCTGGGTTCATCCTCGAGGGAGCCGTGGAGGAGTTCAGCCCCGAGGAGACCCACCGCATCTTCAACGTCAACGTCTTTGGCGTGATGAACACGTTCAAGGCCTTCCTCCCGCATCTGAGGACACAGGAGATCGGAGACGGAGGTACCAGAGCCACTGTCGTGTGCATCGGCAGCCTCGGTAGCTGGCAGGGCGGTGCCTCGTACGCAGCCTACTCCATGACCAAGGCATCATGCTCGATGTTGATGGAATCTCTCCGCATCGAGCTGGCCCCTTATAAGATCGTGTCGAGTGTCATTGAACCGGGGTATTTCCGCACCGGCTTCCTCAGTTCAAACGCGCTCGTGCAGACCAAGGAGCGCATCGATGCGTATGAGGACCCTAAAACACCTGCAGGGGCGACGAGAAAGGGCTTACGGCAGGTACATGGAAACCAACCTGGCGACGTGAAGAGGGGTGCCGAGGTCGTGGTCCAAGTGCTGACCAGGACGGGGGTTTCCAAGGGAAGGGAGGTCCCTGTGCGCATTGTGCTGGGGACCGACTGCGAGGAGACGATAAGGGCGCAGTGCGCCAAGGTGACTAGTTACTTGGACGAGTGGCAGGATGTCATAAGGAGCACTGATTATCCGAAGGGGGAGTAGTTGATGGGTTTGTATTTTGAGTGAATGTAGATAGGATACTAGATGCTGATTGGGATATATGTAAGCGTAATCCCTCTTTGTGAGGAACACGATCAGTCCCCCATCTGAGCTGCCCTTTCCAAGGCAAGTCGATATGCAACGCGTGCGATACCTTCCCATGAAGTCGTGTCCACGACGCCCTCCGCAATCAATCCTGCCCCCTTTTCAACCGACTGGGTGCACTGAATGCACAGTTGTTCCTCTTGGCGGATCCAGCAGGATTTGCGAATGATTTGCATCTTGTGGCAGGGACGTCCGTCCATGTCTGAGATCTTGAAGTGACAGCGGTGACGGAGGCCCACTTGTACGTGGCCACATGGGAAGGTGAAAGTCCTCCAATGGCACATTTCCCTGGATGCTAGCCTTGCACTAGGTCGACTGCTGGTTCGAAGAGATATTATGTCGTTCAGGCTGGGTGAGTGCCTTGTGTCGGATGAGGACATTGTTCACGAGATTGCAAATACGCGCCAGAGCCTCAAAGGGATCCTGCCAGGCTAAACAACTGAGAAGCTGCGGATGATAACCAGAGCTAACTTGGCTGTTGGTGCCCAGTAGCACATACTGGGCCGTGATGGCGTCTGACACCAGGTTTCGGAAAGCTAAGCGACCTGACTGGTGGGGTGCCTGTAAGACCGCCAAGCCAGGGTTTCCACGATCATTTGCTGGTCGAGGGACTCAACAGTGTGCTAGATCCGGTGGTTTACTGGTTGTGGAGGACGATTGTCTGTCATAGGCGGATGGATGTGTGCTCATGGTACGAGGCTCGAGGCCAAGTTGACGAGGGACTGGTCACTGGTGCCACGTATGTATTCCGACGGCGGCAAGCCCAGTGTTGGTCGTGCAATGCTTCATGGGACAGTCAATGCGTGTCCAGAGAAAGGGGGTATTGTGCAATCTGAAAGGATTGCTGGTGGTACTGGAGTATTGGACGTACCCTCATGATGCTGGCACTCAACGTGTCTGGTGTAAGGGGCAAGATAAGATGAAGACTGCTTTGCTTTGCTATGGTCATTCTCAGCGACATTTGACGGGATGATTTCGCTTCCATGTTGAACAGGAAGTGTATGGCTACACGACAGAAGTCAAAAAATTCTGCAGGCTACAACATCACGCGTGGTACACTGACATGTCCACGTGGAGATCATGTGTGTTTAGGGCGACACTCATGCATCTTCCCAGCCCGCAGACAAACATGAGGCCTCCCCCGCGCGGAGTAACGCCTGACCTCCATGTCATCACCCTCACAAATACTCCCGTTGTGATTCCTGACTAATGCAACTTGTGTCTCTTCGTCTTTCAGTCACAGCTCACTCACGTGTCAAACTGGTTGAGGTCCTTCATCTTTCAAGCTTACTTGCTCAATCCGCCCCCGAACGAAAGTATGACGACCTTCACATTCAACGACGCAGTCAAGGCTGCGAGGGCGTCCTCGTCCGACGTTGATGCCATCACCCGAAAGCTCTTTGCATCGCTCACCACCGAGGAGGAACTCGACCTGCTCGACGGCGACGATGATTTCTGGCCAGGCTTGCACAGCACGCTCACAGATGGCTACAACCGACGCCCAATCGTTCATGGGGCCGTTGACCGTCTGTCGATTCCCGGTATCAGATTGGCGGATGGCCCCCGAGGCTGTGTTGTTGGCGAATCAACCGCGTTTCCCGTGCCCGTGGCTCGCGGCGCGACGTGGGACATTGAACTGGAAGAGAGGATTGGAGTGCCCATCGGCAAGGAGGGTCGCGCCCGGGGCGCCAACTTCTTTGGCGGCGTATGCGTCAACCTACCTCGACACCCGGCTTGGGGCCGGATTCAGGAAACATACTACGAGAACCCCATCTTCCTCGATGAATTCGGTGCTGCCCTGACCCGAGGCGTCCAGAAGAACATGATGGCGTGCGTCAAACAATATGCGCTCAACTCCATGGAGAACGCGCGCTTCCAGGTCGACGTGGACATTGACCTCGATGTGCTGCACGAGGTATACCTGCCGCACTTTCGTCGCATCGTTGAAGAGGGAGTGGCTTCCGTCATGAGCTCGTACAACAACGTCCGCGAGGAGTGGGCGGGCCAGGATAAGGAGCTCCTGCTTGACATCCTCAGAGACCAGTGGGGTTCAAGGGCTATGTCATCTCCGATTTTCTCTTTGGCCAACGCGGCGGGCCTCTGTCTCTCAAGAATGGACTGGATATCGAGGCCCCTTCTCGGAATGTGCGCGGACGGACTTTGCAGCAGGCACTCAAGGAGGGAATTGTGAGCGAGGCACATGTCGAGCGCGCAAGGCTTGTCATCCTGAGGGGGCAGATCGAGCATGCCTTGCGCCGAAAGGAAGAGGAGCCAACCGCAAAGGGCGTTGTGTTCTGTGACGAGCACAAAGATCTCGCCAAGGAATCCATGGTACTGTTGAAGAACGACAAGGTCAACGGGGAGCCCCTTCTGCCCCTGAAGAACGTCTCGAAAATCGTAGTCATTGGTCGCCTGGCCAACTCCTAGAAAACTGGTGACAGGGGCTCTTCAGCGGTACGCTGCCCAAGGGAGGTGCCTCCGTATGAAGGACTCAGGAACCGTCTGGAGAGTACTGAGGTCGTACTAGACGACTCCGCCGAGATCGAGTCATCTCGCGACACTGCGTCAAGCGCCGATGTTGCCGTTGTCATCGTCGGCTACGACTGGCGCCAAGAAGGCGAACACTGCGTTCCTGCATTTAACGCCAACGCTGGTCTCAAGGATGTCCTCCCGCCCCTCGACGGCACTGAAGTGGCCGAGTCCACGCACAGGCTTTTTGTGGGTGAAGTGGCTCCCGAGTCGCTCGTCGAGGGTGAAGACAACTACGGCCTAGGCGCTGGAGGCGACCGATCCAGCCTGAGGCTTAATGAAAGGGACGTGGAGATGATTCGTGAAGTCAAAAAAGCGAATCCACGGACTGTCGTCGCCATAGTCGCAGCCGGTGCCGTTATCATGTCGCACTGGGACCACCTGCCGCCAGCTATTCTGTACAGCTGGTACTCTGGTTGCGAGGGAGGCCACGCGCTCGCCGACATTCTCCTGGGTTGGGCCAACCCTTCCGGACATCTCCCATTCTGCATCCCCCGAGATGAAGGGTATCTGCCTTTTTTCGACAAGGATGCCAGAAAGATCACATATGACCGCTGGTATGGACAGCACCTCCTCGACCGCCAGGCCGTCAATGCGGCTTATCCCCTCGGTTTTGGATTTTCGTACACGACATTCACAGTCGCTGACCTTGAAGTGAACAAGAACCAAAACAATACTGAGAGTCTGGAGACCAAAGTTGCGGTGAGGAACACGGGCCAGGTCGCGGGGCGACACATCGCTCAGGTATACGGCGCTGCCAATGTACCTGACCGCCCTAGGCGCGTGCTCCTTGGCTTCAAGCCGATCGAACTCGAGGCTGGGGCAGAAGCAGCTGTCGAGATCACTGCGTCAACGCGACCTCTGCAAAAGTGGGATAACAGTACTTGGTCGCCGTGGACGCGCCACGTTGAGATTGAGGTCGGGAATTACTCAGGCTCGGAGGCCAGCGTCAAGAAGAAAATATAGCTGTGATGGTCTGCATCAAGATTGATAACGTACGCATGTCTTTAGGGCCTGTTCTAAATGTTCGAGGCTGAAGCCTCCTGCATGTCCAGAGTCACATCCATTTCCCAATGGGGCAGTTGTCAGTGCTGACAGTGCATGGAAGAGGGGGCGCCAAGCTCTGCCTCGGCTTGCACATTTTTCCGACATTCACGGGCTTCACATTAACTCATATGAATCGTGATCCATTCGAAGTTCAAGGCAGACAGACAAACTACGGCCGAGAACGGGAGCTTGGCAATGGTCAAATCATCCCCAGCCGCGCTCGCCTCCTTATGCGAGAGTATCGAGGTCCGCCGAGTTGACGACGGCATCTACGAAGCCGACCTGGCTCTCGAATTCTGCGTTGGCACAGGTATGACAATGACATTGAGAAATCCTGAGAAGAACGAGACTGACCGCGACAGTCCCAAATGGCGGCTATGTAGCCTCCATATTCGCCAAAGTGGCCGAGGCCCATCTCCTACCACGCAACCAGCCACACATCATCTCAGCCCACTGGACATTCATGGCCAAGACGAAAGCCGGACGAGCTCTTGTAAAGGTATTAGAGTCCAAAATCGGGAGGGCCACGTCCGTGTTGCATGTATCGCTTCATCAGCAGGACATTCTGCCTCAAAGTCCCTGGATACCGGGCGAGTCGCCAGCGTGTGTGGCCGCTTACATGACGAGCGGCAACCTCGACGAGGAAGCGGGCGTCACGTTGCCCACACAGTGGAAGCTCGAATATGAACCACCGGCCATTGACCATGAGCGTGCCGCCACGGATGCCAACTGGGCAGAGTTGGATATACCAATTCTGAAGAAAGTGCCGATGCTCCACCATCTCAAGTACTACATTCGCCGCTCGGGTCATGTCCTACCGACGACACACGACTATTGGGTACACCTGACCAGCGGAGAGAACTTTACGCAGACATCGCTAGGCTACCTCGCAGACACTGGGCCACCGTTGGTCGTCGAGGCGTTCCGGCCCCCGTCGACGACGGCGCCGATTCCCGAGGGGGGGTTCACCTATAGCAAGGGATTCTGGTATCCGACTCTGACCATGACGCTCGACGTGCGTCGAAAGCTACCAGAGGAGGGCGCGAAGTGGCTCAGGCTCAGGGTGACGACCAAGGAGATCCGGAACGGGCGGTACGATGCAGAGGTTGTCATGTTTGACAAGGACGGGCAGCTTGTTGCCTTGAGCAACCATGTGTCAATGGCGGTGGACATTGAACGAAACTATGGTGGGAGGAGGGTCAAGATGTAGCAGTATAAAAATTCTGCAAATTCATTCAATGTCTACTCTGATTGAGACTTGTTTGTCGCCTAGTAGAAGCAACAGCATGGTAGCAACCAAGATGGCTTATGATCCATCATGCTAACCAGGAGATGATATTAGCAGGTGACGAAGAGCCCTACTGGCCCCCAACGCTCAACACGTTGCCAGCCTCGTCCACCTCAATCTTGGTCTTCCTGGTGCTCTCCTTGCGGGGGTTTTTGGCGTTGAAGATGCTGGAGAGCTCCTCCAGGGTCTTGCCAGCCGTCTCGACGGCAAAGAAGTAGATGACGACAATCTCGATGGCAATCCACACGCAGTAGACAATGTCTGCAAGGGGTCAGCAAAGAAACGCTCAGAATGGAAAGAGTGATCCCACGTACAAAGCTTCCATCCAATCTTGGCCATGCCCTCGCTGATGCCGTAGGTGTTGATGACCATGGCGATGTTGAGGAAGAGGAAGTTGACACCGGAGCCCTTGGCGCGGGTACGGTTCTCCAGACACTCGACCGAGTAAAGGGTCTGCAGCGGGGTGAAACCCCAGGCGAAGAAGATGCCAAAGAGGTAGATGGCGACGATGACGCCGTAGGACAGACCCTGGACGTCGGCGGTGTGGGCGGAGAAGGCGGTCAGGAGGATGTAGAAGAAGAGGCAGGCGCCTAGGGAGTACATCATCATGGGGCGGCGACCAAGCTTGTCGAGCATGGCGGCACCGGCAATGGCGCCCATCATGGAGAAGATGGGGTTGATGGCGTTGATGAGTAGTTGCGTGTTGGTGTTGGTGATGCCGGCGTTCTCGATCATTTGGGGCTGCCTCTTGTTAGATTCTTTTTCTCTTGTCTGTGGGGTTTCCCCCTTTGACGTACCATGAAGTAGCTGACGACGTTGTTGCCGCTCCACTGGCCGAAGAAAGACATCATGATGACCATGTACGTGCGATCTGCAAAGATGTGTCAGCTGGTGTGTGCACGCAGCAAGCAAAGAGAAGTGTGGAGCAAACGTACACCGGGCACCGGGGGTGTTGAAGAGCTCCCTAAAGTCCCACCAGGGGTTCTCGTCGCGGTACATGTTGCGCTGCTCAATGATCTCGTGGTACTGCAGCTGGACGAGGGCGTGGTTGACGTCGCCGTCACCGTGGTACTTGGCCAGTGTCTGCAGGGCCTCCTCGGTGCGGTCCTTGGCGATGAGCCAGCGAGGCGACTCGGGGAAGAACATGACGACGAGCATGACGACGGCCGGCATGCCGCACTGGACGAGGGTGGGCACCCTCCATGCCCACGAGTTGTCAAAGTGCAGGTTCGTTCCGTAGGTAGTCCAGCCAGCACTGCGAACCAATGTTAAAAGGGGGAAAGCTTGATATCTCGCGGGTAAATAATCGCTTACAGGATGTTTCCGAGCCACCACCTGCACAAGGTCAGTCGATTGGTTATTCTTGGGTATGTAAGCTCGACTCACAAGTTGTTGTACATGCCGCTCATGAGACCACGGTAGGCGGGGTGGGACAGCTCGACGGCGTAGGCTGGAGCGGCAGCGGAAGCGATGGAGGCGCCAAAGCCCAGGATGAAGCGTCCTCCGATGAACCACGGGAGAGTCTGCGCCGGGGTCTGGATGGCGGTACCGACGCAGACAATGAAACAGCCGACGAAGATGCACCAGCGACGACCGAAACCGTCGGCAAGAATGCCCATAAAGGGGAACTAGAGGAGAGAGGTCAGCCACAGGTGATTTTCCGAAGGGGGGCTTGCACGCACAGCCGCGATCTGACCGAGGTTGTAGGTGATGAAGACGATGCCCGTGCTGGAACCGGCGCCCGAGAGGCCAAAGGTGCGCTGGTAGGGCTCCATGGCGTTGATAGCACCCATGAGGGAGGAGTCGAAGCCGTTCATGGTGGACACGAGGTAGCTCATGCCCATGATGCACCACAGCCGCAGCATGCCAGGGGAGATGAGGCTGGGCTTGGACTCGGCAATGGCTGCCTCGAGGGCGACGGAGACGGCGGCGACCTCGCGGGTCTCGAGCGTGTTGCCCATGGGCTTCTCGTCGAAGGAGGCACGAGGGGGCTCCTCGCCCTTGTCCGTCGGGTAGGTGGACATGATGACGGTTGTCTGTCTGGTGCGAGCCGGTGGGGAGAACCAGTTGAGAACAGGTCAGGGAGGGTGCGAGTGATGACCAGGACTTGCTCGTGTCCCAACAGGCAGGAGGAGGGGGATGGCCCGGGATGTTATATGATCTTAACCCATGGCTCGTGTGTACCCCAACGGCCACATGGGAACTTTGGGAGTCTGGGACAACCCCGTTTCGGACCCCATTGCTCCAGGCGGGCGAGGACTAGCCCGCGACACATGCGAGCCATTTTGGGAGGAGGGCCTACTCGAGGCTCGAGCGGACGTATAGCCCTCCGGCTCGGACTATGTACGTACGGGCGGACGTACTGTGGTGAATCTGGAGCGAGCGAATGAGCGGGCAGCGGCGGTGATTGGGGCGGAAAAGCGAACCACATGGTGCGTCGAGTTTGCCGATGGCTTGATGCGCTTGTCCAAGGAGGAATGGCCCGCTCGCGGTGCGAATCGGGCAACATGTCTAGTCTTCTTGTTTCCCTCTCCATGTCCCCGCATACCCACCCCCAGACGCCAAGGGGGCCGAGGTCTCCCTTGTTGTGCGACCACGCCAAGTGTGGTGGGCGCACTAACAGTGGCGACTGCCGCGATCGATTCGGGGCCTGTGGGGTATTCCGCAGGCTGCACCTGGCAATAGGGCCGTTCTGTTCTCCATGGACTGGTGGGTCGGGTCGAGTCAGGTGGTTGGCTCTCTGGCTGGTCTTACGGTCATTCCACATCTGGGACGACGGAAAGAAATCTCGCCAAGATCGGCATCCAGATGCCGTGGCTTGAGGGTGTTGGAGCCGCACGACGACTGCTGGAGTGAGTTTTCCCCGGGCTGTTTCCCGACCCCCGTATCGAATCTTTGTTGGTTGCAGCGACAATGTTCGAAACGAAGGACCGAGGTGCAGTGGCGTCAAATCCTATTCCACTACCGTACTGCTTTTTAGTATTCATTCATACAGGCTGCATGCTCAGATGGGCTGCTTGCCAACACGCATTCGGGAGCATTACCTAGACAGCCGCCGCTGGCCCCCGAAACCAGACCGCGCCCAAGCACGAGGCCAGTTCGTCCAAGGTGAGGCGACGTCTGGTGCGTCTGGTGGGGGCGAGCCAACATCACCTCGTACAATTCCAGCGTTCAATGCTGGCAACGAAAGCCCGTGATCCTTCCAGTGTGGGGCAAGCAACGTTCCGGATGGACTGACAACTCGGCGATTGTTCGTGATATCAATCGCTGCCAGTGCCCTTGATCCTGCCGAGTGTTTCAGTCCACTCGTCGGCCCAGGCCTCAATAGCGTCCACTGCATGCTGAGTCGAACCTCGAGTCCCCACGCAATGTCCGTTTTTTTCATTGGGGAATTTGGGGTAATTCCGGAGTTGCGTGGTCCGTATAAGCTTTTCTCCATGTTCACACCTGATACAGCAATCTCACAAATCGGCCTTGTTCAAACCCCCTCTGCTCAGTGCGGGAGCCAGGAAGCTAAGGCCCAAGACGTCGGGATCCGCCCACCCACTGCGCGAATAATAGTAGTCCCTGGGCATGTCAACATTTTTTCAGACTAGTTGTGACGTGAACCCACAAACATGAAGCGTGATGACAGTCCGCTGCGTGCAACATTGGCCGGGCTGCATATGATTAGTGTGCGAGCTAGCAGGCACCGCATGCTACCTAATGAATGTGGAGCAAAGCTGCAGAAGCAGGCAGTGCAGTCCGATTCTCTGAAAGCCTTGCAGCGACTCAGGTATGGGCATGTGAGGATCATAACAAAGAGGTATGGTTCATGAGTGCGGAATCATGGGCGGACAGGTTATATTCATGTCACGAAGAAGCGACTCACGAATCTTGTGCCGAGTCCATGCAGGGAAGGTTCTCATATCGGACGGGGCACCCACACAACGGACCCTACACCTCATATCAGGTGTCGCGAGCATTAGTCTAATTGTCATTTGATCGTATACATCAGGGAAATAAGTTTCCATTCGCTGTCCAGAGAAAATACCAGTGGGAGTTCATTCTCAGATCGTGCTTTCACGAGGGCCCACGTAACCGGCGCCAGAGAAGTCCCCATGTCTTTAGTGATGGTCCTCGTGTAGCCACATGCACATACGCGGCCGCTAACATCGAGTTTCCCGACATGGAGGCCGCTAGGGGCAAGGTGGGTATCCCTAATGGCGTGCATCGTTCAAGGAGCTTTAGAAAGCTACGAACATACACCCGGCCCCCTTCACTCAGACATTGCATCTAGTGTTGTATCCCCTCGATGTCTTTGGGCTTAATACAAGAGGCGTATCGCCGCTGGAGACGAGGTTGGCCAAGCCTGCCAAGTTTGGCGCAGAGGCCTTGTCCATCCAGGTCCCCCATCCCACCATTCTGAGACTATCAAAAGGGAATCACGGCGGCTTCTTGGCGTAGACAAACGCCAAGATTGACCCCGTTGGCTTTAGATGTCGTTCAATCCAGGCAGGCCGATTTCGGTGCTGCGTTGCCCGTCGTGTCATGTTGGCCACAAGGTAAGGGCAATGATGAACTGAGACGATCCGCTACTGCCCAGAGTGTGCGGGATACTGCGCATATATTCTACAAACCTACGTGTCTCAAGACCTCGCCAACTTCTGAGAAGCCAAGTTGTTTTTGTGCATGAACCTGTCATGGTTGACATAGCCCCCGGGTTCAAGGTCATTCTCATTTTGCCGCCATGAACTTTCGTCAAGACGACTGCAAGAAGACGACAAAAGAAAATTGTCCTAACTGAGACTTACAGACCATTGGAGCGAGCGGCCTCTCCTCATCCCGCACTTTTACTCACTTCCCCATAGGCATGCACTATCCTTCGACCTTTGTGTGCAAATTGGCCTTGTCTCGGGCTGCTTCCACACGAATCTGGCCATTCAAGGGGCACAATGTGAGAAGTCCATGATGATCCCACCAAGAATGGTCCACGGGATGGAGGGCTCTCGATTGCCCCCGGGGTGGTGATCGGGTGTCACCTCCAATCGTCCTCCACATCCCGACAGAGGAGGCGGCGAGGGGCTACATTGGTGCTTCAACGAACCATGTCGCTCAAAACCCCATCATTTGCAGAACCTGGGGTTGTGGAGGATTCGGAGAGCCCCAGATCACCGCTCTCCCCAGGATCTAGAATCCCGGTCTCGCCCACACGCCTACTTGCGCTGTCGGGTGTCGACGCACGCGTGGGTCACGACGAAACCATCAAATTCCCTGCGCCGTCTGCCGATACTCGAGACCCCCTCAACTTTCCACAATGGCACAAGATGGCTGCTCTGTTCGTGGTCTCTGTCTACGCCTTTGTGGTCAATATATATATCTATATATTTCACCAGCTCCATCATCGCATTAGGCTTCCGGATTTGGCAATATACCTTCCCACAAGATCCTCGGTCGGTCTCGCAACTGACCTACCTCATTGCAGTACGTCTTGCTCGACTTGAAGTCAACCAATTGCTCACAGGTCCAGGTCCATGTACTCTTCCTCGGAGCCGGCAACATCTGGTGGGTACCGTTGCCCAACTGGGTCGGAAGATGGCCTGTTTTGATAGTCGCTACCCTCATTATGGCGCTCTTCTCTGTGTGGTGTGCTCTATCCTCCAACTACGACAGCCTTGTTGCGGCCCGCGTGTTGCGGGATATCGGGGGCGCCGGCCCTGGTTGGAGATCTCTTCTTCATTCATGAGCGTGGGAAAGCCATGGTAAGCTGGCCATTTATGCTCAGACTTGGAGATACTTGACTAAACCGGCCCCAAATAGGCTGTCTACACAATTCTCCTCTGTGTCGGTCCCCTGGTCGGAGGAATCGCAGGCGGTTACATTGCCTTTGGGCATGGTTGGGTCGATCTCTTTTGGGTCAGCACAGGCTTGTCCGCCTTTTGCTTTGTTGGGACTCTTCTCATAGTTTCGGAACCCCTCTTTGCGCGGTACATTGTGTCCGAGTCATCCTCTCAGCTTTCCTCAAATTCAAAGGGGGCCGATGCGACACAGATGGAGCAACAGCCCTTGGCCATGACATACAAACCATATAACTTCACAGCTACTCTGGGCTTCGGCAAGACCCGCAGGACACTACTTCACCACTTCAAGAAGCCCTGGAGGTCACTGGACTTGCCTGGTACATGGGTCGTGATGCTCCACTACGCTGGTGTGGTCGGGGGCATTGTGACAATGACCACCGTCAGCCCGCAGATTCTAGCCATGCCGCCTTACCTTTGGAAGGAGAACGTTGGCTTGATCAACCTGAGTGGAATTATCGGTGCCGCTCTGGGGTATGCCTACGCCTTTGTACTATCCGACTGGCTTCTCAAGCGCCGTGCCAAGTCCGTTCGGAACGGGGTAGCGGAGGCCGAGGATCGTCTACCGAGTCTGTTCTTTTTCACTCGCCGTGGCCATCTCTGGGCTAATCGTCTTTGGCTTCTGTGCGCAGTATCCGGGACCAGATCCATGGTTCGGCTTGGGGGCCGCTTTTGCGATAGTGGCCTTTGGTCTGATGCAGATCCCCTCGGTGGGATTCAATTATGTGAATTGGGCCCAACATAAGCGACCACCATCGACGTGTCGCACCAACACTAACAATTACCACAGTTGATCGACTCCTATGGGGCCCTCGCTGCCGATGCCTTCACCATGGTCACGATCCTGCGCTCCATTATCTCTTTTGTCTGAACCTTTTTTTGCCGTCGAATAGGTGCAGTCACGCGGGGCTGCCGAACCCATTGGTATCTTCGGGATGCTCATGGGTCTCTTCTCCTCAACTACTGTTCCACTCTGGTATTGCGAAAAGAGGATGAGAATTGTCACTGTATCCACGATTAAGCGCTGGAACAGATCATGGGGTGTCTCTAGGCGCCGTTTGATGCTGCGTTCACGTGGTGGAAATGGCTTCAAGTTCACAGGAGAAATTCCGCTTTCGTTTTCGATATCCTGGCGCCGGGTTCTCTTTTTCGTAGTAAAGATGGGAAGTAAGTGGCTTCGTCATGTATTACACGCTACTCGAGTTTCGTTTGTTCAGATGAAATGTTCATGACATCTTTGCCCGTGCTTTCACCCTCACAATGAAATCTGTTGGCTTGACGAACCAAACATTCTGCGTGCTCCACGTTGCTTCCTTTCCCGCCTCCGAGGAAACGAGTTCAAAGTCAAAGTCGCGAACAATTCTAGGAATCACCTTTGTGATCTCAAGCATGGAGATATGGCGGCCAATGCAGGTCCGTGACCCTAGGCCAAACTGTGCGAATCAGCGTCCACTCACTTGATCGTCGTGGGCGGGGATAAAATACCGGTATCCAGTGTTGATTCATGTGGCTCAGCGCCTCTGTATCTTTTATGAGCCATCTCTCTGGTCGGAACTGGTCGGCATCCTGTCCAAAGTACGTCGAGTTCCGGTGCTCAACCCATGTGTTGATACCAACAATGGCGCCTTTGGGAAAATACTGGCCTGCAATTTCTATGCCATCGCGAGGTACCACGCGTTCCAGAGGCAAACCCGTTGCCGGATGCATGCGGAGGGCTTCTTTGATTGTGGCCTGGAGGTAGGTCATTTGCTGCGTCTCCTTGAAGCTTGGATAGCCCGACAACTGGCCCCGTGATTGAAACTCGTCAATTTCTACCCGCAGCCTTAGTAGACAGTCCGGGTTCTTGATCAAGTAATAGAGGATGGCAGACAATGAAATGGCTGTGGTGTCTGAACCGGCGGTAACGTTGGAGACACATGCTGCGACGACGTGCTGCTGATGGCTGAACTTTTCCGGGTCCTCTGCGTGTTTGACCAGAAACTTGGACAAGAATGGCTCTGTTCGAGTTTCCTCTCTCTTTTCTGTCGTTTCTTTCTCAAACTTGGCATCTGCACCGGCACGGTGATCGGCTATCTGCTCGAGTGTGAAGCTGAGGATATACCCTCTGCCGGTCCCCTTTCTCCCTGCCCATAGGTTCCGGATTCTGTAGAGCAACGGATGCAGCGAAGGCAGCAATCCGACGAGTGTAGCGTAGAACAAATGTCCATCTAGAGCTTGGATCAGGGAGCCAACGTCTTCACCGCGATCCAAGAACCCAAATCGGTTGCCAAAGGTAATGATACCAATGACGTCGAAGGCATAGCACTGGAACCAGTGTCGCATATCTACTGATTCTCCGTTTTCTGCAATTTCTTGTAGACGCTGACATATCAAGGCCCCGCATTCGTCGACGAATGCCTCGTAGCTGACGAGAGCCGTCATGGAGTATGTCGACTGGAATAGGCTGCGTCCGTGGGCGTGGCTTTTAATGTCCTGATCTGGGAACAGTGACCACGACCCAGGTGTAGTCCAGCTAGAATACCACGCAGATTTCGCAAACTGCGTTCCGTGGCCGTAAATGCTCTTTGCCGCCGACGGCTCGCAGATGCTGTAGCGATTAGGGCCGTAGCGGAGGATGGGTCCTATAATGACGGTCAGCAATTTTCATCACCTCTGGCGCCACTGGGACACCACAATACCATATTTCTGATGTAACTTCTGATTTTCTTGCTCAAAGCTACCGCGTGATAGTTGACGGAGATACCAAAAATCGGAGAACCGAGCCAGCCAAGGACCTGGGACGTGGCGAAGGGGGCTCACGATGGGTTTGAGGAGAACAAAGACGAAGAGAAGCACGAGAGCCGCTAGCACATGATGAGGTGAAACAAACATGGTCAACTAATCAGTAGTCTTCCTTGAACGTGTAATTAAGTCTTTCTTGAACATGTAATTAGCCTTGTTGCAAAGAGTTGAGCCTCGAGTGTCATCACGGCTGGGTACATGTAATCACGCCCAAGTGAGTATCTCAGAGGACTCTCCAGTGTCCAAACGATCCATTGGCCTCGATTAATAATGACATACCCCGCTCAACACGTCCGAAACACCTGACCTCTGCAAGCCCTCCCGCCCGGCATCCGGTCGGTTGTGCGTGAGCGGTGGGGTATCGAGTACCGACGCTTTGCTCAAGATCGGTAGGTAGTCTAGTCGGCACTCGGCACACGGTTCCTTTCCATGTCTAGCAAAGTCCACACCTTGAGCGCGCCTTCATCCACCATACCCAGAAGATCTTTGACAGTAGGACCGAAGCTCTCAAAGATTCCAAGGAGATTCGTCATGCTTCCAGCGCGGTTCTAGCCTATACAGTGTCAGCAAGCCGTCACGTTGTCTGCATTGGAATTTATGACCGTTCTTACCCTTCTCCTTCGAGGCCGGAAGGCAGCTCGGATGGATCGCAACAAAGTGCATCAGAGTGTTGTCTGAACACGGGTACATGATGAGCCGCCGATCATTTCCGATCCAGAGAGTCATATAGCCGTCTCGGTCTACAACATTCTTGAGCTCCTGTCTCTCCAGGATTTGTTCTCTAGGAATCATGAACCTGAAAGCACTTTTACCCGAGTTGAAGGGCTTGATTTTGTTTTCAACGATGGACTTTCAAGTAGCAGACTGATCGACGCGTCAGAGGCTTTGATTCGCGCTGACTAACTCTCACCCTTATTTGCACTGACACCATCTGCACCAATTACTAGATCTCGTTGGATCGTAGTGCCGTCTTTAAGGGTAGCAGTGGCATTCGCACAATCGATGTCCACCACTTGACTCGATTTGAGGAGAACACCAGGCGTCCTGCTGGCCACTTTACTAGTTGCCTGTTTCTTGAGCGCTACGTGTAGGCCAACTCGATGAGCCAGTACCCAGGGCTATGGATATATGAGATGGTCAAGTTAGTCACTATAGGCTTGGCAGAAGCAATGCTTATGTGCTGCCAGATCGGATTTGGTCTTGTTATGTCCAGGTCGAATTTCAGCTGGTCATCAGGTCCGTACTCGGTGATCTTCTTATTTTTAGCGTACAAAATTGTTATGACGAAGATCATAACCACACCAAGGACCGGGTTCGCACCAAAGATCTCTGGGAATGCGCCGAATCTGCGAAGGACGCCATGGCAGTTGTGAGCAATGTGTATAGCCGCGCCGGTCTCTGTCGCTAGGTCTGTTCTTTCACAAAACTTTTTGTGTAAGCTGTTACGCCATTACCCATCTTTCTCACTTACTGTGACTCTATGTCCCTGTTGCAGCAAGCCCAAAGCAGCCGTCAGACATCCGATACCTGTTTCTGTCAGCGCCGTCATCTAGTTGACATATTGCCAGTGATCTGTTCACCCGCTCCCACAATCAAGATGTTACAAGCATCATTTCTGGACTTGTTCTTTATCGGAATGGTGTTTAGGACACGACGGAAGGTGTTAGGGTTGAGACAGGCAGCGAATTGGAGTTAGCAAACTAGAAGCAACAAACATGAAGACGAGCCTGTCTTCTCTGGCGCTTAGGTTTTAAATCCGTACTTGTCACAATGCTGACCTCTATTGTTTCCATGTCATCTCCAGCGGACAGCGACGGGATGCACCCTCCACGTCGGTCCGAGCTACATCCCAGCTGTATCCTGCACCAATCTCCACATCCCGATGGGATGTCCACAGCGACAACGGCAGTAGCATGAGCTGAAGAGTGCTTGAAGGAGTTCAGATTTCGAGTGAAGAATACTAAAGCAAATCGTCAAAAGTCAAAAATACGTATGCGCCGTCGTATTTTGCAACAATACCGAATCCCACCAAAGACATTCACACGGTGGATAACACATCGTTTCCCTACATCTCCGAGCAGAATGCCACCATTAGCTTGGTTCATAGGGATGAAATGGTGCGATGCAGCGTATATCGTCCCAAGGGCATGGAATCGTGTCCCTGTGTTGGTCACATACGGACGTTACGGAAAGGACATCCACTACAAAGAGTAAGCTGCCTTGTGCTCGACGGGTCTGAATACTTCTTAACACCTTCAGCTTCCATCCCAAGCCATTGTCTGAGGTGAACCCTCGCCATAAGTCTGCACACTCGGCTGCGGCGCAACGACAAGTTCAGGAGAGCGCCGTATCTGGACACGACCACTCAGGGTGCGCACGATGCTCCGACCCACCAACAGTGGATGGGCTGGTTTGAGTCGGAGTCTTTCAAACGCCTAGCGTTGAGACCCCTGCTGCACGACTCGGACTCTTCAATGGCTCTCCTTACCAACCCCTTGATCTCCTACACGGAGGTGCAGCTTCCACTGCCAGCTACAACAGAGGTCTGGACAGCAGCGAGCCCAGAGAGATGGAAGCAGGCCATGCATCGGGCCCAGTCTCAAGACTTGGCCATTTTCGACTTGCTTGACCATCCCGGCTACTTGAATAAACCTCCCCTGAGCTCACCATGCGTTTTGGGATCATCCACCTGCACCTCCACATGCCACTCGAGGACATTGAGACATTCGCAGGCAAGCAGGGCATTGATCAGGCCCGCGCTGTCTTCCCTTCTGTCCGAGAGTGGGCCTAAAGCGAGTCTGCCCGATGAGCAATGCACCACGCCGGTCGTATCATTCGCGCCTCGAGGTTGTCGGCCAAAGGGCTGATACAAGGACACGAGGCAATCATGGTCTACAATGCGAGCCTGGCCTTTTGGTGTACGTTCTAGTCCTCGAGAGACCGTTCGGCGCAGGACAATCTGATAGTGGCGCGCCGCCAGTTCCAAGATCCACGGAAAATGTGTATCTGGACGGTGATGAAAGCGCTACTATCAACAGCTTCATAGAATTTGAGGCTGGCAGGCCTTGCCAGGCGTATATCTGGACAACTCGACCATGACATTAGAGGTGGTGATCCAGACTATAGAGAGGCACTTTCAGGGCACGCAAATGGCTCACCTTCCTAGCAAGTTGATTAAGCTGGTGAGGGAGCTGATCAAGACATCCTAGCTGGTATGCAGGAAGTTTAGCATATCGTGTACATGTAGCGCGCGTCGCCTAGAATCCAGCCCATTCTCGTTGTGTTCTTAGTAACGCACAAGAGGTCTCTTGTGACACGCCCAATTTCGATAAAGCGTGTGGTATTAAGGCTCCAATGAGTTCGAGGCTCCAGTCGTATGCGCCGAAAGTACGCACTTCAGAAGGCTATGTGCAGAGAGCATGCATGTCTCAGTGTCCAATTCGCCCGACCACACCGACACTCTTGTTCCGCAATAAAGTCCTGGATCTTAGCACACAATGGAACCTCTCGACAACTTTTGCACCATTCCCTGTGACTAAACGTCCATATGGCTTTTAGCATCTGGACTGCTCTCACCCATGGGCAAACGAAAGTTGATTATTTGTACAAAAACGCCCCATTGCCTTGCGGTCATTGTAATCATGGTCCTCGGACGCAACAGCGTCATCCTCTAGGCGGTGAGTCAATCCAACTTATTTCATCAATTCACAATTGATTTTTCCATGGCTTCAGAAACGCTCATCTTCCGTTCACCTCGGGAGTTCACTGAGGCAGTACTCCGCGACACAGGCTGCAGGGTAGGCAAAGGCTGCGGGCCGAGTACCGGAGCAAGACGTGATATTGCATCATTCCCAACTCCCCATCCACTCGGTGCCGCCAGGAAGCCAGACAACTAGTCAACAATCACAGGTCGAATTGCAGAAGCCTGAGTCGTCCCCTTTGCCAATGCCCTGAGCTCCTGTCGCCGCGGGCTTCACTGTCCACGCAATCAACAAAACACCCATCGCACGAGGTGAACTTTTGAGTTGACCAAGACCTCCAGAAAGCCCACCGGGCAAGATGCGAACGAGCGACGCGGTCTCCTTGCCGACCTCGCCAGTTCTGCAACCGACCCGCGACGACGATGCTTCGCCAACATTGAACCCCGAACTCGTTCACAGTCTGAAGCACGGCAGTACGGTGCTGGCTCTGGCCGTCAGCCCAGGGCACGACCGGATCTATGCTGGCACACAAGATGGGGAGATTGTAACATGGTCCTTGGCCACCTTCCAGCCGCTCAGTACGATACAAGCGCACAAGAGGAGCGTACTGTCGCTGTTCCTGTCACCCTGCGCCTCTCTGCTCTTCTCGAGTGCGGGCGATCCCATCATCAACGTCTGGTGCCCCAAGACCTTGACGCGCCTGTACGAGATTTACAGCACCCACGATGTTGGCGACATCTTTTGCCTGGCGTATAGCCCGCAATACGACACCCTATTTCTTGGGGCGCAGAACTCGACGATTCAATGGGTCAGCCTGAAAGACCCTGCCGCGCGCGTGGCCCCCGAATCGCAGCGACATCCGGACCGCCGAAATCACCGATTCTTCGATTCGAAAGCCGTGGGCGGAACAAGCACGCCGAGACGCAACAACAGGAGGTCTGATTTCTTTCCGCAAGCCAAGGCGACTCTCGAGATTGACAGTGGGTCACTTCGAAACTTTGCTCACCAGGGCTACATCTACTGCATGCTCATGAGCAAGGGCCCAACAGTGGAGGTGAACTCAGACGAGGACGTACTGATATCAGGAGGCGGAGATGGCACGATCAAGCTGTGGGATCTGACCTCGACGTCAGACGGCGATCAACCGACCATTGAGGAGATCATGACGCTCGGATCCGACGACGGCGAGTCGATCCTCTCGCTGGCCATTGACGGATCTTTCCTGTACGCAGGCAAGTTGGATGGCATCGTCGAATTGTGGGACCTGGACACCACTCAGAAATTGCGCGTGATCAAAGCGCACCAGTACGACATTATGTCCTTGCAGATGGGCTGGGGCTACCTGTGGACGGCCGCGTCCAACGGGTGGGCGAGCGTGCGTTTTTGCGAAACCAAGGAGAAGGCGAAATGCTGACCAGATGTAGAAATACAGCACCGCGCACTACGGGCAGTACCGCCACGCAGCATCTTCGAGCAACGTGAGCCAAAAGTATCAATGTCTGGCCAAGTGGGAGGCCCACAAAGGCAAGATCCTAGCGTCTGCGGTAACAGAGTACCACAACGCCCAGTACTTTATTACGGGAGCCAATGACGACTCCATATCAATATGGACTTTCAAAGATGCCGCCTGCTCCACTGCACAGGCAAGCGAAGCTAGCACTGATGTGTTGCTCTCTACGCTGAAGGATTTCGTGTCGTATAAAAGCGTCTCGTCACGACCTGAATATGCTGAGGACTGCCGAAAAGGGGCGACATTCCTTGGCGCTTTGTTCAAGCGGCTAGGCGGTCAAGTGGACTTACTGAGCACAAACAATGCGCACAATCCCGTGGTCTACGCCCGTTTCGCGGGCAAGAAGGAAACCGCAGAGAAGCGCAAGAAGATTCTCTTCTACGGGCACTACGATGTTGTGGCCGCAGACAACAAAAACGGTACGTGGGAGAACGACCCGTTCACAATGATCGGAACGAATGGCTACCTTTACGGCCGTGGTGTGAGTGATAACAAGGGGCCCATTCTGGCCGCCCTCTATGCTGTCACCGACCTCATGCAAGCCCAGAAGTTGAAGAACGACGTCATCTTCCTCATTGAGGGTGAGGAGGAGTCTGGCTCGAGGGGCTTTGAGGACATTGTGCACAGCCACAAGGAGCTCATTGGCGACATCGACTACATCCTGTTGGCGAACAGTTACTGGCTGGACGATGCAGTGCCGTGCTTGACGTATGGCCTCCGAGGCGTCCTACATGCCACAGTGTGCGTCGACTCGCCGCGTCCGGACATCCACTCGGGCGTGGACGGGTCGCACATGATGGACGAGCCCCTGACAGATCTCACGTGCTTGTTGTCCAAACTCAAAGGGCGGGGGAACCACGTCCAGATCCGAGGATTCTACGACGGCATTCCCCAATTGACAGCTGACGAGGACGCCCGGTACGACGACATTGTATCCATCCTCATGCGGCGTGACCCTGAGAATACATCAGAGCAAAAGCTAAAGCAGTCGCTTATGGCGCGATGGCGCGAGCCCAATCTCACGGTTCATCGCTACAAAGTGTCAGGTCCGGACGGCAGTCTGATCAGCAGCCACGCGAGCGCGCACATTAGCGTGCGGCTCGTGCCTGGGCAAGAAGTGGACGACATTGCCCGCAAGCTCACCGAGTTCCTCGAGCAGGAGTTTGCCGCGCTGGAATCGCAGAATTGGCTACGCGTCACCGTGGACAACAAGGCCGAGCCGTGGCTTGGCGATCCGACCAACGATATCTTCCAGACACTGGAGCAAGCTATTGTGGAAGCTTGGCCTTCGTCCTTTGACGATGCTGCGTCTGGCAATGGTTCAAAACCGAGGAGGCCCTTGTACATCCGCGAGGGTGGCTCGATCCCGACGATTCGGTTCCTAGAGAAGGAGTTTGAGGCGCCCGCGGCACATTTGCCGTGTGGACAGGCTAGTGATTCGGCGCATTTGGACAATGAGCGGATGAATATGGTGAATCTGCTCAAGGCGCGCGAAATCTTTGGGAAGGTGTTTGAGAGGCTGTAACTGGGCCAAGGCGCTTTTAATTGATGGCATGATTCAATTACTACGTTACAACGACAGATTTCATGAGTGCGTCCACCGCCATCGCTTCTCCCATACTCCTTTGTAGAATGTGATGCTCCTCTTCGCTAAGTCTCTTCGAGGGCGCATCCACCATGCAGCTCATGTCCTGCTTGGTCGCCCCTTTCCTCCATGTGCCATCCATCACCCATGCATCGGGTACGTCGTAGGCATCCGGCTCTTTGAGCTTGTTCTTCAGCAAGCTGCCATTGAACCACAGCAGGTCCCCCTTGGTGTCGGCATGTGCAATGACAAAGCTGCACACCTCAGCCGTTTCCTTCCCATCCTCGCTCGCTTGACGCGACTCCCACCCCAGCATAGAGCCGTAGTGCTCTTCAAACTCGTACGCAGCCCCCGTCAGCTCCAATCCGAGCCACCATGATTCCTTGTCTCCGTATGTGATCTTGTAGGTGACCTCCTCACGGACGTCGTACGTGTTCTGCCAGGCCGTATGCAGCACGCCGAAGAAGACGTCGGGTCGTGACTTGTCGAGTACGACAACGCCCGAGTCGCACTCCTCGGCGTACTCCTCCGTCCACACCAGGGACCTGTTCAAAGCGGGCGAGGGTTCCTTAACTTGGTCGTGGAACCATTCATGCCTGCCCTTGAACGCGTGTTGCCATAGGAGACGATCGTGGAATAGATATGCGCCGTTGTCGACATAGGGCTGCTGATGGAATAGGCTTTTGGGGTCTTGGAGGAAGACGCTGTCACAGTCGACCAGTAAGACCTGTTCAAATCGAGAGGCCAGGACTGAGAAGGGCTTGATGGCCCATCCGTTTTCCTTCAAGCGAAGCGTCTTGTCGTCGAAAACCTTGAGCATGTCCACAAATGAGATCTGTCCCGTTTCGTCGAGTGACGCGAGTGCTTCCCGATACCGGATTGGTAGGTCTTCCTCGCCAGCGTAGGTAATCTCCAGGGGGAGTTTGCATCCAAACACATGTCGTATAGCGGATATCAGATGTCCCGCAAAACGGATATTGATGTTTGGTCCCCCGACAGACATGACTATGCCCTTGCTGCCTTTCTCAGGCAAGTGGAAGAGACTCGACAAGGGCAAGCCGTCTGATGATGGTGGTATGAAAGGGAACAAAGACACGGCAGCCTCCTCGACATTGCTGAGGACTTCGTGTACTTTGTCCGAACCGTGTGCCTCGTGCTTGAGCAGGCCAAACCATTTTTTAACCTGCGCCGATCGCCTGCCCACTTCCCAGAACTGGTTTTTGAATGGTGCTACCACAGGCTGGTCGACGAAGGTTTGCGCTGCTGTGGTGATGTTTTCCAAGACATCATCGGAAACAGTTTGCGACGAAAAAAGGAGGCTGTACCGGTGGTCCTGATCCTGGCTGGATAGATATTGCAAAGTGAAGAAGAGAAGAGCAAGAGAAAAGGTGGTCAAAGCGACACGACTGCGCAGCTTTTGCATGTCGACGAGCTGCTGGAGAACTGTCTTCCTTATTTACGTGTACACAAACCAAACTTAGTGCAGAAACACATGGTCAAGCATTGGAGTAAGGCAAAGTGTTGGTCGTGCAAGTAACCAGAGCAAAGAGAAGATGATGGGGAGGAGCACCGGATCGGCGTCAAGGGGCTCAAGGCATGATATCGTTCACGTTGGTACGAGTAGGGACCCCGGACGAGTGGCGGCTGGAACGCACTCGATAGGGCCAGCTCGAACCGGTCAGCGAATGACCTGATTACCCAAAAGAAGATCTTCGCAACTTACAAGCAAATGCAATACAACCAGACCTCTCGGGGTTTGTGACTAGCGAGTACGTATACTACTACCCATGCTGCGTAGCGAGCGAAGAAAACCTCGGCCTGGCTAGGCCGTTCTTACGATAGCTTTCACGCTAATGAGGGAGCATCATGTTTCTACTAACGACGTGAATGGGTCTGCCACATAAGTTCCGCGAGGCCTCCCGGAGCAGCTTCGGTAGCGATATGACAACCTTTCGGGGGATAGATTCATGTTCACATGGAGTTCTATTGTGAGCGATTGTCCTCGAGCGCACTGGCGTCTGAACAACAGAGATGTAGAATTTGTTCGACAGAACCCTAGCAAAACGTATATACATGTACTGATTACATGTCCAGCGTCGATTCGATGTGGCTGATTTATTCAGTGAGACCAGACAGGACCTCGACGCTAAAGTCGCTATCGTGGGATTATGAGGATTCCATTTGTAGGAGCCTGGATGGCTGTTGCTTGGCTGGATACTAGACCAGTAGATGGCTACAAGTAGTCCAGGCTGGAGTCAAGTCCTGAACTCAGACGGGCCACGGCACGGAAATATTTCCCTCCCACCGAGAGTCCGAGACCCACGTACATGCAGACCCCGGCCCGGGGTGGTCAGTGGGACTGTCAAATGTGAGATATTACGCAACGGGGTACGTACGTGACTACGTGTTTGTAAATTGTAAATGGGCCCAAGCAGTGGACATCTCTCGCAGGGGCTGACCACGCATTGCAGTTGTGTGTGATCGATATCAATCCGCAACGTGCCTTGTTGTCTGCAGTGAGAAGCGTTTTCCAAGCTCTCACGTGTGCCGCCGCAAAGGAGCAAACATGAAGGCCAACGGCCAGTTTCTCCACTAGATTTAACAAAGAAGCTGTTGGTTGTGTGCACCATGGTAATTGAGGTGGACAGACAGCTCGGCATCCCGGCACCCACCCCACCTTACGTGTGACAGCACGCCGCTGATGGCATTGCAGATCATCGTGGCTCTCGGTCATGATTGGAGACTGGATTTCGGCGAACTTCGAGCCGGGGCGTTTCTCCCAAAACCAGGCGGTCGGTCGGTTTGTCGGTCGTTGGCATCGCTTCTCTTGGTAGGTGCAAACTTCAGCCTTCCCAATGTCCTGCCCTTGATGAATCTCGGACTTACATCAAACGCCACGGGGAGAACTCTTTTGCTTCAGCCATGGATGAAGGTTGCGTCTCGAAACAGCCTGCCAAGCATGCGTACTTGCGTAGTCAAACACTTTCATCATCCGCGCCCGGCACGGCCCGTGCGAAGCAATGTTCTGTCCGGAGAAGGACCTCGTCAGTCGCCACCTCGGCGCTTATACCTGTCGTGGTTTTTCCGTCTCCCGTATGTTAGCAAGCCATCTCGGATGTGCGACTTCAGATCTTACATGAAAACAGAGCTACTAGTTTCGTGCAACCTTTTGTTCGAATGCTCAGGCCAGTGCAACATTGGGATCAACCGCGAACCATCGGGCCACCGTTCTCGGATTGACGATCATTCCGATCAATTGAAATGAAGCCTGCACCGGCACACGCTCTGATGCTCACCGGCCTCTTCGCCTGGGGCACACGGGCTCAGGACAACTTGATCAGCTGCTTCGGCATCAACGGTCTCGGCACGGCCTTACCGGATTACACGCTGTAGAAGACCCTATTCACGTAAGAAACACAGAGGAGAGCGGCCCGTTGCCCAGCGTCAGAATTTGTGCCGATGGATCAATGTGTTGCGAGGATGAAGGGCGGAGAAACTGCTGTTCGAACAAGCTAGAAGAATTCTTCTTTCTGTACAACGACGGTGCGCCAACTGACAAGGCACCTAGCGCCGCCTTGACGTGGGGTTCTGGCAGGACAGCAGATACAGTTCTGACGGCAAACGGCACGCCTTGGGTATCCGAGGCGTCGAGTGCAACAAATTCAGAGGCTGAACCAACTTCTGTCGAAACCTCAAGTACTGCCGAAGCCGCCGTCTCATAATCATCAGAGTCCTTGTCACCGACCACTGCGGTTGAGGCCGATAGCAATGACGACACGTATCTGAAGATTGGATTAGGCGTTGGAATACAGGTCGCTTTGATAGCGATCATCTCGGTCGCTGGAGGTATGATCTTCTGCAAGCGGAGGAGACGAGCGCAGGAAGAAAGAAAAAGGGCGGCCGATGACGCCCGAGAACAAGAAGCCTCGAACACAAGCTACACAGCCAAGAGCGCAGAGATGGGGTGTAAACCGTACTGTCCCACATACACAGCCTCGGAGCTCCCCGAATGCTCCAGTACCCCTGGTGTAGTGGAGATTCCTGTTGGCATATTTTACTGGGAAAAGCCGGGCTTTTCGGGATGGTTGATGACTGTTGGATGCGAATGTATTGTGGAGCAAAGACTTACCCTGAGATCCGCCTCTTGTAGTGCGGTCATTGCTTGACGGCCTCTTGTTTTACGAATCAACGACCTGCTGAGGCAAGCTTTCAGGATGCGTTGCAATGAACCCGTGGCCGATGTGTTCTTGATTGTGGTACACGGTGGCTGCAAGGCCTATGTGGGCAAGGCGTCGGTGTATGCTAACAGGTAGAGGTTCCATGCTGCTTTGCAATATAATTACAATATGATAGTGTCTCTTGAGCACAACATTAGGGAAGATTACAACTTGCTTCCTATGTTCGATTGCCCCGATCTACGAACAAGCCTGCGGCCCCTCGCGGTCGAAGACTCCTCTAACACCATATCCTTCTATTCTAACGCCTGTCTCCAGGCCATGCCTTTTATATCCCATCCAAGACAGGTAACCTACGCTTCGTCTGTCACAGCAGATCAGGGCTGTTGCTTGAGTTGCGGACCGAGATCATACTTGTTCGAAAGGGGAATGTTTAGTGCGTGACTTCAGCCTAGGATCTACGCAAGGCCAATGCATGGGCTGGAATGTTCAATTTCTCCTCCACAGCCCCACGCCATCTATTTTCTTTTCTGAGCCACCCAGAACTGCGCCTGATACGCATTCTTTGTCAGTGCTCGGTCGTTGAATCCATAGGCGGCCTCCATGCCCCTGACTTTCTTGCCCTCCAGCGTGATTTCACCACACTCGCTGCCGGCGACGTCCAGAAATTCAAAACCCAGTCCCTTTTCTGCCACAGCGACAATATCCTCTAGCGAGAGCTGGACAAAAGGTGCCGTGCCGTAGAGGAGAGGGCCCAGGTTAATCCAGTGGCCTCCAGGCTTGAGATATGTCTGGATAGTGTCGAGGTAGCCCATTAGGTTTCTGGCGGTGTCGATGAAGAAGTACGTGACGATCACGTCAAATTGGGGCTTTGGCCGTGCGCTGTTGAAAACGGTGGTAAAGTCACCCTCCACGAGCAATACATCACTCGCATTGAGTGGCTGGTCGGGAAACGACATGGATCGCATCATGTCACTCGTCCGGGCGTGATGTGACCAAGAGTCGATAAAAGGGTGGACCACTTCGTTATCGACAATGTGCGCGTGTTTTTCGAGGAATCGGTAGGCGACGTTCATGAACATGGACCATTCGTTGATCGTCACCTCGAAACCTGGCTCGTCAGTCCTGCTCGATGTTGGATGTGCGCAATGATGCACTGACCTCCTTGGTGTGCTATATCTCTTCCCATACGACCCAGTCCCGCGCCCGGGAGGAGCACTTTGACTGGTTGGTTTGTGTCGCGGCTTGGGTACAGCGTGTCTAGCGTTTTGAGTAGACACGCAAAGCACCCGTCTCTCTCGTATTTGCCGCCATCCTCTGTCCAGTCGCGCACCATGTGCTTCAGACTCTGGGACACACTCACTTTGTCGGCTTTCTTTCCATCCTTTTCCATGTTCTCCATGTGTATCGCCAGTTCCTCTCTTCCAATGTGGTAAAACTCAAGTGCATTGTCCACAATGCGGTCACATAGTTCTTGGTTCGACTTGAGTAAGTCCGTGACTCTCGTGAATTTGTCTGTGTAGTGCGCATACTTTTCCAACAGCTTTCCCCAAGTCAGTAAAACAGATAATTGATTCTATCGGGCAGGCGTCAACAAACTGCTCTTTGGGCTTTGGAGGTCTTGTCATATAGACCCTTTAGACGAGAAATCTCTTCGTCAGATCGCTCCTGGTATTTTGTGTATCCATACAAGGCATCTAGTAATCGGTGACGAGGATGATTTGTGGTCCATTTCTTGTTGTCTTTCTTCAGTCGTGCCAGGAGGTCTTCTTTCTCTCCGAGGTGACGGGGCGTTGTAGGCTCAGGGGCGTGCGCAGCTTGAAGTACGATTTGAGCATCTTCAACTGGTTGAATGAAGCCGTTGGCGAGCTGCCGACGACCATTAGCGCGTAACTTTCAAGAACAAGGCTGTTGTTTACATCCTCGCCACTGTCCATGCGGATTGCGGCGAACTTGGAATCAGCCTCAAGGGTTTGTGCTCCTAGAACCAGGCTGGGACACGAGCCTAGCAAACTTGCCACGACAAGAGCGGTCCGCCGAACTGAAGGCCAATCGCCCATTGCCATTGTTGGTTTCAGGTACCAGTGTTAGCTTCCTGTCGGAGAGATCAGGATAGAGCGTGCGAAAGCCTTGCAACTTCGCCAATGTCTGTTAGGCGTTCCAGGAGACCAAAGTGACTGATATCACATGCACCCTTTCCCTTGATCAAGGCTCGTGTTGCACATTTCCCAAATTAAAAATTTGCAAGCAAGCAATTCTCGATTGCTCCCCCTCATATATTTGCTTATTTCACACTGCGTTTGGCCGCCAAGGCTATCGGGAAACAAGCGTACACGATTCAAGCCGTGGGGTCCTTGTCGTTGTGTACCTTGATGGTCACTCTGTGAGCTTGGCGCATGGGCGCCGCCCACCCTTCTCGCTACGAGCTTCATTCATTCGCCTCGGTCTTTCGTCAGAATTGCTTGCCGCTGAAACTTCTGAAAGAGATCCTTACTAAAGTGGGCGCCTGAGCTTCTGCAAAAGCTCCGAGCGTAATAATATGGACACCACCTCGAGACCATCCACACCAGAGTTCCTGCATGCTAGCGTGGGTTCAATGACTGAATCTGCAAGGAGAAGAGACTTGACTATTGGTTTGCCACAGTGTGCCTGGTTCTGCTGCTTTCTGTGGGGGTTTCTCTTCGCTTGGCTCACCTATAAGTAACTTCTCGTCTGCTGCTCTTGCGGCTGAAGTTTTTCAGTCTACGCAACCTCCAGCCAGCACCAACTCTCTCGTCAATCCGTGTCTTTCCTGCTTCGGTACAGTCACAATCGTTCAAGATGAAGTTCAGCGCTGCCGTCCTTGGCCTCGGCCTGGCCTCGTTCACTCTGGCCCAGACTGACGCTGCCGGCCCTTCTCCCACTGAGTCCGTCGGCTGCGAGCCTCACGGTGACCACTGGCACTGCGAGGGCCCTGCCGAGACTGCCGCTGCCTCTGCTATCGATGAGGTCGAGGCTGCCGGGCCTTCGCCCACCGAGTCTGTCGGTTGCGAGCCCCACGGCGACCACGTACGTCATTCCCGAGACATTGGCTTTTTCTGAATGGATTGCTAACTACAGCAGTGGCACTGCGAGGCTCACGTTAGCGAGACTGGCGCCACGGCCTCCGCTACCGAGGCTCACGACCACGAGGAGGAGGACGACCATGATCACGAGCACTCCGATGAGGAGCACTCTCATGAGGAGCACTCTGATGAAGAGCACTCTGATGAGGAACACTCTGATGAGGATGTTGAGGCTGCTGGCCCCTCTCCCACCGAGTCTGTCGGCTGCGAGCCTCACGGCGACCACTGGCACTGCGAGGGCCCTGCCGAGACTGCCCCAGCTGAGACTGAGGAGACTCCCGGTGCGACTGAGACTCCTGGTGCCGAGGAGCCCGAGGGCGGCAATGCTGGTCTCACCAACATCGTTCCCCTTGTCGGCGCCATCGCTGCTGCTGCCATGGCTCTGTAATGTCTTGACCAGATTGAACAACTCATGGGCATGGTGTAACGGGCCAACTCTTATTTCAATTCTCAAGACACAGTAGTAATTGTACAAGTCATCATTCTAGCAGCCGAAAATAGTTAGAGTGAATTTATTCCGCGATTTCCTTCTGCTCTAAAGTTCGTGACAGTAAACTTTAACTATAAGCTTGAAACAAGCTCACCACTAAGAGAAGCGCGAGTAGCAGGGTTGTGATCGAAGAGGGGGAACGCTGTTGACAGGCATCCAGAACCCCCACCAACACACCGTACCTTAACACTGAATCTACTGACCATCAAGGTTCTCCGATTTCACGTCAACGAATTTGCGCCAACCACCTCAATCTGCCTCAATCTGCGGCTTTTCCCAGCCGCCTTGTTACTAGTCAGGGCCTTGTTCCGCGAGGAGGCGATTGGTTGATTTATTAAAACATCGTGATGGTACGTTGGTAATACTACCTATCTACTCCGTACTATAGCCCAGTCGGAACATGTCGCGAGAAAAGGCGATGAAAAGTGTGAGAACAGACAATGACAAGAGCTTGCTGGCCATTCAAGACGGGGCAGCCCACTTCAATCAACCCTCTTTCTGGCCGCCTCCTCAATCCTCCGCTTCATCTCGCCCATGCCCCAGTACACCGAGAAGATGCGCTCCATCACCACCCGGGGCAACAGCGTCAACAACCAGACCTTGGTCGTCAGTCCTCCACACCAAAACCAGAACGGAGAGCCCGCGATAAGGCCACCAAACCAGCCCTCGCCCTTTAGTGCATTATCGACAAAGGCCTTCGCATATTGATCCGTAGCAAACGTGCCGTGCTTTTGACTAAAGGTCAACCGCCACTCAAACTTGTCTTTGACAGGCATGTACAGTGAGTCCTTGGGGAGCGGTCTGTGAGGCCCGCTGGCGAAATTGGATTTGACTGTGCCTGTCATCGCCACCATGACGCGGACGTTGAAGGGCTCGAGTTCCAGTCGCAGTGCGCGGGACCAGGTGTCAATGGCGCCCTTGGTGGAAGAGTAGATCCCGCCAAAGAGATAAGGGACCTGCGACGAGGTCGAAGAGATGTTGACAATGAGGCCACGGGCTTTGATGAGCAACGGTATAAAGGCCTTGACGGTGCGCATGGGCCCAAAGACATTGACGTCGTAGGTCTTCTGGATGTCATCCATGTCACCATCGAGGATGGGGATCACATGGGGGCGGCCACTGCTTGGTCAGTCAAGGGCACATTTGCTTGAAACGAGTGTGACATACGCGTTGTTCACTAGAATGTCGAGCTTTCCTCCGGTGAGGCGCTCAGTGTCCATCTTGCAGGCATCCACGCTTGCTTGGTCGGTGACGTCCAGCTGAGCAATGCTGAACCCTTGAGTTTCGAGTTCCTTCAGAATCTCGGGGTTGCGCGCGGTTGCGATCACATGACAGCCTAGTTGCGCTGTCAGCGCGATGTTGAGATCATTTCAGGATCCAATGACCACATACCGCGACGATGGAACTCGGTAGCAAGGCTGTGGCCGATGCCACCAGGTGTACAACTTGAGAAGTACGTCGTCAGCCAACGGAAAACACGCGATGGAAAGAAACAACGTACCCCGTAATGAGGACAGTGGTTTTGCGGATAGAAGACATTGCCCTGTTTTTGCACTGGCTATTGCTTTGTTGCTGATTAGAATTTGAAGTGTACGGGGATTGATGTTGTCGGATCTAGAAATATTACGTTCAGGTAACCCCAACGTGAAAGCATGGCCTCGGCAGTGCCCTTTGAACATGTGTGTCGCACTCCGGGTCCGCGGGCAATGTTTCCGTTGGTTTGCCTGCAAGACACCACTTCTCTGCCGTGGTAAAAGGCCGCACAATATCTACAAGCTTGTTCAGTGTAAACCATACGTGAGAAATGTCGACTATGAAGAGTAGATAGTCAACGGTGCCACTGTCGAGTTTGGTGGATGCTTAAAGTAAGCGTCAGGAAAAGGTATAGGGTAGGTGCGGTGTCAGGAAAGTGACGCAAGTCAACTCCATTCCCATGATCCCGTCGCGTCCTCGATATTGCATGTATATTAACCCAACACCAGCTTCCTCGTTTATGTTTATATAGAGAAATCTCAACGGCTCTTCTCGGGCACGGAGCCCATCATTTCGACCGGCGGCACTGTACTGCCTTCTACTTCGACAGCCATGCCCGTGTCGGATTGTGGGGGGAGCTCACTCGGCGCGCTCGGCGTACCCCATCGACTCGCCTCCTCCATGCCATTGGCAGGTGACATGTAGCTGGCCGAGGAGGGCGACTGATAAGTATAGTCATTGTATGGCGAGGAAGTGTACGTTGATGTGCCTCCTCCGCCGGCGAAGCCATGTTGCGGCAGCATAGGCGTTGCGCTGGCGGGGTCGTCGCGGCGACGGTGTCGTCGGAAAAGCCAGAAGCCAATGCCAGCCATCAAAGCTGCGCCCACTAATGCACATCCGACAGCGATACCGACAGTCGCCCCGGTGGAGATACCATCTTGGCTTCCTGCCCCGTTGTCCTCCTCTGTCGTTGTCGTCGTCGCCGCGCTCTTGTTTGTAGTCGTCGTCGCCGCGCTCTTGTTTGTAGTCGTCGTCGCTGCGCTTTCGTTGGTACTGGTGGCTGTCGCCTCGGTCGTGGTTGCGCTGCTCGTCGATGATCCCTCAGCAGCGGCTTTCTCCCACTCGGCCTCTGATAGCCCTATTGGTGTACCCGAATCCCCACACGCCTGGCTCATCGTGTCGTACGTTTCGCTCAGGAGGTCTGCATCGTCATTGCCCATGCACTTGGCAGTGTTAACGATGAAATCGTATTCATTGGAGCAGAAGCAGGCGTTCTGTGCCTTGTTGGAAGATGTTGGGCAGGAGGCCTTGTCCGATGCTTCGTAGAGACACGGCTGTGCATCTCTGGGGTAGAATTCGAATTCGGGTTCGACCTCGCCGAGGACACTGGTGCACAGTCCCAGCAGGGCGACGAGGGCGACGCCCGTGAGCCGAGCCATTGCGACGAAGGAAGTCAAGATTGGAACGCTGTTCTCTGCAAGCAAGGCGTGTTTGAGGAAAAGCGAGAAGATGCCCAAACACTAATTAGAGTGCCCACAGATTATTGGTTCGCAGTGGAGATGAGGTGCTCGCGCGTGTCTCAGCCAGAATGTACCACCGCTTGGCAAAATTTGAACAGAAGTGAACGACTGGAGTGCAAGGGTGACAAGAAAGAAGCCAGAGGGAAAAGAAGCACCTCAATACGAAGAACTATCCCACTCGCTCAACACACCAAATCCTAGGTTCCCCCCAGCCTCGTTCGATCATCCCTGGACCCTGAGACCGCCATCTTGTCAGCACGGAGGTCGTGCTTACGCTGTTTCGAACGCATTGAGGCATCCATGCCGTAAAGAATTCAGCTTGTCCTGCGCAACGGATTGTACTGCGTAGTGCTGCAGTAAAAGCCTCCGTAGTCTGTACCACTTGCTTAGCGGGATGCCTTGCAAATTACTCCGTACATGGTCCAATTTTAGAACAGCCTCCATACATATTCTCCGTGTTGGCCGTGCGGACAGCCTTCAATTCAACACATGGGTCCTTGCATGAAACGACCTCGCCAGCCGAGATGCTCATTGATCAATGCACCTTTTCACGGTTGCTTTCCGGTCTCCCCAGCTGCTCTATGTCTGTGGCTTCGACCAATGATGTCCCACAGTGATATCAGAGCCTTCAAGCTTAGAACGACCATCAATTCCAAAATACTAATAATTGACCGCGAGAGTCCTCCAGCCTCCTTGCCTGGGTGACAGAGAGTGTAACCTTGATACATAGTAAGAAAATATATCCAAACATTAGCTGCCCTTACTTACCAGGGTCTTGGACTCTTGGGGTATCACTGTCTTCTCAACCTGTGACGTGCTTTTAGTTCACATCAGCCTGATGCTGGCGAAGGAAGCGTCGGACTCCTGTATGCCCCTCGGCAATGTGATTGCTTTTGACCAAAGATACAGACGCTCCATGCTTGATCAAAAGTTCTGCGCATCGCGGGTTGTCGAAGAAGAAGAAGCATGAAATTATAGTCATCTCTGTATGCTGCTCGTGCAAAGGAGTCTAGAGATGCTCATTTTGGACCGAGAGGGGAGAGCTATGTTCGATGAGGAACTCGACGCAGAGGAGGCGTCTAAACTCGCTCGCATGGTTGCTTGGCGCGCGATTGAGATAGTCGCGTACATGCACAGAAGGGCCGTGTTGGAGCAATATCTCGACCACTTCGTCGTATCCGCATATTGCTGCTATCGTGAAGGGCAACTGTCTGAGTCTCGAGAAGGTATTGACATGGGACCCGCAGGCGATGAGAAGCTTGAGTTGAGGCATACAGGCCGAGACAACTGCCTCGAACAATGCTGTGTGACCATTCTTGCTGTTGTGTAACTCCATGCCCGCGCCTCGGTCGGCGAGGTGCTGGATGATGCAACAGGCGCCCTCCGTGTCTCCCTAGCAAGATGCTGCTTCCATCAGAGAGGTCAATTTGCTGACGAGGCACTCCCAATTTCCCCTTCACTCTTGCACCGTTCTGGACGAGCCATCGCACAGCTGGAAAATTTCCTGATCTGCAGAACCAGGCCAGAGGTGTGAGGTCTGCCTTGTACTCAGCCTCAATGTCGGCACCGGCCTTGAGCACGGCGGTTGCTATGGCCCAGCGCGAATCAACGAGCTCATCACCATCGCCATCGCCATGGGCGTGAGCCAGGGCATAGAAGAACGCAGTTCTTCCCTCTGTTTGATCTTTAAGTTCAAGAGAGGGCGAATCTCGGAGGAGAGTCTTGACCACCTCGAGGTGATCATTCATTGCGGCGAGCATGAGTGCTGTTTGCCCAACGTCGTTTGTGTCATCGATGGAGATGTTACCACTTTCACATATGGCCTTGCTGATCTCTGGGTTTTCTTGCTGAGCCGCGTACATTCCAGCTGAGTCTTCGGCTGGGGCCTTTGCAGTGGTCCTTACGCCCAGTCTAATCATCTCCTCATCGGCTTTCGCGTCGCCCAATTTGACGAACTCAGGAAGTGCTTCGTTTTTGGCCATTCGCCTCGCTCCGTCCCTTGTCAACCGCGCTGTGTCGCATGTATTCTTATCCTCATTGTCGTCTGGGATCTCTTTTTCGGTGTCCACGATACCGTCGAGGCTGTCGGATTGCGGAGATTGGCCGACCATATTGAGAGAGGTGATTTTTGCTGTGTAGTGTGTGGTGAGGCACAAGAGTATATTGAAGTGACTTTCGAGCCGCATGAGGAGAGAGAGAGATAAGTGAGAACACTCTCAAAGTCGTGTTTTCATAAGTAGAGCCGGCAACAGATCCTGAACTAATCAGATGTGTACACACCTAATCGCCCCAGGTTCAGTGATGTATTGTCTCAAAGCTCAGTCTATCACAAAGATGCCATGGAACGGTGCTCCTCTGCCATTGTCAATAGCGTTGAATTCCACATGCAGGCTGCCTTCTGCCAACAGGCGCTGGATTAAGTCCAATCATCCCGCTCGATTCTCACGACCAGTGGATAATCTGTGCTCACCTGGGAGTGCGGTCTCATGTAGGGGGATGCAGTGTGATTCTGTACCTTTAATGTGATTCCGAGAATGGGTCACGCATTGTACTACCTACCAAGAAAGCCTTGTGAGGCTGGAGACAAGTGGCAAGCCCCCGTCGCATTGAGCAGCTACACCGTACGGTGTGGCGGAGCGGCTGGCCTCAGAGTTATTGGTAGCGGGCTTGATATCGTCGTTGTGGAAATGAGACCGCCTCAAGGCCTCAAACGTGTTGAGCAGATGCCTTTACCTTCTCCCAGAGCTCCCCCCGAGGCGACTGTATCACACCATCAAGAAGCGCGCACCGCTCCACAAGGGCGATACTCGCCACTGGCCATCTTCGATCCTGAACTTTCGCATCACGCGCGGCAGACCCTCGACAATGATGCGATACGGAACTTGTGCTAGTTGTGCTTCAGCCCCTTTTGCTACGGCCGTGGTGTGTATGCAGGGTATTGGTGACCTCTGCGCGAACTCGGCGGACAGCCCGCAGGCGTTGTTCCTGCCGCATTTGTTTATCTTGAGAGCTGTCACGAAGAATTGGACCAGGCTGGAAGGGAGCTCGGTAGTGGCCAGAGCCTCAAGTCCTCTCATATCCTGGATTCGTACTTACGTGGCGGAATACAATCATCGGACTGTCCAGCCTGCCCTGACTATATATCAGGTTCGTCGAATGGCATCACGCCCCGGCTAGCTCAGCTGAGTCGAATCGAGATCCTGGCGCTGCCTTTGGCGCTGGTCTAGGAGACGGAACGCAGAAGGCACATGCAGAGCTGGCCCGACCGACACATACGGCGTGGATCTGGCTGCAGGGAATCTCCTTTTGAGTAGTTGGATGGCACTGATCTTGTTGTTGAGCAAGCATGGATGATTCTTGTGCCCTGCGATCGAGGCGATTGAAGGACATGGCGAGGTCAAATGCGGGCGAGAAACATGAATGCACAGCAGCCTGATGTATGCATAGCTTTCTCTGGGAATGAACGACGTCACCGTAATGATGGCCTCCAGCTAGGGGGGACTCACCCGAACATTGTCCTTTTTTGTCATTTGAACATGACGGAAACATCGTGTTCTGAACGCCTACCCGCCCAGCAGCCGAATTTTGCCGAAGTACGGATACGCGAGAACTAGACGTTAAAACTGCATCGCCGGACAAAGGCTTCTTCAATCAGGACGACCTGGCAGCGCCTAAATCGTGTTTGGTTTGTGACACGTCGAAAGGCCCCCAGCCTCCAGTCTGCTTCCAGTCTGTTGGTTGCTGCGTGATCTCGTCATACCTAGCATGGTCTGCAGCGTCTGCTTGGTTGGAAAGGTCTCGCGATGACTTCACTTTACCTGCGATGGAGCCGCAACGCGCTGCGTGCCGTCGCCAGAGACTGGTTGCTCTCTCGTGATGCCCAGTCGAGTAATCCAGCGGTTGGCTGGCAAGCGTGCGGTTGCTGACTCGATGTCCAGTCCCAGCCCCGCGATTTTGATAGGGCGTCAAGAAGCTCTTGGCCTCTCATGCACAGTAAAAGGGGGGCGGGCCAGTTATCGTCAAGTCAGGGGACCGATCCCAGCTGAAGGGGCGAGATTCCAACGTGTGCTGCGATGCAGTGTGTTTGAGTGTGATTGGGTCGTCGAGTTGCGGACATCGACACGCGGGCATGCGTGCGCTCGCCCGTTGGGCATCAGATCCTCTTTGAAGAAAGGCGCTGTTTTCTCTCTTCCAAAAAGTTATCCGAAGCATGGCTGGGCATTGACTCAAGATCTTGAAAACCCCGTTCTTAGTTCCTCACCGACAGATTCCGGCTTTCTTCCAACCTTCCCCGTCTCCCTGGTCCCTAGTCCCAGATCGCCCCAGTGGAGATCAAAGGTACTTCCGTTAAGGCCTGAGGCGGCACCAATTTCGAAGTAGCCTCGATCGCCATCCAGTCCCACAGCCCACCAGCTCCAGCCTCAGTGGGCTTGCGCAAGTTGTCTCTCCTCACCGAATCTTCGGACTGGCACGTCCAGTCACTCTTTCGACCGCCGCGACGACTGTTGTTAAGCGTCTGTCTTTGTGTGCTTTTTCATTCTTAGCTGCCGGTCAGCTGCAGCTAACGCTTCCCACATCCTTTCTCTCGCAAAGACGTTACGATGGTTCTGGAGCAAACTATCACGATCGTGAACAACTCGGGGAAGATCATTGGCACGGCACGTTTCACCCTCTCATCAGCAGCTTTTCTGTTTTACTAACATAGCAGACAGGGAAAGCAGCTTCTGTCGGTATTCAATCAGGCAAAAGGCGCCTATCAAGAGAAGAAGGCTCAGATCAAGTCCGAACGATCGACACTAGGTCGCGCACAAACCTTTGACCACCACCCTACCACCTCACGGAGTGTCTATCGACACCATGATCCCTACGATTACGACGAATATTATGACGAAGAAGAAGACGAATACTACGATAAATACTATGACGAACCGCCATTAAGGCGCCACTCTGTCTACGATGGGCACAGCGAGGCGAGTTCGCGCCGAACCGCGCGCACGTCGTCTAGACGGATGCCCAGAGACGACAGAAGTGTGGTGAGCCGCAGGACCGCCCTGACCGCCAGCAATCTCAAGACGCTGAGCGAGGTTTCGAGTGCGGCGCCGTCGAGGGCCCCACGTGGGTACCGCGCCCCATACGCGGAGACGCTGAACAAGGACATGGCCGTCTCCAGGATGAACCTCACACACGCCGATATGCGGAGCATGGCACCATCGGAACGAAGACCTCCGACCGCCATGACCCGTCGGAGATCTTTCTCTGAGATCAGCGACCGGAGGGCCATGGTCAACCGCCCTGCTGGGAAGCACATTGACATGGACCTCGCGTATGGCGACGTGCCTCCCGACTTGCAGGACCGACATGATCTGGACCCCGACCGCGCGGCCGAGGCCAAGGAGCAGCGCGCAAAGATGCTGGTCAAGAAAGTGGAGGGTCTCCTGGACGAGGCGCACTGCGTGCAACACTCCGCCTCCGCCACCATCTCCCACCTGCAGAAGAACCCAGACGCCGCTGCCGCTGTTGCCCTCTCGCTGGCGGAGCTGTCGACATTGGTCACCAAAATGTCGCCAGCCTTCCTCGGCTTCATCAAGGGTGGCTCACCCGCGGTGTTCGCTCTGCTCGCCTCGCCGCAGTTCCTCATCGGCACAGCTGCTGTCGTCGGTGTCACCGTCGTCATGTTTGGCGGCTGGAAGATTGTCAAGAAGGTCAAGGAGCAGCAGGCGGCCCGGGAGGCCATTGCGTTTGAGGGCGTTCCCATGGACCGCCCTGCGCCCCAGAGGACGCAGAGCGACTTCAGCACGGGCATGGATGAAGCGTACATTATTGACGACGACATCAGCTCCATCGACTCGTGGAGGCGGGGTATCCTGCCCGAGTTTGGGGAGAATGAGAGCGTGGATATGGAGCTGATCACGCCCGAGGCTCGTCGCGCCAACCGGTCGCGCCTGGGCAAGGAGGATGATTTCGACACAAAGTCCCGGCGAAGCACCAAGACGACAAAGACTTCCAAGACAAGCAAGACTAGCAAACCCAAGGAACGCGAGGTCCCCGAGCGCAAGAGCAGTAAGCACGCCACGACCGAGAGCGTCACCGGCAGCGAACGCAGCCGCAAACCCTCGTCGTCCAAGAGAAAGGAAAAGACAAACGTGCGTGCGATTGAGGATGGACGGAGTCGCCGAGGCGACGACGACGGAATTGATCTGGTTTTCAGGCCCAAGGGCCAGAAGCAGACCAACATGCTGAAAGCGTTGTTCAAGACAAACAAGGAGAGGGAGAGGGAGCTTGTTCATGTGCGATGAGGTACGATAATGATCTTATTCTTTATTTGTGGCGTATTCCGGGCGATCGAATCATTGAAGGGCGTAATTGGACATTTATAGGTATATGCAGATATCATTCACTGACGTTCCATACCTCGCATTGGTGGCCTTACATCTGCCTATGCAATGTTGGGAACCTCCACAACCTCCGTCTCCTCCATATCTCCACCCTTGAAGGAATACGTAAAGGTTCCCGTCCAGCCGCTTGCGGCGCCGGCATGGTTGCCTTTGTTGTCCACAACGACCAGGCCACTGGACACCTCGGGGTATTTGCTCACCATCCGTCGCACAGCGTCTTCTGCCGCTTCTGCAGGACTCATGCCGCCTCTCATGCTCTCCAAGGCCTGGTAGCAAGGCAAGAAGCGCATCATGATGTCGCCGTCCCCCGTAGCGCCACAACCACCGACCTCGCTGTCGGCGTAGGAACCGGATCCAACAATAGGGCCGTCGCCAACGCGGCCTGGCACCTTGTGGGTAGCGCCGTTTGTGCTCGTAGCCGCCGCCATAGCCCCATCTTTTGCAATGGCAATCATGGAAATTGTGTCGTGTGAAACCGGGCGCTTATCCACCAGCTTGCGCGACGACAGGTCGGGCGTATAAGGGCCACATTGGCCTTGGGGCAACACGTTCACCCTATAGTTTGGCTGGCAATTGGCCGCCTTCCATGTCTCACATCTCTCCTTGGAGGCGGGCGTTGTCAGGTCCTCCTCCTCGAAGCCCATCTCCACCGCGAATTGGGTTGCGAGATCGCCGCTTAGCATGGTGTGCGTCGTTCGGTCGAGGACCATGCGCGCCACGCCAACGGCATCCTTGATCCTCCTGATACCGGCCACGGCGCCCGCGTTGAGCGTCTCGCCATCGATGATCATGGCATCGAGAGTCGTCTCACAGTTCTCATCGGGCGAGCCGCCATAGCCAACTGATGAGTCGCACTGAGCCTCTTGGCAGGTGGTGCAGCCGGCCTGGACGGCATCGAGGGCAGAAGGTGTGCAGTTCTTGGAGAGGAGGCGGTATGCAGTCTCGGTGGCGGCTTCAAAGGGACCGGACCAAGTGTTGATGACGAAAGGAAGACCAGGACTGTTGGAGGCCAGGATTGGGGCACCCAGCGCAAGGAGTGCGACAGCCTTGGTAATACCCATGTTGCTTCGTTCTGGGAATGATCGTTTGCGAGTTAAGTGAAGTAGGAACTTGAGATGGACGAAGGAGCACTTATACCTGGGAGATTGTGGGGAAAGAATATCTTGAGAGATAAGCGTAAACCCGTCTGCACTCTGTTTTAACTAAATTCCATCTTAACGAACCCGCCAAAGGTTCCAATATCACTTATGAATTTGTCGTTCGGATTTACCGTATGGAGAGTGTTGTGAGTGACCTTCCCGATGTGGGAATGCAGGATCAGGATGCTAAGGATCCTTGCTGGCAGCAGTCATCAGATAGGAGCATTTCACTAACTCAATAGGTATCTTTCCTCCCATTGCATTGGACTTTTTAGCAATCGGGATTCATAAAACAGACCAGTCAAGACCTATCATGAGTCCGTATATGAAAAATCAATCAGATCAGACCAGGGCATCCCAGGACTTGGAACAATAGGGTAATCGTATCGATGTCTACTGGTCGGCAGGAGTGTTGGCAGGTGTGTCACGTGCGTCGGCTGCCCGCCATCATCCCATGCGGTCACCTGACATCGTGCTCAGAGTTGGCTTCGAGTTTGCCCACGCAAACTCAATGTCAGCACATGCTCCCATTGACCTTGACCCTGCACTGAGCTTCATGCATGAAGCGTAACATTGCTCCGAAGCTATCACAGTCGTGTCCTACATAATCTACGCCGGGGCCTGCGGAGCGGCCCCGCAAGGCTTCCTAGTCTAGTGTAGAGTCTCTAGACTCTAGTCGCTACGTACACGACTGAGACATGCCTGTGAAGAAGCTGATCTTGGCAAGCACTATCGTCACCACCCGAGCTGTGGTAAACGCCAGCGAATCTATTGATGCTACATATATGTTGCAGCATTCCCCACCCGATCGCCCACTAGTTTTTCAACATGCGCATCAATGCCACCAAATCAAACCCTTTTCGCCGGCCCTCTTTTTCCACTTGCTGTCTCAAGCCTTGGCTCCTTCAACCCGAGCACCCTCTGCCGCGGACTGTGGCATGTTGTGAGCCATCTGCTCACTGCCATTGGAAGAACGGTCAAGGAACGCTCTGACATGGTCGTTCAACCAGTAGCGGCTCAGGACTGAAGATGGGATCGCGGACGCTCCTGCAATGTATCCGAGGCATGCTGCACCCGCGTTGCATCCGCACTTGAAAGGTTGCACCATTTTCCATTCAGAACTGGGGTAGAAGAAAGTCAGGGCGTCGCCTACAGCGAGAGGACGACGGTCGGAGACCCGGACCTCAAACTTCGTCATGTCGAAGACGAGGCTGGGGTCGCACGAGTGGTTGCAGTAGACGAGATCCGAGTTGAGCTCGATGCGCGAATTCTCACCATTGGCAACAGACGTGTAGGTGTCCTGCGAAGCCGGGGTCGCCGTCGTGATCTTGGAGAATAGTGCGCCGGCGGGTAGGGACACCAGCGAGTAGGCCGCGGCTTGGTAAGGCTCATCGCCCTTGACGACCTTAATGAGGTCGGGATGGCTTGGCTGCTGCCAGGTCGGGGTGAATTCAGACATTGTGGTTGCGCAAAGGTAAAATGATGGAAAGTGGGCCTGGAATTGGCATGACGGCAACGTCGACTTTATATCTCTCATCAGAGCTTCTGGCAAACGTCACGCCCGGCATGCCGAGGCTTGACCGCATAGGCTCGGTACTTTATTTCTCTCATCTGTCCAGCTCTACTACCAACACCCATCAGTCTGCTCATGATCGTGTGCAACATGGATTCGAAAATTAGCGCCAAGGTGGGGAGCTACAGCTGCCGACTTTCATCCTTTCATCCGAAACAACTTCGATACCAGGTACTAGTTCTGGCCGGACAATGTCGCGTTGCTTCTCTAGTCCATATGGCCGCAACTCAAGCTAATCCACAGAGTACTGGTAATCCACACGCAAATCACGACCAAGCGATGGGGGTACGAGGTGGCACGAAAACAATGCCAGTCAGACGCCATGGTCGAGTCAAATTGGTCGATTGTGTTTTTCTTTTCAGCTTTTACAGGCGTAATTTCAAGTTTCTTCAACATCTGTTATCATGGAGCAAGGTATTCGCGACGAAGAATGGGATGCCACCCAAGAAGAGCCATGTTTCTTCCCTGTCTTGAACACACGATGTGACAATCAAGGGCCTAACGTCTTGACTTCTCTGCCAAAAGCTTTCAACACGTCTCGATGGAGGATCGCAGACTTCTGCTATGCCCACGGCGTCGAGCCGTCGCGTATCTTCCAGGCGTCATGGGCGATTCTATTGCAATCTTACACCGGGTCTGACCGACCTGTGTTCGCCTACAACGATTCTCAGACACAATCACAGTGCAGCAAGCTCGGCGCGACATGTGTAGCATACTTGGCACATGATCGTCATGTTCTGGACCTCATGAAGAACAAGATTGAGGTCGTCCATCGGGACGCACATGCACCCCAGAGACAGTGGTTCGACACGGCCCTCGAGTATGACAGCAACGGATGCGATGAGGTACAAAAAAAAACGTATGCCTGCGAAAATTAGCACTGACTCCCGCCTAGAAAAACTTCAATATTGCGATCCGGTGCAGTTCAGAATTCGAGGCAACTCTCAATTATAAAACCGCTATTCTCTCGGAAGAGCAAGCCTCGCTCATCGCAGACCTTGTCGTTCACATCACGACTGAGCTCACCCACGTGTCTCAACTGCAATCCATCAATTTTTGCTCCCCCCAATCATTCCAAAATCGAGCCAGTGGAATAGTACAATCTCCGAGAAGGTCAATCGCCGTATCCGTGACTCTAGCCTCGAACACTGCCAAATTCAGCCCCATGGAGATCTGACCTATGGACAAGTCGGAAGGTTGTTCAACGCGATAGCTCATCAGTTGGTGGAGCGTGGAGTAGGACCAGGCAAGTTTTTTGGGCTCTACTTTGAGAAGTCAAAGTGGACAGCCGTTGCACTTATGTCGATCTTGAGGGGTGGTGGCGCGTACGTCTTCTTGGACTGTTCTTTTCCCTCGGGTCGTCTGCAAGGCATAAGCAGGCAAGTCGGCATCAGGCATGTTCTCTCCGTCTGTAGCCTCTTCGATCAAGCTGCTGCTTCTCTGCAACGAACAATCGTCGCTGTCGACGACGATTTTCTGCAGCCTCCAGCCTAGATGTCCCTGGCTGAGCCACAAGATATCGCCTACGCAGTCTTCACTTCCGGGTCGAAGGGAAGACCAAAGGGGGGGCTCGTCACCCACTCATCGTACTCCTCGATCCAGAGGCCTTTTGCCAAGTTTGTTGGTCTGGAATCCCACAGCCGTGTCTTCCAATTCTCATCCTATGCCTTCGACATGATCATTATGAGCTCCTGTCACCCCTCATGACGGGTGCCTGCTCATGCGTGCCGTCAGAGAAGCAGCGTAGATCCAGAATTCCAGAAGCCGTTAGGGAGATGCGGGTGAACCAGCTGAGCCTGATACCCACAGTTGCTCGGCTGCCCAATTCAACCGACTCCCCGTCCGTGGAGACGTTTATCATGGTTGGCGAACCGCCCTCACTTATGTCATCTAGGCTTGGGCCAAGCAGTTCCGACTGTTCAATGGATACGGGCCAGAAGAGTGTAATGTGTTCACGGCGGTACACCACATCAGGCCAGGGGATAGCCATCCGACTATCATCGGCGCCGGTGTAGGCGCTGGCTGCTGGATCCCAGACCCTTCTGATACCCAACAGTTGGCTCCCTTCGGCGGCATTGGAGAGGTTCTGATCGAGGGGCCCATCGTGGGAAGGGGTTCCGTTGACGACCCTCTGAAGACGGAGCAAACACACATTGAAAGCCCGAGCTGGCGTGATGCGCTCCCAGGCGTTCCCGAGGGCAACATGTACCGTACGGGCGATTTGTCTCAGTTTGTCTCTGACTTTGAGATTCGCTACCTAGGCCGCATTGATTCCCCAGTCAAACTGCGCGGCCAACGGCTGGAACTGAGCGAGGTAGAGCCAAACGTCATGGATACCTTCTCGAACGACCCAACGGAGCCCCGCATTTCGACAGCGAGCCCAAGATGCATTGTCGAAGCTGGAATCGGTTCCCACAAGCGCAGTCATCAATGGGGGGAAGCAACGCGTTAACAGCCAATCCCGTGTCTTGCAACTGGCTTCCTTCACATTTGACGCATCAATCGCGGAGATATTATATGCTCTAGTTCACGGAGCTTGTGTCTGCATTCATTCGGAAGATCAATGCCGAAACATCTTGGAAAAGGCCATGTGCGATTACAACATTACCTGGGCCACTCTGACGCCGTCATTGGCCAGGGCCCTTGAGCCCTCCAAGTTGACGACTCTCAAAACATTGGCTTTGGGCGGCGAAGCCATGACCAAACTGGACATTGATATGTGGGCGGGCCTTTTTCAACTTGTGAATGGCCATGGGCCGGCTGAGAGCTCGGTCCACGCGCTCATCAAGCCAGACACCTCTCCAGAGTCAGACGCAGAAAAAATTGGTCGCAGCTATGTAGGTGTGGCGTGGATAGTAAACACCAATGACCACACGTCGCTGGTACTAGGCGGTGCCATTGGTGAGCTCGTCCTCGAAGGACCGACTCTGGCTCAGGCTATCAAACCCGGCCTGTGCCGCCTGTCACCAAACGTTCACCCCAAACGACGTTCGAGAAACTCCTTCAAGGGGTGGTATCTGAAGTCTTGCGTCTGCCGTGCGACGACGCTGGCATAGTGATGGTTTATTCCGTCTGGGCGGCGACTCCATCATTGCGCTGCACTTTTGTCGAGCGAGCGCGGGCATCAGGCTTTGCTTTCCGCGTCAGCACTGACTTCAAGACACCAAAGCTTGCTGATCTTACGTTGATGAGACAACAGGAAGGTTCTCTTGATCCTAGGATGCTTCCGCAAGTTCCCAATACCAATGGCGAGGAACATCCAATGATGGCAAGCAAGCATTCTTCGCCTTTAAGGCCGGAGGGGGAAGCAAAGCACCATTTTGGTGGCTCTAATTCCATTATAGACATTCTCCCTGTCAGTCAGACTACGGAGCGATACCTCCTCGGTGCACCTGAGTACTGGAGCCTCAATCTACAGGGTACCGTGGACCGCGTTCAGCTCCAGTTTGCCTGGACGCGTCTTGTACAACGACACAATGTTTTGCGAAGTATTTTCTTGAGGAGCCCGCAATATCTACAATTAGTGCTCCGCGAATTTCAAACTACTATTGAGTTTCATCAAGCCGCTTCCGAGGTCTTCGACTTTGTAGAGCAGTACCGGCTGGGCGACCACATTACCGTACCAACTCTCGGCATGCCGATCACCAAGTTCCTCTTCGTGGAGAATAAAAAGTGCTGCCAGATAATGGTCATCCCTCTGATTCATGCTCAGTTTGATGGATATTGCCTACACACCCTATAGAAGGATCTGAAGAGCTTGTACAAGGGGAGGAGTACTCCCAGATGTTGGGGACAACTCATCCCACATGGGGTTGTGGGTTGCAAGCAAAACACCGGAAGCATTTTCTTTCTGGAGAGATGCCCTACGAGGCTCTGTAGTGACCAGAATCACCAATAAGCTCGTCATTGGTAGGGAGCCGGCCGACAGCGAGACAGGGTTTGTCACCACGAGTCGCCGGGTTCACATAGGGGTAGATCCGCGCGAGGTCATCATGGCCACTCTGGTCAGAATTGCATGGGCTATGGTCCTTGGACAGCTGACTGGTCATAACGATGTTGTCTTTGCACAGGCAATCAATGGATGCGACAACACACCGCCAGGCGTCGTTGGGCTGTGTCTCAACTTTGCCCAAGTTCGAGTGATGTTGGAATCTACACGAACGCCACTCCAATAATTGCAGCTTGTCCACGCCAGCACAAAGAGAGTCTCAACTACGGGTTACTAGAATTTCGAGACATTGTAAGACAATCGACCGACTGGCCTACAGACACTCTTCATCAGAGCCTCCCTGTTCACCAACGCATTGATACAGAGCTACCGTTCTCCTTTGCAGATCTCCAGGCTCAGGTGACGCGTTGTTATCACTAGGAAAAGGCCCCAGGCGACATTCTGTTGAGTCTCGACCATTAGGGAATGGCTGCCTACAACTGACATTCGAAACGACGGCCAGCATTCTGACGCGGGAAAGTGCTGACATGGTTCGGGCAGGTCCTGCCAAACAGTCATCTCACTTTGAAAATACCCGGAAAGCGTGGAATAGTGTGGACTGGTCAAAAGTCCTGTCGCTGTGAGCTGGTGACACCAGGTACTGCCTGATACTTCCTATCGTAACAATTCGTGCGTCCTATCTCAATTAAATATCAACATTCTGTTACTTGAAAAGTCTATAAACACTGCAGTTCCCAACAATTAAACTGAACTCGCATAAACAGCTCTTCTGCGCCAACGCGTGTTGTTCCATGATGAACACCCATGAACATGCTGGAGTGCACCTTGTGTAGTCCTCCTCTCCAGTTTCCTAGTAAAGGTTATCGAAGCCGCATCTTATCCCACTGGAAACGGGCTTCAGAGGTTTCCACCATTGACAACCATTCCAGAAGTATCTTTCTGGGCGCCTCGAGCCAAGACAGACCTTGGATTCCTTGCAATTCTCTCGCGCTCGAGTCGTTTCTTTTCCTCAACACGCTCCTTGTACTTCCACCACACCTGCTTCACGCCGTCGAGGGTTCTCGTTGGAAACCTTTCCTGGAGAAGCCTGTGAGTTTTAATTCGGTGAAGGCAGTGCCACTGTTCATTTGCCGTGATGGAATATCAACGATAAGGAGACTCACTCGTATTTCCTCAAAGCTCACGCCTTCTTTTCTCATCTGCACCACCGTCTGGATCTCAGCGCCTCTCTACAGCGTCCGATATGTCTTTGGTGGATCAGCTCTGTCCAAGGCGTCTCCCCTAGTTCCAGCATCAAACTGGGTCTTCCAGCTCTTGCCCTCGAGGGCTTCTTGGATGGCGATCTCGAGCTTGCGACCCCGAAGACAGATCCAGGGCCGGATTCCGCGGTACATTGGAAGAGGACGCCGACCGGACTTTAAGGCTGAAGCTTGCAACGGTGTCAGAACCGTGCTTGATAACCACGATAGCCTGCGACGGTTGATCATCTTCTTTGATTCGCTTGGACTGGGCGAATTTGTCGAAGATGGGGAGCCATGTGGTGTATCTTGCGATAGGGAAGCTTCCGTGCTGCGCATGCTGGTTCCAGACGGGTGTTCAAAAGGGCCAAAAGTCGCCAATAGTTCAGTCGCGGATGTTCAAGGTCCAGTCGGGTCTCGAGGTGGTGATGACGATGAATTGCAGGTATCAAGATTTGAGAGAAAAGGGAGAGACAGAGAGATAAAATGACTGAGCCAATGTGAATGGATGCCCAGGAATTTGCTGATAAACGCAGAAGGCAACAACAGCGGACGCCGTCTGATGTGTGGGCTGATCCCCTCAGTGCCACAGGCAGGCCACGAGCAAGCAACGAACAAAGCGACGATAGCTGGAGACTAATAAGGCCAGCGCCTCCTTATGGTCCAACTTGGATTCACTTGGCCAGATAGTAGGGACATGTAGTCACTACCACTCCAATACTTGTTCAGCGACCCGGTCCGAGAAACCGGCCAAAGGATCGACTGCTTGGCCGCAGATGAGACCAAACTGAAGAGCAAATACTGTATGTTTCGTCTGGATAAAAGGTCAAACATGGAACCACGGGAGGCAGCACAGATTTTTATTTCCACAACACCAAACTCAACTGCAACAAAAAGCATCTGGTGAGTTGAATCCAGGACAAAAGCGACTGCGTACGTGCTCTCACACTTCCAAGAAATATGTACACTAACGCTTGCCGGATGCTCGCTCCGGGAAATATCAAGACCGAACCTGAGCACGTCTCGAATGCCTTGCTAGTCCTGTCCCTGGATCGAAGACTGGCGATGCGTGTTAGACGGAGCCATCTGCCGAGAGATGGTTTTGATTTTTCATGCTTTTGACGACCGGAGAAACGTGTCTCATGATGTCGAAATCCGTTGGGGGTGACATGATTCCGCAAAAACGGTTCTGATCCTTTTTGGGTGGAGCTTCCCCACAGGGAACTTGAATTCGGCATCATGGAAAAGGTCAGCATGGTGGTGTTTTGCCTCCCGCGCGAACTCTCGACGTTGCTCCGGCATTTATCGCCCCTTGGGCTGTTGATTCAAACCAGGAAATCCATCTCGTGGATGGGGCCCAACAAGCTGGGCTCTGAACAGATCACAACGTGAGAAAAACTACATCGTCAGGTCTTCAAGACAAGTGGATAGATAGCCTCTTGGCCAGCATTCAGGGCTGGCACTTGGGAGCGCCTTCCTACACGATGTCGTGCATCCAAGTTTAGCCTAGCGCAACCTTCCCCCACGTCAAGGTTCACTGGTGAAGGTATTGGTAGCGGGGCATTTCATCGCACAGCTTCCTCCGTCTTCCTCCCACAAACCACGTATCCTTCCATCCGACATTCCTAATACGAATTGCTTGCAGCGAACAATTACTGGGTCCCATCCTTAGTACTTAGTACGATTGCTCAACATCATCTACAATGGATGACCAATTTGGCGGACGAACCGACGATGATCTGTTCTACGATGACTTTGAACCCGTCGAAAGCGAGACTGTCATCGTCTCTGAGCAACCACCAATAACGCCCGCGCCTACGAGATCGCCGGCGCCTGTTCCTGTCTCCCAGCCACAAAAGAGCCCTTCAAAACCAGTCCAAGGTCTCTCGTCTTCACGATTCGCCGACAGTCCAGAGCCTCCCGAGCAGACGACACCTCCAGCCGATGCGTCAGCTGAACCCGCAGATGCTGCCTCACTCGCTGCGAGCGGGCCGCCCTCAGACGCGCCAACCGGCCCCAAGAAACGCCAGAAAGGGAACGGCAGAAATCACAAGAACCATCAACCCCGCGCGGGGTCTGGCGCCAATCCTCGGCAAAAGCTCACGGAAGATGAGCTTTCGGCCAAGATGCAGCATATGAAGCTACTCAACGCAGAGAAGGAACGCAAGTTCGAACGAGCTTCTCAAGACGAGAAGCAGCATGCTGAGGCCTATGCTAAAGGTATGGAAGAGGCACGCAAGAGGCGCAAGGAGGCCGAGGAGCGGAGAAAGCGAACCGAAGAGACCCAACGAAAGCTAAATGATGAGCGTGAGAAGAATAGAGAGCGGAAGCTCAAAGCTATGGGCACAAAAGAAGGAGGGTCCTGGGATGAGGGCAAAGTCGAACAGCTCGAGGAAGAACGTCGCAGGGGTTTCAAAGGAGCAAACGGTGGGGTGAGAGGCACAAGACGCGGGGGCTTGGGCAACAGTCGCTTCGCTGAAGGCGACACACCCGACGTCGATCGGTTCCTCGAGGAAAGTAGTCGTGGACGAGGTCGTGGCAGGGGAGGTCGTGGGAGAGGTGGGCGTGGTGGTCGTGATAGTCCAGCCAATGAACGTGCGCCCACGAAACCGCAGGGCGTCCCCACATCGGAGGATTTCCCTGCGTTGTCTCCGAGCAGCGTCAAGGAGCCTGAGAAGGTGACCACGGCTGTGTCTCCTGCTGTCTCGCCTGCATACGAGCCCGGGAAAGGCGTTGCTTGGGATGAGGAAATGGAAGCTCTTGACGCCGAGAAGAAAAAGTTATAGGGGGACCTCGGCGATTGGGCCGAACATGTTGAAGAGGAGCTCCCGCTGGCTTCCGGTGCACCCAAGGTTCAAGAGGATCCCGGGTTGCCTTCAAGCACATCCAAGACGGAAGATGACCTCCGATTGCCATCTAGCACGCCCCAGGTTGAAGGTGACACTGGATTGCCATTCAGCGCACCCAGAGTAACCGGCAGAGCTCCAAAGGCTGAACCGTCCAAAGAGGTCCAGCAAAAGGCCGGTGGCACATGGTTCTCACATTTGGCGATGGAGGGCGACGAAGACGATAAAGACACAAGCATCGCAAACTCGGGTGAAGGCTTGGAGGACTATGGAGAAGACTCCGAAGTCTCTGATAGAGGCTCCGAGGACGAGACAGCAACTCGCGAAGAGAGCGACTACCATGCCGATGATGAGGCCGAAACATCTGACTTCGAGGTCACCAAGGCCAAGTTCATTGCTACCCAATTCCTTCAAGGCAAGGCGATCGCGGTACGAAAAGCCCATGCCACCAAAACGCTGGGTGTTGCGTTGGTGGAGATGCCAGGTGACCGAATGACCGAGAGCTGGCTGCAGCACGTGCAAGCCAGATCCAAGGACGTCAGATGCACCATTCTTGTTCGCGGTCGCAGGATCCATTCCCGTCTTGTCTGGGCATGATCAACAGAAGCGAAGTACAATTGTAAGGGAGCCTTGGAATCGGCAAGGCACAAGCGCATGTACAGCCAGCGAATAGAAAATCAATAATGGTATCATTTTCCAGTACTCTTGACGCCCCAACTCCAATGTCTGATGCCGCAACGCCGCCTCTTGCTCCTGTAGAGCGTCTACCAGCCTCCTCCACGGTATCCACGGCCACCACGACCGCCCCTAAATCCTCCAGGTCCCCTAGGCCCTCTTGGTCCGTCGTCGTCCATGCCACCGCCACCGCCGCCCCTCGGGCCTCTCCCTTTCATCTCCTTCGGAAAAGCGTCGTATGTTTTGCGCATCTGCGCGTAGCCCAAGTGCATTTTGCCGTAAAAGTGGTCAGCCAGCCTACGGTCATTGTCCAGACGACTCAGATAGGCGCCGCAGACGTCGCACACTTGAAGCTTCTGGTGTCCCGAGGGGCCAGAGGTATCAGATAGCGCTTTCAGCTCGCGCTCCCTCTCTGATTTGGTCACGGTCGCCTGCCGCACGCGGAAGAGCTCGTCCTGCGCACGCGAAACTTCGCCCATGGAGCCCAGAATCTCCACCTCCAGTAATCCATTCTGAACGGAGCTCGTCAGCTCCGAGATACTCTTGAGCAGCACATTTGTCTGCCTGATTTCGTCGGGTGTCTTCTCCAGCCGCCTCTGCGCAGACTCGATTCGTCGGTTGCACTCGTCAATGTAGCGTTGCAGGTCGCGCATGTAGTCGTACTCAAAGCCATGCCGTTGCTTCTCGCGCGCGGGTAGATTTTCGTACTCTGTTTTGAGGCCTTCGGCGTGGACTTTGGGGCAAGGCCCGAGGTCTTGCTTCGTGTTCGTGAAAAGGTCGTGTGGGCATGTGCCAACCAGGTAGGAGCGGCAGACTTTGGGGTCGGTGAGCGACAGCTGTGTGGAGCGGGAAGAAGCGGATCCGCCCATGAGCTGCTCGAGCAGCTTTCGTTGTTCGGCGGCCATGTTGGTCTGTCTTTGTCAGGGTGGTTGGTGAGGTTGGTGATGTTGGGAGAAGAACTTCCAATAAATTCGCGGTCGACGACGCGGAATGCGCCAAACGGCGCTGTAGGGAAGTGGGGCATCCAGGTACGCGGAATCCCACCGCAAATCGACCGCTCGCACGTATTCCACCCATCTCCAGGTCAGACACGTAAACCAGTCGCTCGCAAGTCCGAGTGATCAGACGCGATTCTCTAGAATCGTGTCCGATCAACCCAAAATGCAGTCAATTTTTGCCTGGCTGCTGCTATTGGCGACAGCAGTAGCAGCGTCCGATTACCACGAGCAGCTAACACTTCGCCCCCTCCCGCTGTCCTCCCTTCTCGCCAGCTTCAACTTTCGGTCGAACACATCCTTCTCCGACTACGCGTCACAAAACTTTCGACTCTTTCCCCGTTCACTGGCGCAGATTCTGCAGCATTCCGGCACAAGAGAACTACACCTAAGATTCACCCTCGGCCGATGGGATGCGGAGAACTGGGGTGCAAGGCCCTGGGACGGGACCAAAGAAGGCGGGACAGGTGTCGAGATGTGGGCACTGGTCGACGCGGGGAACGACGAGGAGGCGGACCAAAAGTGGCTGACACTGACAAACACATTGTCTGGGCTGTTCTGCGCGAGTTTGAACTTCATCGACGAGACGAGGACGATTCGGCCTGTTAAGTCGTTCCAACCAGAGGGACACCACTCGGAGGCTGCCCTGGCGCGCTCCAGGCTTCTGCATGGCGTGCTGCCGCACGAGGTTGTCTGCACGGAGAACTTGACGCCATTCTTGAAGATGCTGCCGTGCAAGGGCAAGGCTGGCATTGCCAGTCTCCTAGACGGACACAAGCTCTTCGATGCGTCGTTCCAAAGCATGGCCATTGACGTGCGACCGATCTGCGCTGAAGGGAAAGAGTGCGTATTGGAGATTGAGGAGACCATAGATATGGTTCTGGACATCAACCGGTCGAGGCGGCCAAAAGGTAAGCCGCCCTACGCACGCTGATGTTCTTTTGCTAAACATGCAGGCAACCCCATCCCTCGACCTGTCAAGGCTGAGGAGCTTATTTGCGATCAGTCCAAGCCGTATCACTCCGAAAACGCATGCTTCCCTGTCGACCACCTTGCCAGTCCCGACTGGCACCTCGAACAGGTCTTTGGTCGTCCGATGAAAGGTACGTGCCCGCTGGCTGACGCTACCGTGCCGCCTGTATGCATCCAAGTGCCCGACAAGCGCCATGTCTTCACTTCCGAGGGGTCGGTTCAGCATAAGGGAGCCGATGGCCAGTCTCGATGTTACACAATGGACGAGAACAACGACTTTACGCTCTTCCTCGCGAGACCAGACAACACTGGCGAGGGTCTCGAGGTTGTCGAACCAGAGACGCCTCTGCTCTATGCAGAGCGTAGTTTGACGGGCTATGGGCAGGAGAAGGGTGGTGTACAGGCCATCCTCACCAACCCAGGCAATGAGGATGTCGAGTTTGTCTATCTCGAATCTTTGCCGTGGTTCATGAGGATTTACTTGCACACTCTCGCGACGCACATCTCGCCAAACACGACGACAGCCGTCGATTTCTCCACTCCCTCCTCCGACATCATCAAGGAGATCTACTACCGCCCGGCTCTCGACCGTGTCCGGGGCACGCAGCTCGAGCTGCTCCTCAACATCCCAGCCAAACACACCGTCTTCTTGACATACGATGTGGAGAAGACCATTCTCAGGTACACCGAGTATCCCCCCGACGCCAACAGGGGCTTTGATGTAGCAGCTTCTGTCATCACGACCCTGTCCCCTCGGGTGATGAACCTGCGCACGACCAGCCTGCTGCTCTACCTCCCCACGCCGGACTTTAGCATGCCATACAACGTCATCATCTTCACATCGACTGCCATAGCGTTGGCATTTGGCGGTCTGTACAACATTATCGTCAGAAGATTTGTGGGCGCGGACGAGGGCGAGCCATCGCCGCTCAAGGTCAAGCTTGCTCAACTGAAGGAGATGATTGCAGCAAAACTTGGAAAGAAATCTGAAGCGTCAGAGGAGAAGGCGGCCGTTGAGGCGCAATAAAGTTGATACAAATATGCTTAGAATTGTACTTGAAAATATCCCTAGCGTGGACTGTCGCGGGACTTGATCTACGTGCTAGCGGAAATACATGGCATCTCGAATATTCATGTGTGCTCGCCGAAAGCTGACACAGTGCCTGACACCTTGAAGGTCAACATCCTCGCCAAGGTAAATCATTCGACAACATTACCCCAGAAACCCCAGATTATCCCATGCTGCCCAAAGTACCCCTGAAGAAACATATGTGTAGGGTCGCTGATCTCCTTTTCCCTCTTTCGCAGCTCTCACGACGAATCTCATGTCTCATCCTTCCACTTCCCCGAGGTACGCTGAGACGCCGTCATTGATACATCCGGGCGATCTTTCACATATACTCGTCACTTGGAGCGAAAGCTCCGTGCCTCACGTCATGAAGACGTTCATTACGTCATGATCTAGTGCTCCCTTGCTTTTGCTATAACAATTTGAAAATGTGAAAAAGGGAATAAAATCTCGGGGATCTTTCTCTGGTGGTTGACGGTTAATTCAATTCATCTTGCCGTTGCTGGTGAAGACTGTATCGATCACAATGGTTCCCAACGAAATCCCCTCCTGGGCGACGAAAGCCCCCTACGCACCACCAGCCAACGACTTTGACATCAAACTCCAAGGAAGCTGTCACTGTGGTCATGTGAAATACAATCTGAGCAGGGACAAGCCGCTGGCATCCAAGTTCTGCCATTGCAACGACTGCAAGATCATTCATGGTAAGCTCTGCCTCAGCCACGGTTCTCACATGCGGATGCTGATCGCCCAATACAGGTGCTCCTTTCCAATGGGCTACGGTTTTTCACAAGGAGGATCTTTCGTTTCCCAACCTCGATACCGAGTCTTTGAAATTTTACAACTCGTCTTTCCACGAGGAAGGCGAAGGCAAGGTTCAGCTCCCCCACAAGGTCGCCTGCAAACACTGTGGAACCTGGCTATTCGACGAGGGTAGGAACATGATCCTCCTGTTCCCGACCACAGTCCAGTTCAAGAGCACCGCGGCGAGAAGGAAGTTTGACGTGCAAATGCACTTGTTCTATGGCAACAGGGAGTGTGATATCCCAGACGGGACACCCAAGTGGAGTGGGCTGGACGAGAAGAGTGATTTGATGGACGAGAGACAGCGTTGAGCAAAACGATTGGGGGCTGTCGAAATTCAAATAACAGACATAGACACAGCGATCTGAACGTTGCCGTACATGAACTTCAACGCTCGTGTGTACGCTAAACACTGTCAAGTGCCTAGGACCCTAAACGCCTACCAAATGCGCTTCGCAATCATTTCATACCGGTTCACGCCATTATACTCGGCTTCCGGTTTCTTTTTGTCGTCAATGTCGACCCTCTTGCTCCCAGGTCCCTTGCCGCCTTTCAAGCCTTCAGTCTCGTCTGCATGTATCCACTTCTGCCGCTCATCGCCCACTTCTACGTGGCCATATCCGCCGACTCTGCGACCTGCGGCGTTGTACGATTCCCGCTCGGCCTTGTTGGCGGACACCAAGCCCTCTGCGTGACGCATCTGAGCGTATCGATTGCGTGCGTATTTAAGCAGAACCATGCCCAGCAGGAGCTTCAAGATGAGAAGCACCAAGAAAGCAATGAAGAAAAAGACAATCATCGTGAGGGCAGCGATGAAGTCGTCGGTCGTCCAGGAATACCAAGGTCGAGAGTTCAGTGGTGAACCATACGGGTAGCCGTACGTCGCCCGACCCAAAGAATCGCGAATCAAGGAGTCGAAGCGATTCAGCGCGGCCATCATGGCTGGCGAGGAGGGCGTGGCTGAGGCCTGAGCCAGGGAGGTGTGTGTGGACGGTGGTGTGGGCATTGGCAAATGCGTCGAGAGAAACATGTTGTAGGTCTGGAACGAAGCCCGGATAAAGAGGCATGACAGCGGAATGACTGCCAGGCCTAACCGCCTCGTGAGAGAAGGGCTCGTGAATGCCTGCAAATCAGTGACCATACCGGATTTGCAAAAGACAGGGTACTCACATTGGTGTAGTAGTCCTTGCAAAGAATGTCAAGGATCCTACCATAAAAGTTGGGTTTGATGTTATTGAATTTGGTCACATATGCGTGCTTGATGCTGTCCACAAGCATCTCGCTCCCGATCACGATCAGGAACGGTGACAGCACTTCGCCAGACATGAGCCAGGATGGGAGCACGGTGAAGCTGTGCGGCAGTATTGACGTGTTGTGCAGCGGAGGGATCCCACCAGCCGAGCTATCCTCATCTGCGCCCTCAAATGCAGCTCCGGGCACGGTGAGACCACCGACTTCCACGAAGTTGCGGAGGCCGATGATGAACAGCATGATCCACAACTGGAAGCGCTCCACAATGTCTGCACACGTAAGTTGAAACAAGTTGTCCTTCTCGAACCGCTTGAACACTGTGCTCTTGATTTCCACAAATTGGTTGGATAGAAGCAGCGTGAGAAGGGCGTTCGAGTACGAGTTGACGGCCACATTGAGAGTGATGACCTGGTAGTACAGAGCTACCGAGTGCAGGCAGCAGTATACCAGCGACAGAATGAACATGCCCAGTGGCAAGAGCACCTTGGATCGGCCAGATGCGTTCCTTGACAATGTTTCGGTGCTGAAGAGGCACTCTAGGATATCCTGTCCTAACGCGGAGAGGAGACGATCGCCCACTTCAAGGATGTTGTAGATGACATAGAGCTTGATCGCCGACTGCGCCCGAATGAAGTGGTACATGCGGCTGGCGTCCAAGGTCATGAGGACCATGGAACTGCAGATGATGACGAGCCCCTGCAAGAGGTCGGCTTTGTGGAAGGCCGTCAGGCTAGAAGGCATTGATTTCGTTCTCCTGTGGCGGAAAGTACCAGTCCTTGGTCCCGGGTCATGGCCAGCCTGGGATGGTCTAGAATAGCCACTGCTGACTCGGGAGTCGCCTCGGGAACGATTGGGGAAACGGTCGCGAATCGTCGAAGGGCCGTCAACATCAACGGAGAACTCGCTGGTTGTGCTGCAGCTGCGAGACCGGCTCGTTGTGGTGCCGTCCCCGTGTCTCTCGCGCCCGCGCTCTCTCAGGCGGCCGACACCACCCCAAACATACGATACGAGCCACCTGGCTTCCTTAGCAACCACGTAGGCCCACCACTGGATGAGCACGGCGACGGCCTGCACGAAACGGATGGGCAGTATAGTGAATGTGTATAGCCAGGCATCCAGACACGCCAAGGCCCCAAAGTACAGTGTTCGTTCAAGGTAGGTCGGGATCAAGAGGACGTTCTTCAGGCGCTCAAATTTGACGGCGCTGGATTCGTATGGCATATCACTCGTGTGGGGATGGAATATGTACAGCGGACTCGGCCTTTGCGCGGCGATTTCGAGCTGTAGGTGCGTTGGTATCGACATCGGCGGGAGCGGAATCTTATTCGGCAACGGCGACGATGGCGGCGCTAGACTCGGATGCTCTGACGGTCCCGATGTGCTCACAGCTGGTGGCCCGGACTTGATCTCTGGCGGCAAGTAGTGTGGTGATAGGCCATCGAGACTGATGTGCAAAGAGGCAGGCCTAGGAGGCGGATTCATGGAGAAACGACGAGGAGACTTTGGATTTGTCGATGTATCATTTGTCGGAACCGCCCTGGTGCTCGGTGGCGTCGATACCGTCCGTTGAGATGGAGGAGGGCGTCTTGAGAAGTCTCTCGTGGCCCACGAACGCCCGCCGCTCCGCGGTACGTCCAGGGTTGGGACGCTAGTTTGCACCGGTTCCGGACTTCTAGTTTCAAGACCGTGTGCAAGGGCCTGCCCTGTGATATCGAGATCATCTAATGCTCTGGGTTCCAGCTGCTGGTCAATAGACCTCCGTTGCGGAGCTGGAGCGATTGGAAGTGAGTCGGGTGAGCTTGTGAGGTCTTGGATCTCGGCGGCTGACAGCTTTTGAATCGTGTTGGTGCTGCTCCTACTCCGCGATCTTGTCTCGGCTTGTTCGCTAACCATGTTCTCGGGTTTCGCATTGTCGTCGAGTGTTGACTCTGCGGTCAAATGCTCTGATATAGACGAAGATCGCGACCAGTCGTTACGGCTACTCGTGCGCGGCGATTCATCTTCCTCGGAGGTCCGTTCTTCGTCAGAGGATATCGTAGGTAGCGCTGACGCGCTGGAGATGGGGCCGCCAGCGTGGCTGCCATCATTGGAAGAATGCCATGCTTCGCCTGAGCCGTCGTCCAGCCTTGGTGACGCTGGCCTGTGTGCACGTTCAGTCTGCTCATAAGTAGCGGCCATAGCAGGTACGCTCGGGCATTCTGTCCGTCGTGTTGGGGAGTTTCGATGACGATGGGCGTTGGGGCTACTGTGGAATCTAAGAATCGACGTTGGTTGTGGGCGCAACGGAGTCAGATAACACCTTGGCTGGAACAGCGTTCGTAAAAGCGTGGGGTGCGCACGGGACTGGATTGGAGGTTTCACAAGTGCAAGCGTATACCGGGCTACCCTATAATGACCGTATGCGATTCAACTGTTTTTTCGACCTTAGGTTTTTTAGACGTATGCGATAACAAACAAATGAACACATGCATGTGTTGACATTTCGCATGCTCTGCCTTCATTGGGCCACTATCAATTTTCGCGAGGAGCGAAGACTGATCATCGGGCACATATAAACATTTCAAACTCAGGGATAATTACTGTCTTTGGGTGAATTTGGTACGATACTTGACTTAACTAACGCTATACCTTGACAAGAAACTCATCAAACCATGCCACAGCCTGTACAAATGCCTGCTCCTTGGCAAATCTGGCAACCTTGACTGACGGATCACCTTTGGTTGCAAAGCCGTGCTCAACACCCTGGAATAGGGTAATCTGATAAGGCTGCCCCGTCCGAGACAAGATCGCCTCAGACTGATGACGCTTTTCAGGAGGAAAAATTGAATCAATCTCAGCAGCCGAAATGGCCAGGGGACCAGTGATGGCAGCCAGCTCTTCATCGTCCACAAAAGATGGATGTGCAGTGTAGCCGACGGCAATGCCGTTCTTGTAGTGGCGCACTACGTACTGCCGAATGTGAGAACAAGTACGCACATGAGCCGTTGTGCATGTATCAACTGACCTTTGCCCCAAAACAGTACCCAGCTGCCCCGATCATCTTGATGCCCTGAGCTTGCAATGTTTTAATTCCCGATACAATGATCGGGTCAATGAAGTCGGGCGTATGCGGACTGCTGCCGTCTGTGCCTTGCTCAATCCAAGTTATCAGATTAAAGTCCTCAGGTAAGGGAAACATTAGAGCATCGCCGCTAAAGATGTCGACGACGACGGTTGTGTACCCGCTGGCGGCAAAGGCATCTGCCAAGAGCATGCTATTCTGCCATATGCCGAAGACGTCTGGGATATACAAGATACCAGCTCCCTCTTTCGACCCGCTGGACGGAGGCGACGCGATGTATGCATCTGTCTTCCCGTCTTCGAGCTTGACATGCTCGCCTTTGGGCTCACCCCTGTTGAGTCAGTGTCGCCGTCATAAGCAAGGCGGCGCTGAAACATACTCAAAGAGATAGCCACTGGTACAGCAGCTATCAGGTGGATAGGACGCCATGACTTTGATGTGAATGTGCGGTGCGGGACATGAGCCGCGATGGAAGAATGCCTGAGCAATAAGTCGATGGTGAGCGCCGACCCACTAGTCCTGCGCCACTAAATTCCTGCGGTTTCCGGCAGTCGGCGAGAGAGATCTCTTCCTCAGATTGACTCATTTTTGCCTTATACCCTTTGCCTTTCGCTTCTTGAAAACTATCCCCGATGATTTCGGCTCGTCATTGGCGTCCTCAGACTTGACACAGGCATCCGTTGTCGGATTCTCGTTCTTGACCGGCGCCGCAAGACCTTGCACCTCCGTATCTGGCTCGTCTTTGACTTCAGGTTCTCCTTGGAACTCTGGCTCTGTTTTGGGCTCCAATGATGGTGGTGATCCATCTTTAACATGCTCTCCCTCGCCGTCTTTTTTCACGAGGAGGGCATCTCCCCCGAGAAGGGCATCCAGATCCTGGGTGTCCTGAGTGGGCATCTCCTTCATAGCTCGGCCCCAACGTCTAGGTTTCTTGAACAGCCCACGAATAGCGTCCTCCTCTTCCTTGTCTTCCTCGGCAATGTCCCGTTTCCGTACGCCGTTTGCCTTGCCTTCCGTCTTGGTGTCGTCAATGACTCGGGTATTCGTCACTTGCCATTCGCCAGGGATGGCCATTTCGGCGCGGAACTCGGATGGCATCGATATGCCCATTTCAGCGAGCTGCTCCCGCTGCTTCTTGAGTGACACCTCGGTCGGTGCGCTTGGTTTGCCATGATGCGCGCCCGTCGATCGTAGCGGCGGAGTGGAGGCGGACGAAGATGAACCAACAACACCCGAAAGACGAGCGACTTCTTGCTTCGCGCGGTCCTTCTCACGCTGTTCCTTCTCATGTCCTCGATGTAGATCCCGCAGGAAGCGCTTGAGGTTGCCTTGATGCCGTGCGGTTAACTCGTGATTCTGGCGTTCAAGCTTGGTATCGCGAATGTAACAGCTGCAATGCTTGCACCAGTATTTCGGTGTCGATTTCCAATGCTCTGACATGGCGACGGGCTGTCGAGTGGTCGGAAGGAGGCCTGGCTCTGCTTGAAAACGAGGACAAGAAAGTCAAGCTGCTAGCATCAAGCGCGAGGGAACATATAAGTGTGCGCCCGGGCGCGCCAATGATATTTCTTCGTCAGCATGACCCCATAAATTCACACATAAGCCAATCAATCTGTGGCGCGTAGGGAGCTCCTTGGGTCAGACTGACAATTGTAACCGCATGCCCGGGGGCACATCTATGCCTCCAAAAGGCAGACGACGCTTACTAAGGCGATTTAAGGCGTCAAGGCCAACTTCAGCTGCAGCTTACACCTTAAAATAGCCCGTGTCTCACCCGACCATGTTCCCAGCCTCCAGAAACCCTCTTGCAACTAAATCTTTCCCCTCCTTCATCCCTCATCACAATCTACTTCTGCAAGCTGTCGATTCTTGTATAATCTCGCTGGGCGGCTTTCATTCTTCTGCATTCGAGTACGCTGCTGCCGGACAGTTTGCCTACCCATCATGTCGCGCTTCTCACGTTACGACACGGATGAGGAGCGTCTGCCTGAGGGCATGACTCGCATTGGCTATGATGCCGATGATCAGACGTACACCTTCCAAGACGCTGACGGCACACTGTATCGAAGCGCCCCTGGCTGCGAGTATGGCCAGCTGTCACAGGTCGGGTTCGAAGCACCCAGCTCTCCCGCGGAGCATATCAAATCACCGTCGTGGCGCAGAGAGATGGGACCTTTCCTCAATTTCGGAGTTCTCATCGGTCTTTGGCTTTTGGGACTGTTCTGGTACCTACACTACGCCGCGTCGTCCTCGCATACGGAAGATTCGACGCCCCAGGTATCTTGTCAAGGAGATACTCTTCCCCACGTGATCAGCAAGGGCGACACGTGTTGGGAACTTGCTAACGAGCGAGGCATGTCGGTTGATGACATGACTGCTTTGAATCCTCAAATCGACTGTGAGTCGTTGGCTGTTGGATCCGAGCTGTGTCTGCCGCCACGGCCTGCGTGAGCATTCGCTCTTGTTGCTTTGGGGCCCCAGTTACTTGGCAATCTCACCGCGTCATTGCTTTGGCTGGCTGGACCTGTGGACGCGACTCTTGGACTTGTAACCATAGTCTTCTTTGTGCTGCAACATGGTCAAATACCTATCCATGAGAGTTGATCAGTGATGACGTGTAACGTCCAGCTGCTGTCAACATTCCATGTCATGCTGCATTGCAGCCCCATTTGGCGCGCCCCAGGCAGGCGGTCTCGCAGCTGTCGCCTGAAGACCCTGATAGTGGGGCAGGGGCACGCCTGGGCGGGGCCCGCTGCTGTTCAGTAATTTGCAGCTGCGGCCTGAAAAAAAGTCCTCTGGGTGCCCCGCGCCGCTCGACTCAAATTTCCTCCTGCCAACTTTTCTTCCTCTCTTTCTTCTTCACCATCAAGTCCATACGGTGAACAAGACAAAAGATGGACAAAGATCAGCTCGCCCGCTTGCTCCAGGAGAGCCAAGTGCGTAAGTGCCTCCAACACAAGGCAGCCATTTGAGCACACTGCTGACGACTGAACAGCCAACACTGAGCAGGTCAAGGCTGCCACGGCCGAGCTCCAGAAGAACTGGTACACCAAGCAGGAGACTCTCCTCGCCCTCGTCGAGCTTTCGATTACACACAGTGACAATGGCGTGCGCCAGCTTGCATCTGTCCAGGCTCTACGCCTTGTTCCCAAGCACTGGGAGAAGCTCGGTGCGGACCAGCGCCAGGCTGCCTGCCAGCACCTCCTCGATGGCGCTCTGAAGGAGAGCTCTGCTACCCTCCGCCACTCTCTGGCGCGTCTTCTGGCTGGCGCCGTCGGTGCTGACATGGAAGAGGGAGAAGGTACCGACTTCCTCAAGACTCTGCTTCCTCTCAACAACAGCGACAACGTTGTTGGCCGTGAGGTTGCCTCGTTCATCCTATACGCTATGCTCGAGGATGACCCTACCCACTTCAGCGACCACACACACGATCTCCTCAAACTATTTCAGAGCCGTGTCGAGGACCCTGACAGCAAGGAGGTCCGCATCAACATCGTGCGTGCCATTGGTGCTATCCTGATGATCGTCGAGCCCGAAGAGGATGCTCAGGCTGTCCAAATCATCCAGACCCTCCTCGCTCCCATGGTCAACATCCTCAAGGCCACCGTCGAGGCTGAGGACGAGGAGAGCTACAAGGTTGTCTTTGAGGTGTTCCAGTCCTTCATTGCCTATGACACTGCCCTGCTGGGTTCGCATCTCAAGGACCTGATCCAGTTTATGCTGGGTCTCGCCGCCAACACGGACGCTGAGGACGATGCCCGCACGCAGGCCCTTGCGTTCCTCATCCAGTGCGTGCGCTACCGCCGCATGAAGATCCAGGGCATGAAGGATGTCGGTGCCGAGATCATGGTCAAGTCCATGCAGATCGTAACCGAGCTGGATACTGAAGACGACGAGGAGTTGACTCCCGCCCGCACAGCCATCAGCCTTATCGACACCCTTGCAAGTGAACTTCCTCCTCGCCAGGTGATCGTTCCCCTGCTCGACGCCTTCAAGGCGTACGCGACCAACTCCAACCCCCAGTACCGCATGGCCGCCATGCTTGCCCTGGGCAACGCCGCTGAGGGTGCTCCCGAGTTCATGTCCACCCAGGTGCCGCCGATGCTCGACATCATTGTTAGCCTATTGAGCGACTCTGAAATCTCAGTGCGCTATGCCGCTCTCATCGGTCTGATTCATCTTGCCGAGGAGATGGCTGATGAGATGGCTTCCCACCACGAGCCTATCCTGTCTGCTGTGCTCAAGAATCTCGAGGCTGCCTCGCAGGGCCCTGCCGACAAGACCAACATTGCCATCATCCGCTCTGCTTGTGGCGTCTTGGACACCTTTGGCGACGGTGTCGACACCGACATCATGGCCCAGTACGGCCCTGGCCTCATCGCCCCCATGGTTCGCCTTTTGGACCACGAGAACTTCGGCGTCAAATCATCGGCTGCTTCTGCCGTGGGCGCCATTGCCTCTAGCATGGGCAGAGCCTTTGAGCCCTACTTCAAGGACACCATGGCTGCGCTCGGCCGCTTCGTTGTTGTCAAGGAGAACGACGAGGCTCTTGAGCTGCGTAGCTCCACTTGCGACAGCATGGGCCGCATCGCCATTGCTGTTGGTCCTCAGGCGTTCCAGCCTTACGTCGAGAACCTGATGCAGGCTAGCGAAGAGGCTCTGCACCTCGACAACCCCCGCCTCAAGGAGACCAGCTTCCTCTTATGGTCCAACTTGTCCAAGGTCTACAAGCTTGATTTTAACCACTTCTTGCAGGGTGCTTTCCAAGGCCTGTTCCAGTCTCTCGAGCTTGACGAGGAGGAGATTGACCTGCCTGGCGTTGATGCCAGCCAGCTTGGCGACGGCAGCATTGTCATTGGCGGCAAGCGCGTCAAGGTCAAGGCCCCCGAGAATGAGGAGGACCTCACCATTGCCACTGGTGGCGAGGATGACTGGGACGACATTGAGGACCTCGACGACCTCGGTGCCGTGACCGCTGTTGCTCTTGAGCAAGAGATTGCCCTGGATGTGCTGGGTGATATCATCTCGAACTCGTGCACCAGCACCGAGCTTGAGTCGTATGTCCAGCAGACCATCGAGAAGGTCACCCCCTTCGCCGAACACACTTTCGAGGGATGCCGCAAGACAGCTCTCGCTACGCTGTGGCGCATCTACGCCCGTGTCTTTCAAGTCTGGCAAGAGAACAGCGGTATTACGTGGGAACCTGGCATGCCTCCTAAGCACCAGCCCCCTCAAACTATCAAGACCATCGGCGATGCCGTGCTCAAGGCGACCATGAGCATCTGGGTCGAAGACGGCGAGCGGTAAGTCTACACTGATTTCTTTTTATACCCCCCCTCGCACATCCATATGATGAGCAACAACTCGTTATACCCAGCTCACTCAGACGCAAAGCGGTTGCTGAGAAAACGTAACATCTACTCCTGATTGGATTCTCACATGAGCACTTTTTGTTCTTGCATTCATCTTGCAGAACCCGGCTAATTGTTACAGTTCTGTTGTCAGCTCGATCAACAGCAATGTTGCTGCCACTCTGAAGGAGTGTGGCCCCGCCATTCTCTACGCCCCCGAGAACAAGCTGCTGGAACAGGTCATCTCAATTATCACCTCGCTCATCACTGGATCGCACCCCTGCCAGCAGGATCTTGGCGACGAGGAGGAAGTCCACGACCTTGAGGCCGGCTCATCCGAGGTTGACTGGCTTGTCGTCGACACTAGCTTGGATGTCATCAGCGGACTCGCCGCTGCCCTTGGTGCCGACTTCATGGAGTTGTATACCATCTTCGAGAAGCCCCTCCTCAAGCTCGCCAGCTCCACCGAAGACGTGCACCGCTCTACTGCCGTCGGCACCATTGCGGAGATCATCAAGTATGTCGGCCCTGCCGTGACCAGCCGCACCGAGTCCCTCGGTCAGACGATTGCCCGTCGCCTGACAGACACCGACCCTCTCGCCAAGTCGAACGCTGCGTACGCCATTGGCCTTCTCTTGCTGAACTCTGAGGACACCTCCAAGACCTTCCCTCTGTACCCTCAGATCTGGGAGAAGTTGGAGCCCCTCCTGTCTGTCAAGGAGATGCGCATGACTGACAATGTGGCGGGAGCCGTGAGCCGCATGATGATCAAGAACCCCGATAACGGATTCGTCGAGCAGGCACTGCCCGCCGTGGTCAACGTCTTGCCACTGAAGGACGACTACGAGGAGAACGTCCCTATTTACCAAGCCATCTACCAGTTATACGGCAGCTCCAACGCTGTTGTGCAGCAGCTCACTCCTCAGCTCATCCCCGTCTTTGAGAAGGTGATGGGCGAGCCCGAGGATCAGCTCGAGCCCGAGACCCGGGAACTCCTGAAGCAGACGGTGCAAGGGCTCTACAAGCAGCAACCCGGCCTGTTTGCCAACAACACGACGCTGCTGTCGTACGCTGGCGTGCAGTAAGGGC